CGCCCATGTTTATGCCTCACGGTTTAAAAATTTGCAGGCAAATCTGAGATAGATAGATTGCCTGTGATATATATACACACACACACGTGTCTGTACTCGGTACAGCAAAGTGCCGTTGTTGTATTTTGATTTCTCTAAGATTATGTTCCAAAATATTCATGAAACTTGATTGAATAAAGATGTCACAACAAAATCTTTAAATGGAGGGAGATGTGGGCCCTAACGAGGTCACCCTACACCCAACACGAATGATCTGTGCCTCCCTCTCGCCCTCCCTTTAGGCGCTGTGTGTCAGATTCCAAGAGGTTATCCCTGGCATCTTAGGTCAGTGAGACCAGCACACACGATAGGCTGTTTTCCTATGCCAGCCCGTGTACTGGATGATTTACAATAGATGCCATATGCTGTAATGGCAGATTTTGGGCAAGGGTGTTAATCCAATGGAGGTTACGCTACCGGTGTTATGTGCTCGTGGCATTAGCGTTCATGCCAGCACATTCACATCTAGCACTACAGTCAGAGCCGGCCCAGCCACTAAGCGACCCTTGCAATTGCAAAGGGCCCCGTGGCCAGCAGAGGGCCCCCTAGAGTCACTGCGAGCTAGTGGGTGAAAAAAATCATACATCAAAGGGGCCTCCAACCAAATTTTGCTTAGAGCCCCCAAAGGTCTAGGGCCGGTTCTGACTATAGTCTTCACTTCTGTCAGAGAATCAACCTGTACTAAGGGATTTAACTCGGCCAGTTTATACATTGACGGACACTGCCGGGGTGTAACGTTGAGCACACTGGACATGGAATCCAGAGGTTACCAGTTCAGCTTCCCAGTGCTGCAGTTGGAAGTTTCTGAGTCGTCCCCCTACCCCTGTCCTCCCAGCAGTATGATACACCAGAGTCAATCTGCAGGTTGCATCTGGTGGGGTAAAGTGTGAGAACTCCCATCTTTTCCAAGACGTTTGCCCAGCGTGGAAGAGTGAGACTCAAATACTCGGTTAAGGAGCCTCTGTCGAGCTACCTCGAGCAGAAGAGGCTTTTCCACCACGTGGCAAGAGCAATACATTACCGGGCAGCTAATTTTCTTTATTTAAACATCTCCAGTGGGAGGTGTTTTCGGCAGAGCACTTGACTCACAGCATTCTGTTTGCGAGTTGAAATCCACTCCGACTCATCATCCCTCCCGGGTTGATAAAATAAGAACGCAAAAGTTGTTCTCTGAAGAGACTGGCTTCTCTCTGTAGCAGGGATTGGCAACCCGTGGCACTTTAAGGACTGCTTAATGACGTTATTTATTAAGGAGCATCGTCTCGTATTCACGTGCATTACAGCTCTTGAAATAGGTGTTTTATCTCTCCCGAATTCGAAACAAGTATGTTCTTGTTATTTTGGTTGGCCGACCCCTGCTCTATAATATGGGAGGAATATGATGTTTCCAGCATTAGCTCCGGGTCACCAATAAAAAAAATAAGCATCGCCCCGCACTTCTCTGAGCAGACAAGACACTTTACACAGGGTTCCCTCGCTTTATGCGGTAACAAAAAAGCGGGCGCACAAAGCGAAATCGCAAGCATAGACAGCAGTCACCCAACCGCATAGCCACGTATGGGAGAATTCAAACCGCGTGCCGCAAATTTTGGGTAGAAATAGGTTAACCGAACCCGCGTAACGCGAGGGAAACCTGTCTTCTGACTGGCACTTTTTCCAGTATTTTTTCTTGGTTGTCATTGACATCCCCCCCCCTCCCTCTGCTCTATACCTGTTTCTCAACTCCAGCCCTCACAGCCGTGGGCCCATGGTGCAGCTCTTCGAGATTACCTAACAATGCGAAGGAAGCGTTCAGCCATCCGCGAGAATAAGCAACACGAAGTTATGCAGCGCCGAGTAAGCGAGTAAGAGGTGGGCCGTTGCTGCATACGAATGCATGGCATTTTTGTTTTAAAAAAAAATTTGGGCGGGCTGAAATGTACCTCAAACCTCACAGATAAATCATAGTAACAAATAAACACAAATGTGGCAAGAATTACACGAAGCATACATTTGCAACATTACGAAAGTACCAGTAATTCTTGGGAAGAACACCCCTCTGAATGGAGAGCATGGCTTAAGGTAATTGGATACTGGCAAGCTTTTAGCTGCACGGATGACTGGGGGCCATTCGGGTGTGGCCACACATGATGATAGATTCCAAGGGCTAAAGCTGGGATCACTGCAATCGCTGCAGTGGTTTTATTTGCCAAGTACTCTGTGCAAGTTGATGCAGAGTATGACAGAAGCAGAAGTCACGCGCATGTGATCTCCACCGTTGAAATCTCATCTCAGCTCTGTGTAATGGCAGGTGACAGTGAAAGTGTTAAGCAGTCGGTATCATTTTCTCTGTGCAAGTGCATGCAGTGTATGACAGAAGCAGAAGTCATGCGCATGTGATCTCCACCGTTGAAATATCATGATCTCAGCTCTGTGTAATGGCAGGTGACAGTGAAAGTGTTAAGCAGTCGGTATCATTTTCTCTGTGCAAGTTCATGCAGTGTATGACAGAAGCAGAAGTCATGCGCATGTGATCTCCACCGTTGAAATCTCATGATCTCAGCTTTGTGTAATGGCAGGTGACAGTGAAAGTGTTAAGCAGTCGGTATCATTTTCTCTGTGCAAGTTCATGCAGTGTATGACAGAAGCAGAAGTCATGCGCATGTGATCTCCACCGTTGAAATCTCATGATCTCAGCTTTGTGTAATGGCAGGTGACAGTGAAAGTGTTAAGCAGTCGGTATCATTTTCGCTGTGCAAGTTGATGCAGTGAAGTCATGCGCATGTGATCTCCACCGTTGAAATATCATGATCTCAGCTTTGTGTAATGGCAGGTGACAGTGAAAGTGTTAAGGCGTTAAGCAGTCGGTATCATTTTCTCTGTGCAAGTTGATGCAGTGTATGACAGAAGCAGAAGTCATGCGCATGTGATCTCCACCGTTGAAATCTCATCTCAGCTTTGTGTAATGGCAGGTGACAGTGAAAGTGTTACGTAGTCGGTATAATTTTCTTGGTCCCGTTTATATATATATATATTTTTTATATACTGTAATCACAGACAGGGCCAGACATGATTCAGGGGCAGTTATATAAAACAAACTGCGACAAGTCATGTATATTCATGTAGTTTGAGCGATCGCAAATATTAAAAAAAACTAGTAATTGTACGTTATCGGTTGCCTGTTGGTATTTTAAAACTCGAAAGCCAGTGAACTTAAGGATCCTCCATTTTGCCATGGGTTTGACTGTGTAAGGAATTTTGTGCATAGAAATACGTGAATGTAGACTTAACACGTGCTTCCATCCAGACACACACGCGCGTCTTGCCTTCTAATGTACGCGTGTGCTCACACACACTGACATTAAGCGTTCGTGTAAACACGTGACATGGATTGATGGACATTTCAATTTCTGGACATGGCACAAAGTCACCGAAATGACTTACTTAAAAAATATAGTACTGCATGGGGTGCTTGCAGTGGTTTAATAGAACTCTGTACAGTACATAGCACACACTTCGTCAGTTATTTTATTTAAATTATTACTGGTATGGCTCATGCCAGGACACATCTGTGGGTTTTGCTGGCTGCAGTTTTGTAATCCTTCACAGATTATGATTCATTGCCTTCTTTTAGTTTCTCCTCCTAGGGCGTTACTAATACGATCGATTAATATTCGGCACGGCATATGTGTTGTGTGCGTTGTCTATGCAGTTGCTTGGTACGATGACTGCCCATCGAACAAAGAGGGTCACTGTCGCGTGCCTTCAGATGCGCTTCTGCGGCCGTCTGGAACGCTCTTCCGCCCGATATGAGGAAGCCACTGGAGCTACGCACTTTTAAATAGAGTACGAAAACTAATTTATTGAGAACCGCTTTTTCTGTTTAGTTTGTTTCCCTTCCCCCGTACCTTCTATTCGCACGGCATTGTCACGTACGGTGCGAAAGACGTTCAACATATACATGACAATTTCTATGCCAAAATTGCATTGAATAATCTCACATTTCCACCCAAAACCCATCTTGTTTAGGAAAACTATATTACTGTGTTGAATTAGTATTCATAAATATATTTTAAGTCAAACGTTAATTTTGTTGAACTTTCAACGGCACTTTTGAGCATTACAGAATTACAATTTCAGGAGACATCAGCTGTAGTTTGCATCGCTTCATACCGCTCAAGAACCGTTTTGCTACCTTACGGAGGATGACAAGTCTCCCTTTGTTTCCATCATGCACGTCTAGAAATTACTTCACACAATTCATACATTTTCGTTGCTAAATCAAATATATTACACTGGAGCAATTCGGCACTTGCATACTTACATCTCATGAATGATAAACGGAGTCAAAGCGAACCCCAAAAGTGTTGAGAACGTTTGCTTTTACAGCGATCAAAAACAACAGTGCATGGGAACTGACATAACGCACGTTGCCATGAAGTTAATGATCTATATTTTTTTTATCAAATTGAAAATACAACGTAGCCGTTCAAACATTTTAAAATGGTACGTAGACAGCATACTGATAAGAATCTTATTTTAAAGAGGGGCTGATATAGTGGAATGAAGGGGGAGCGTTGGTTTTTTTTCCATAACCACATAGCTGGATGACACCGAGCTAAACACGTAAAGTTCCTTTGACAACAGGCATGGACATGCAAGGCATCTTGGCTCACCGCTTTCCACGCTTGTCGATGTTGTTACCCTGATGCCACTTTATACTGTTACGTGTATTTCAGCAATTTCTTCGCAACTTACGAGTTCTTTCAAAAAGTGCGTGTTAATGGCAACGCATCTTATCCTTTGCATATTTGATGAGAGATGTGCTATTTATGTGGATATTAACAAATTGTTAAGATTTAATTGACAAATCTTTGAATCACTACGTTCGTACAGTTTAACAGGCTATTATGAATTGTCTTATCTTCTAAAAATGCAAATACAGTTCTCTGTAAACGGCAAAAACGTGATTAAAAACAAAAGAAACATAATAACGGTTTATTAAAAAACAAAACACATTCAAGTGTGACATGTGCTAACTGCATTTAACATTTTAATTATTCCATGTTTTGCACGTCCACATCACCATTTGTAAAAACAGCATTACATTAACCAAACCCTCCATGGTGGCACTTCCGACCTAAATAGACAATCCGAATGTTGAATCTTTTACACCAAAATGTTACGTACGTTACCGCGCTACTGGCAACCATTCAGCCCTACCAGAAGCTGTTGCGTGGCTTTCAAACTTGCATGTTGATATTTACGATGCTATTCGCTGCCATAGGTATTTATCTAGCAGGCATATAAGACGTACATTTTTTTAAAGAATCCTTTCTTTTTATGATCTGCAGAAATATATTCGGACTGTAAAAAACAAAATGGCAATCGATGCAACGCATCAAATATACAGATAATGGACATGATTGATTTAAAAAAAAAATAATGCAATTTAATAATTTGCAAATGGAAACCCAATTGTAAAAACAGGGAATCTCATGTTTTTGCAGATAAAGACAACATATGTTCACATGGAAAAGTAATGAAGTTAATAAAAAGTTTTGTTTTTTATATATAACAGGGAAGGGATGTATTCAACATATTTATATGAATAGGATCCCGTGTTGTATGGTTGGTGAAGCATTTTGGGGTATGAATTTCAGCTGTGTGCTTCGTGCCATAGCATCTAGATCCTATGTGGCCTAGTTGAAAGCATGCCTGAAGCATGTGATGCATGCAACCAACATGAAAATATGCCGGCTTACTTTGCCCAACATCCAGCCCACATAAAGACAGATTGCATGCACACGCCAACAATGCCTTGGCACAATAAAATACATCTGCCCCAATGGTGAAATATCACCTTTTGAGGTGGATTTGATTATTGCACGAGTAAACATGATTTGGGTATTTTCACCAAGAGGACATGTTCCGTGAGACAAAGTAAATTCGTCATTCATCATCAGTCAGTCTGCTCAATGAAGGCCTCCTAGAGCCACTGATGTGACAATTCCCCTAGAAACATCATTCCTTGCCCTTCGGTATTTAGAAAATGTGCAGTAAAATTACGTAAAGTACACATACTGTACTTTGGAAGACATCTCCCACCAAGCAACCCCAAAATCGTGTTGTTTTTTTTTCTAATATACTCGACACAAAATGAAATATGGCTGCAATAATGACCAACGGATTAGAAATATGAAACAAGCCCTGGACCATGTGTTTTTTTACATGCATACTATAATAACCATGGAGCTATTTTTTTTTTACATAACATATCATAATAGCAAAAAATATAAAATATCAACTTAGAGGCTTATCATACACATTGTATAAAGAAATTCTTCTCTGAATGTGTATTGTGGTGCATATAACATGTCCATGGTATGCATCCCAACATGTAAAACATAATGTAGTTACGTACGGGCTAGTCGGTTACACCTCCTCAGTGCGGTATGTACCACGTTTGATTCAATACTGGTATTGTATCATTATACTGATAGATGGCATTTTGTATATCCTCTTGCAATGATTGTTGATTATGGTAGCTCCATTAACTTGGCATACGTTGGTACATGTTTTTGGTACTGTTCTTAGGTAGACATGCTTATACACACCACTGGTAACCAAACCCTTAATCTCCTGAGCTTCAAAAAGGCAATATTATCCTGCTGTTGGCAAATACCACAACAACTTTGGCTTGATTGTATACCTGCATGAAATGCATATAAACATCCCAGATGAAAAAAACTAATTGTAACATTAGTTTTCTGTAAATGTGTTTTTTGTGAAGGCCTCAAAACAGACTAAGTAGAGAAATCTGTCAATGCCCTCAATGTTTTCACTCGCATTCACGTAAATCGCAAGATATTAGTTTGAAGCATGGTGTAGCTATATATTTTTTAAGCTATGGTTTGGTGCTACAGTTCTAGGAAAGGCACTTCACTGTATATTCAGAAAGCTATGTACATAGCCCATGAAATGAAAATGTCAATACTGTTTTTCCTTTTTTTCGAGTAAGTTAAATGCAAGTCTAATTTCTAGGCACTCCAAAGCTTTACAATTCCTAAACCAAACTCTATGGGGGAAACTAATAACATCTGGTGATCCAGCAGCATTTGTTTAGCAAGTTTGACTCTGGTGATGAGACCCAGAAGGTTGAAACCAGTCCAGTGTCCTTTCTTAAATAAATGCTGCTGGATATTGGTCTGCAAAGCCAATAGGCCTGTGGACCAATTCACCGATACACAGAGAGAGACACACTGCTTTTCTATGGGGAAAGGATATATTGGGTAAGATTTCAGTTTACAGTTTTGTACCAAACATTCTGTATTTAAAATAAGGCACTCAGGCATGTTTCAATCTACCACTGCCATCACTACAGCTACAAAGGGCAGCAGTGTGTGTGTGTGGTCAGCTGCAGTGAGCTCTATCATTGGTCCTAGCACCCACACACTACACGCAATCTCAGCAAATTGCACTGAGTCTACATGAGGGTTTGGCTAGCTGCTGCAAATTAAATGATTGGTCCAAACACATGCACATGACTTGGCCATACTTACAATGCAACCAATCATATTTTCATCAATGCTCAACATGCACATCTCAACTAGTATGCTCCTCTATAGCCATATTGATGACAGTGTTACATAAAACAGCCTACACATCAGAATTTATGCACATGCAATATTTTTAACATTTTACAATTCTAATATATTTGTAATGAATATCTAAAGCCTCTAATTAAACGAAACATGATTCAGTAAATAATACAAGAGGTCGTGGTGCTTATGTCAGCACCATCTGTGTTTGGCTGTGGCGTATCTTCTGCCAAGTTCAGTGGAGTCCGTTATACAGAAGCAGCTGAAACACAATTCAATCCTCATTAGTATAACATGAACTTGTTTAAAAAAATGTTGCCACAACTAGTGGTTTAAACAATTCATCCGGAGAATCATATCAACAAAATTATGGACAGCTTTCCTAAGTGATAACTGCAACTACCTGATTTCTACTCTGCAGACTTTAAAATGTTGAATCATCTGCTAAAATGTATCACATATATACAACTTTTGCAGGTGTCTGTCCGTCCATCCATTCGTTATACTCTGGATCTCCCAAACGATACATCGGAGGGAGACGTACATAAAACCTAACAACGCCGTTGCCGAGGACACCAGGGAAATGTGTTAAAGGTGTGCAAAATAGGCGCAACATTGCATTCTCCTTTTAAATGGGCATGCTGAAACAGGCAAAACATTGTTTGTTTACTTATGAATCAATGCTCGTGTCCACCCAGCATGTGCTCAGGCCGAGTTGGAATGGTCTAGATTTGGTCGGGAAATGTGTCGGTGCCAGCTTCCCTCGCACGAGCCGTCGTTGTGGTTATAGCTGTGATTATGTGGTGCTGACGGTTGTGGTTATATTGTGGCTGCTGTGGTGATGTGGTGGTTATATTGTCACTGTTGTGGTTATAATATGAAAGTTATGATTGTGGTTATAATGTGGTGGTTATTGTTGGGGCTATAATGTGGTAGTTATGATTGTTATGTGGTTATGGTGGTGATTATGCAGTTGTGGTTATGCAGTTGCGGTTTTCTTGTGGCTGTTGTGGTTAAAATGTGTTAGTTGAGGTTATAGTTGTCATTATGGCTGTGGTTATATTGTGCCTTCAGTTGCAATTGTAAAATAGTTGTTTGGATGTCTTGGTAACGTTTATACACGTAATGTGGATTATTAATATTAACATTGATATTTTTGTTGATGGTGTTATGTCAAATTGTCGTTTATATTAACAATATTGTTGATGTAAACATGTCACATTATTGATGTTGGTAATTGTTGTTGTTATTTCTTATCCTTGGGTGTTGATACTACGGTTGTTGATTTAAAGTAGGTCAGCAAGAAATACCTATCACTTGCAATTCACGAAAGTTACATCTCACAAATGCACAGAGGTAGTGCTCGTCATCACCAGCTTTGCAACGCAGAGTTTTGGTCTTCATTGCAATATACGTTAAGACTTTAATGCGGCAATTATGGAAATGTCCGTATCCAAACATCATGTGCAGGAACGGCAGGAATTTAACGGAGAAATAAACTTGCCGTTAGAGTTTGTGTAAGAGACCTCACTTTGCCCACATTCATCATTAAAAGGTCACGGTGACATTTTGCTAACAAATTAGACATTCGTGCAATTCTGTCATGTGCACACTCACTTGGAGCAGCAGGCATGCGCCAACTCCTATAAGTGAACCACGCACCAAAGCCGTAAGCTCCAGTAGCCAGAAAACCAAAGATCTGTATTTGAGAAGAAACAACATCAGTAGGTATGAAGGATGCATATCTTAAATAGGATAACATCACATAAAAAATACAATTGTAACAAGTAATTGGCTGTGTCTGGTGAAGGCGGGTTAAATGACGCATTGATATTTATATGATCTAACCCAAAAACCTATATTAAGGACAATATTGGTCGCGAATACCTACGGGTTAAACTAATTGTAACACGTACTGCCAAGGGACACGTGTTTCTTGAATGGATCCAATGACTGGTGCATCTATGGCAAGTACCTTAGAGCTTCTACATGTATTTATGTATTTATCAGCCTCGTTTTTAGACGAGGCTGACATTGGAAAGACAGGTTGGAGACAGAGAGACTAAAATTAAACACAGGTCAACAGGACAAGCCCACTGCACTTATCATAAGCAACTAGTACCGTTGAATTGATATTTTCAATATTGCTGTATATATTAGAAAAGCCCAATATGTATATGTTTTTCTACACAATTTTTAAAAATTATGGAAATTATTGCAACAATTATGGTGTGTTTGACAATGACACTTTAACATTGACGCAAACTGACTGGAGTAGCCCATTGCATTCTAAATTGGTCACGGCCTGGAGGCTGTAAAGGAGTAACATCATTAGCTAAGTGTTGTTAAGTATGGATTACTTACGAACAATCATAAGTAATTTATTTGAACATCACAATGTTGAACGAAAAATGTGTAGCTTTGGGCGTGGTCACTTTTCCACAAGAGGTGTAATACTGTAACTGACTCAGAGGGTGTGGCAATGAAATCTGGGAAGTCGGAGCAAAAGTAGAGAATGTGGTCTACATGCCTCTTTGGGCCACATCTTTACGTGAAATAATTCAAAGTCTCGGTTTGCAGTCACTTAAGTTTCCCTTTCTATGTAACCACCCAGATCAGTAACACCACCCAGAATACAGCAGTACTCTTATAGTCGGTCCATAACCAATGTAGAACACAATCCTGCTTGTTAGTTCAATGCGATACTTGTAGCCACATTATTTGTGCATTATCACATTGCCTAGACTGACTGAAATTTCCCTTGGACGGAATGCCATTATACAGCACTAATTGCAAACTGCTATTGCTGGGCATGCTTGCACAGGGAGGGAAACAGACAGAAACACGTACCGTGCCGACAATTAGACTGCCAATGCTTCCGGCATTAGCAGCTACTGTGATGGAGGCAATCAGCAACAGGATGAACGAAATGACATAATGGATGAGCTCCTAGAATGACAAGGGGAACACACATTTTGGTTTTAAGAGAATCATGTAAGCACCAGAGAAATAATAAACAAACAATAATATCTGCAGTGAGTAGATTACAGATTCAATGTAGCGTGTCCTCAAAATACCAGGGCTATTCAGGGGTGTGGTGAGCGAGTAAATGTTTCCTTAACAGAACCCCGAAATTTCCATTAATACAAATTTAGCCTATTTACAGATTGTAATGCTATTTGTAAGAACCCATTGGTATTCATGGTGCTATAAAATATAAATAAACAATACAACACAAGGGTAAAACAAACCCCACCGTTGAAATCGATGCAAATCGCAGGCTAATTCTGGGACGCACAACCCAATAAGGTAGTAGTTACCGCACATGACGGTACTAATGGGGAGGCTGGTGGTGAAGTTTCTGTGCAGTGTTGAAATCGTGGCTAGCACCATAAAGTCAGTACTGCTTTTCAGGCGTCTCAATTTGAACTTTGAGAGAGAAACTTTTTTTTTATCCATTTCATTTAAAGGTTTAGGGGTCCTTTTTATAAACTGCCATTACATGCGGGAAACGGTGCATCGACCCTCACACTATATTGAGGACAACTGCGGTATATACCATTGTATGTTATAACACATTATCAAAAGCAAATGAACATATGTCTTGTTTACTTTTTTTTTATAAGCCAATGATGGTGTATGGTAAGGGTCATTTTGGTAGTCTTGTGAAAACAGACACGTTAAAAAGCAATTATATAAAATGTGAGATTAAATTATACAATAACATTTGCAAGATGGAACAAAAATGCAGTTCTGTAATATTTATCTTAAAAACACAATTACGCTGCAGACACAACTTTGTAAAGCTTACCACATTCTCCGAGAATGTGTCTATTTTCTGTTTGTCAACACTGCAACGTTGTTTTTCTATCCTGGCAAGATTTGACCCACATTTACTGCCTTCATGGTCTAAGCTTCATTTGCAAGACCCAATCGCAGCTGACGGACTGAACTACTACACTAGAAGATTTCGGTAAGCCCATGCCCTAAAATAACTCGTGTGTATTCCATTCATTCCTCTACTTAAAAATTCTACCACTGCATGCAAAGTTTGGCCACTTTGACTACGTGACTGGTTCATCTGTCATTATAAATCACAAGAAATATACTTTCAGTGCCTATTAGTTAATAAATATATCAAACTTGCCTTTTGTTTTTTTCTTATTGGTTCTTTCGGTAAAGTCACGTAGAAGGGAAATAATAAAATAATAAAAATAAAACAAATTGAAAGTATCCTTCCTACCTTTAAACATCTTAAAACACCATTAAAGATGATCCTGGATTATAATCATTATAGTTCGTGTAAGAACCACTCCTGCATTGAACCGTGTAATGTTACACATGTCGTTCAGTATAACAGCATATTCAGTATTTTAACATGTCTAGAACATTGACAGGTGTGTTACAATCTATAATGATCAGTGTTTATTCTGAACGTGTAGAAACTAAAAACATCCAATTTGCACGTTAAAGCATGTCCACTTTTACACAATGCATGGCATATATGCATAGTGATGCGACAAGAACGGAGGTCACGTAATACTTACAGTGAGGGGCCAGTGGATGAAGGTGATGCGTTTGTGGAGGCGGAATAAGAAAATGATGAACAGAATGAGGACCGTGAAGAAGAACCACAGGGTGGTGGTCTCAAAGTAGCGGAGGGCCGAGTAGTTTGTCCAAGTTCTAGAACAGCTTATGCACAAGAAGGCCACAAACACTAGGACCTGAGGGAGAAACACAAATACATCATCACTGCATGGATATATACAAAAATAATAATTCAGCATTTTTTTTGCACAAATGAGCATCGAGCAATGCTCATCTCCTCTTTACAGCCACGCAAAGTGGTCGAAATGACACATTTGTAGTAATAGGTTTTTACCCTTTTATCTGGCACCAAAACTGACACCTTTATACAAGGGATCATGTTTGCAATAACCACAACACAAGTAGTCAAAATGCAAACAAAAATAGACAACTCTTATAATGATATGCACTGTCCTTGAAGTTGATTGGTCCACACCCGAGACGGATTTTCTTAGAGCCTAGTCTCCACTGGCGTACAACTGAAAAACAGCGCACTATCAGAGTATTGAGAGCTCGGGGTAAGCAAAGGAGGTCACATAATGAATAACACATTTGTATTGCTGAGGTGAGTATATCCATAGGACGCCACGGCAGCGATGTAAACTAACTCGCCTGGTATACAGGAGGTCGTGGGTTCGATCTTGACCCTGTAACCTGTATATTTGAAGTATGCATGTCTCGCTCCCCGTGGTCTTGTGGAATTTTGTCCGGGTGCCTCCGGTTTTTCCCTCCACATTTAAAATTATTATGCGTTACAAGTATATGGCTGCTATAAATTTCCACACGATAAGCCACTTCGTTGAGCTATCATTTGTGGCCAGGTCGCTTCTGAAAAAGAGCTATATAACTCAGTGGGCCTTACCTGGTAAAATAAAAAATAGTTTAGCTTAGATTTTAGTTTAGAGTTCCTCCCAAAGTGTTACTTTTAATAGTTTTTCGACCCTGGGATTTCAACCCCCAAACCTTGCAATTGCGAGCTATATGGCCAGTTAGAAGTGTACTGTACTGTAATTGTATGCAGGAATATTGACTACAGCATAGCAGAATACGTATTATTTTGTTCCAGATTTGAAAGGAATAAACCCATCACAATTCCAGAGGCAATAAATGGTTGAGTCACTAAACTTTGCAGAACTGTACCTTAAGCTTATAAAATAGGTAAGTGTATGAGAAAAAATACTATAATTCTACATACATCACTAGCTTTACCTTTGTACCATTCACGTCTTCTGTCCAATAAGTCACAATATATTGTTGTTAATACTGTACACTACTGTACTGTATATATCCATTAAACGAGTAAGGTACACTTTCCAAACGACTTAGAAAAACATATATTGGTACACTGACTCTGGATTTCATAATTCACTGTTTCAAATTACACCTTTAAAAATATACAGTAGTACCACTCAACTATTAGGGGGTATAGTACTCGCCTGCTATGAAATAGCACTGATGCACTCCCCAGGTCGCTTTTAGTCAAGCTTTATTGGCCAAGTAAATATTGTATTTTAGGTTAAAGCAGGCTAGAGATCCTGTGATTTAGTGGAAGCCTTCGTGACTCCCTGCCACGCCCTGTACCGCTCAACAGCGCCAAAAAAACTTTCCATGCCGATGAATGAAAAACATGCAGCTGCTGTACTGGTCATAAATGCTGAATGCAATACAAATACCAGTGAAGGTTGTGAGAAGCCAAATGAATGGATTGTGATGCCTCGTTTGTTGTAGAACTCAACCGTGAAAGACAATTATTTTGGTAGGGGGTACACAGTATACCTGTTGAAGCATTTCCCGCAGTAGGTAACATCACATGAGAATTAATAAGTAATATCGAGAGAAGGCAATGACCAATATTTTTTTACATTTAGCAAGTAATCCACATCCCACGTATGGCCAATTTGCAGCAACATTTAATTAGTGAAGATATGAATAGTGACAAATAGAGTAAAGTAATTCCAACTAATATTAAGCGATATTCATCAATATAAATTAATATAACAAAGCAAATTAATCGTGATTTTTTCATATACCCACTCAACAGTAAGATAATTCTGTTCTTTATTCAGTGTATTGTAAACACAAAAACCTCTTTCTTTGCAGGCGTTCATGTAACGTAGCCAGGAAAAGCATAGGCTGTACAAAGTGGCCACTGTGATATTTTAGTTTCCTGGAACTGGTTGTGGGATCTACGGATGAAATGACCCTTACAAATTCAAATTATTCTTAGCAATGTCGTGGCACTGATAACCTGCAATGCTGCAACATGATTAGGAGGCTAAAAAGATAAACGTGGAGAATCTAAGGATACATTTAATTGTCTGGATAGCCTATAATTTGGCGATCCCGCTCACTGGCGGTCACTGCATCGCGCGCTTTCAGATGGGCTTTTGTGGCCGTCTGGAACGCTCTTCCTTCCGATATTAGGAAGCCACTGGAGCTACAGACTTTTAAATAATCTTTATTGAAAACTCATTTATTTATAACTGATTTTTGTTTGTTGTCCTTCCCCCACAATTCCAATTCGCATGGTTGGCTACGTACGGCGCGAAAGAAGTTCAACATACAGTACATACGTATCCAACTACTATAAAGCACAGTATGAACCAAACAACACAGTTAAAGTTGATTTGGGAGAGTGTGACATTGTAATACATAATTGTACAGTACTAATAAAATCATGTTGAAGTTACTTATACTGGACATACAAAATACAGCATCAACACGAGTACAGTAAGGGTCGAAAGCAAAATAAACATTTACAACCCGCAGTAATCTGAAATCAGTCTGCACAGACCAGTTTCAAATTAATTCGCCTTCTTGCCAAATCAGACGCCTGCATGTGCAATGGGCCAGATATGCCTTTAGCTATCACCTCCATATAACCCCAACGATCTGAAACAGCGTGATGATTAATGCTGCACTGTACTCGTTATTACAAGGGATTGTGTCACTTTGATGTCAGGTTAAAAAAATGAAAAGGCCCATCAAAATAGGGCTGGACCAGATGCCCTCTCACATACCGGACTGTTTTCGCGTCTTATCCGACCATCTGCAGGTCAAAACATACCTTAGAGCCCATCCCTTGTGAGGCTTCCACTTTTGAATTCCCACCCCTGTTTCTCTTATCGCCTTGTTCAACCCAAGAGAAGACTTCTTTACAGTCGTAGTATCATCTGCAACTTTAACTTTGCAGTTTGTTGCCTGGCGGTTCTGGTGGGGACTGTGCTATCGGTAACTGCGATATAAATGAAACAAAACTATGTAATTGCATGAAAAGCATGGCCATTCGCCGACTTTGGCAGCTGGAACAAACAAAAAAGTGCGCGCAATGCTCCAGTTCCTTTAATGGAAAAAAATCTTCGGACTGTCCCGCATACATTACGCAATCCATAGTGAAAGTAACAACCCACAGTGTTATTTTCACTACGGATTCTTTTCAATCCTTTATTTTGTATAACCCAGTGCGTTTATGTAACTTAACTACAACCCCATACGGTGCTGTATATGCAAACAATGCAGTGCAGCACCAATGCAGGGTGACTTGTGTTGTGTCAAGTACGAAGCGTCTAAAGAATGATCGCTGCCGGTTTACTAAACTATCCAGGCGAAAATGCCCAACAATAAACTCACTATTGTAACGCACTGCAAATGTACACCACCGGATTGCACCACTGTTACGATCCAGACTGCAGACACTGAATACATCACCACATTACTCAACACTTGCAACTCGGTAACGATTTGCAGGACAGGGGCAAGAGTTAAACACGTAAAATTTTGATTGAAAGCTTTCGTGACTGCAGGGATTCATATTCTTGGTTCTTTCGGTAAAGTCACGTAGAAGGGAAGTAATACAATTATAAAAATATAAAACAATAAAATTCTCACGACGTTTCGACTGCAACACAAGCAATCGTCATCAGGCGTGAAATCCACAGCAACAAAATTTGAACACGTTGCTAACAATTTCTGGTGGAATTACACCGCCCACGATTTAACGGCACAAAACCCACATTTCTGCATTTTTGTTTCTTTACAACACAAAAAAAAACCTTTCCCCCCAGTTGAAACCGTCTGAAAAGTGCAAACACAGGCAGAGAATGAGTTCCACTTCAACAGCATCTGTCCAATAAAGACACAGCGGACACATGCCAAACCATGCATCATTTACAATTTAGCTCCCACTTCACAAGCTCAAAGTTCTACGACACTTTAAACACCAGATAACATTCGCTGTTCATCGAGGACTCCCCATCCCAACATAGCAAGCAAAGCGTTGCTACTCAAAGCTGTGGCGAGTTGAGCTGCCCTCCTATAAAGGCGACAAGTCGAGGGCCCCTTCAACGCTGCTGCTGCTGCTGCCAAATATAGGAGGGCACAGCACTGCCAAGGAATGGCAACGTGGTTATAGTGGACCATACTTCACTGGTTTGACAAGACGATTAAATGAACCAACGTCATTAACGCGCATGTACCCCCCCCCACCCATCCACGGTGACCGACGGCCTTTGCTTAGAGTTTGATTCTAGATTTGAAGCTTTCGTGACTGCAAGGATTCATACTCTTCGGTTTTGTCGGTAAAGTCACGTAGGTAAAAAATAAATAATACAATAATACAATATTATTTTATTTCTATCATGTTTATTTTTAATTTTTATTTTTAATAGAATAAAATAAGTATTCTATTTCTATCATTTTATTACTTATTTTTAATAGAATAAAATATAGTTTATTTCCATTATTTATTATTTAGTTTATTTTTTGATAGAATAAAATAACTATTTTATTTCTATAATTTTATTATTTATTTATATTTTTCCCTACGTGACTTTACCGAAAAAACCTAAGAGTTTGCTTAGAGTACCAGCATTTCGCGGAGAGGATACACACACACACAAGACACACGTGTCAAACGATACAGCGGTTCGTGACACTTCTCGAAACAATAGGAAACACATGTAAAGGGTGGAAGGGGGTGAGTGAGAGCACAAGGCCTCTCACAATGACTGCTGTAGGTAGGTGCAAGTCGCGGTGCTTACCATCTGCACTATTTTTAACAGCCCAGACAGAGTCCTGGGGTAATCTTTGTCCACCAGTCCAGGGTTTTGGCCGCCCGACGCCGCCGCCGTGGTGGTGGGAGTGTAAGCTGCGCTATCTGACATCTTGACTGCGCACAGAGAGAGTGGGAGAGGAGGAAAAAACCTAAACCCAACACACACACAGAAAAAAAACCACACGGTGTAACTTATTCCACTCAATAACGCCACTCACGAATGACCCACAACAACAATACGTGTTCCCAAGCTCCGCAACAACAACAACAACAAAAACAAACAAAACGTCTGCCGCTTGTTAACTTGTCCAGCCCGAAAGAAAGTACCGACAAGAACGAGTCGTCGTTGTTGTCGGTACTTTCTCCCGCAGTTTGCCGTGTTCGTGTTCGACGAGATCAAGAATCGCTTACCGCAGCCTCTGTTCGAATGGCAGCAACGTCTCGCGTGGGCACGCAACACGACTGCACGAGCGAAGTTGGCGCTTTGATGGGTTGATGCTGCTGATGCTGCTGCTGCTGCCTCTCTCTCCCCGGCACGTTGTGGGCTACCACCCCTACCCCCTACCCCTTACCACCACCACGCCCACCACGGAACCACGCCCACCTACCCCCACCACGCCCACCTACCCCCTACCACCACGCCCACCTACCCCCTACCACTACCAACCCCCTACCACCACCCCCACCAACCCCCTACCACCACCACGGCACCACGCCCACCACGGCAACACCCCCATCTACCTCCTACCACCCCCACCTACCCCCTACCACCACCACCCCCACCTACCCCCTACCACCACCACTACCTACCCCCTACCACCACGCCCACCTACCCCTACCACCACGCCCACCTACCACTACCACCACGCCCACCTACCACCACCACTACCTACCCCCTTACCACCACGCCCACCTACCACCACCACCACCCCCACCAACCCCCTACCACCACCACCCCCACCTACCCCCTTACCACCACGCCCACCTACCCCCTACCACCACCACTACCTACCCCCTACCACCACGCCCACCTACCACTACCACCACGCCCACCTACCACCACCACTACCTACCCCCTTACCACCACGCCCACCTACCACCACCACCAACCCCCTACCACCACCACCCCCACCTACCCCCTACCACTACCAACCCCCTACCACCACCCCCACCAACCCCCTACCACCACCACGGCACCACGCCCACCACGGCAACACCCCCACCTACCTCCTACCACCCCCACCTACCCCCTACCACCACCACCCCCACCTACCCCCTACCACCACCACTACCTACCCCCTACCACCACGCCCACCTACCCCTACCACCACGCCCACCTACCACTACCACCACGCCCACCTACCACCACCACTACCTACCCCCTTACCACCACGCCCACCTACCACCACCACCACCACCCCCACCAACCCCCTACCACCACCACCCCCACCTACCCCCTTACCACCACGCCCACCTACCCCCTACCACCACCACTACCTACCCCCTACCACCACGCCCACCTACCACTACCACCACGCCCACCTACCACCACCACTACCTACCCCCTTACCACCACGCCCACCTACCACCACCACCAACCCCCTACCACCACCACCCCCACCTACCCCCTACCACTAGCAATCCCCTACCACCACCCCCACCAACCCCCTACCACCACCACGGCACCACGCCCACCACGGCAACACCCCCACCTACCCCCTACCACCCCCACCTACCCCCTACCACCACCACCCTCACCTACCCCCTACCACCACCCCCACCAACCCCCCTACCACGCCCACCACGGCACCACGCCCACCTACCCCACCCCCCCAACGTGTACGTCACAGTAAAGACCACACCCGTACAAAGACACAGATGGCCCCTGTAGGCTTGGCAGACTTTTGGGGACAAGTGCTGTTGGCTGCAAAAGGCCCTCCCTAACCACAACGCCGCCCGTGTTGTATAGGTTTGACAGAACGTTGTACGTGTGTTTTGTGTGTATGCTGACTTTCTTGCGTAACTAACCGTGCTAATTGGTGGTGTGGGGGAAGGGTAACAGACCAAACACAAAACGCAGTTCTAATGCAATGAGCTTTCAATGTAATCAAATGAATACGTTTCAATCTAGCAAGTGCTGTTAGCGAGCACCTCTATGAAGGCTGTCACGGCACAGGAAGTGGTATGGGTGTCCGGCACCACGCCCGGCCGCCTTTGTCTCCCCAGTTGGCGATGTTTATACACCGCACCAGATACTCATTTGAGTCTGAGTCGACCTAGTAGAGGCCCAAGGACCGGTTCAGAAAAATCGTCACTGGCGTTGGTCGGAAGCGGGAGTCAAACCTTGGTGGCCGGGTTCGTAGCGTGCCCGTCAACACACACAATCAGATGCCTGCTCACAAAATCATAATCTTTAGCTCGGGCTGTTGTGGATATTATAACAAAAAAACACACGTTAAAGCCCACTGATAAAAAAAAAATATTAAATACATTGCACAGCCCATCGACCGCACGGCATTCTGAGTGCATTTCAGCAGCATTGATTGGAGACACGCAAAATTCTGGATCGGTATTGACATACAAGTGTCTCATCAGCAGTCAGGCTTTGCGTCTTGAATCAATGCTGGCGAACTCCCCACCATGAGCACCACTGTCAAAGCTGGTCCAGAGTTTCGGTCACCTTGAATCAATGCTGTTGAAATAATGCCACTACGAAGAAGGTCGTGGTGGCTGAAGAGATGTGTGTGTCAAAAGAAAATATTGAATGACGGATATATGTAGGAGCCATGTCGCATGCCAACTCACAGGGTGGCCGATTCAAACGTTGGCGTGTTCCACGTTGTTTTTGTTGTGGGGCCACGCGTATGGTTTCTGGCGGTCTTGTCTGCCGAGCGGATTTGCCAGATTCTACACGGGGTGGTCCAGATGTCTTAATTAACCCCGAACATTTGTTTTCCTTTCCATGTTCATTTGTGTTTTACATGCGCTGTACTTTAAAACATTACGTTTCAGAGATGTTGTGCAATGTAAGAAGCCTACAGTGGGTGACGGTTTGTGTAAAATTATTTTATTGGTACGACCGTACTGTGTAATTGTCGTGTAGTCTGCTCTGCTGCCCCCACTTTCTGGAATCCCTGGCCCCCTGCCACCTGTGCTGTCACTCCCAGTCACTTGCTCCCTGTTCAAACGACCCTTTACGAAATAAACACCGTATACCAACTGTATATCCGGGGTGGTGCAGATGTATTATGACCCCCATTTAATTCTATAAACTTAATATATATTTTAAGTAATGTTTCTTTAAAACAGAAATGAATATGCCAATGAAAAATATATTAAGGGTAATTTAATTGGCGGGGGGGGGGGGGGGGGTCACAAGAGATCTGGACCAACATTTCCAGCGTTTATATATGCGGTCGTAGTTTCAAGCTATGAAAGTTCAGATTTCGACCAAACCCACCAACCCAGCGGGGTCGGTAGAACAGCATCTGTGTGAATGTATGTGGACTTCGTACCCCTGGTACAGTCATTCCAGAAGGGATGAAGATTGCTCATGCCAATTCTGTGTGGACATAAGTGACTATATATATGAAGATAATAGTGTTATTGGTTCTTTCGGTTAAGTCACGTAGAAGGGAAATAATAAAGTAATAAAATAAAAAATAAAAATCTTGCTGTGGTTTTCACACCTGATGATGATTGCTTGTGTTGCAATCGAAACGTCGTGAGAATTTTATTATTTGATTTTTATTATTTTATTATTTCCCTTCTACGTGACTTTACCGAAAGAACCAATAATATGAATCCCTGCAGTCACGAAAGCTTTAAATCGAAAGATAATAGTGTGACGTATGTTCTTTGGACGGGATGACAAAACACATTCCATTATTCTGACTCCGATACCCTGTGAACGTGAAACGTTGGACTAACATTGGGCCAACGTTCCATGTTGTTGCATGTTTACTCGACATTTACCGAATGCTACCTTGGCGGTGGTGCACAGCCTCAAATAACAACAGCAAAGCCTCAGCACATTGGCCAATAACATTACCTTAAAAGTACAACAATATATAAGCGTCGACGTTTGAGCCAATTGATCCTTCACCGCAGCACATGCACTCGGATGAAGGGCGATGTACCGAAACGTCGCCCATTATATGCGCGTTATTGACGAACGCGTGGAGTTTATCGTCATTTATCTGGAGACTCACTTGACACCACTTGCCGATTGTCATCTCACCCCACCCTCACCACTCACCAGCTCATTGCAATGAATGCCCCCCCGGCTATCAACCACCTTTCCAACGACCATCGCCCACCCCATTGTATGATTTTTGTAACGGCTGCCGCATCACGTGTTCGTCTATTGTCAACACAGTTTGTGATACTGCGTTTGACGGTGGTGAGCAAAAGCACAAACAACACAAACTCAACACATTGGTTAATTATAATAGGCGACGTTTCGGGCAATGGCCCATCAAAGCACAGGACAGAGAGAGGCCTTCATTCCACATAGGCCAATTACCATCTATCTCTCTAGCCTCTCCGTGTGCTATAAAGGTTCGTTGTCCGAAACGTCGTCCCCGTTATATAATTTTAAAACAGTTATATTGACGAATGTTTGTTTTAAATTGTGGTAGAGCGGTTAAGCATAGCTAGGACCAACCGAATAATTATCAGGTGAATTGTGTTTTAGTAACTTCCGACTCCACGCATAAACTGCATTACCACAACGAGCTTTCAAATAACGCTCATTCATTGACATTGGTGGAGTGAACACACCCGTTCTCAACAAACAGCCGCATATACTGTAGTTTAAATAGATTTACTGGTGTTTATTTTGAGATTCAAACTATTATGCAGCTAACATGTGAAAGAGCTCACTTTATTTAAGTTTAGGAACACTGTACTTTGTTCGCCAAACTTGTTTAATGGCCTTTTGTTTTTGGTGTTTGGAGTTGGGCCCACAAACAAAATGTGGACATAGGGCAAATCCCCTATCTCCTTCAGACTCGATCAGCCATAACATGCTTCCTCCTGTTGCGTAAAGCGAAACCTCTACCTCTGTAGAACAAATAACAGAAATAAAGACACAGATTAGAGAACATACTCACGTTGTAGGTTAAACACAATAATTCAAACCCTTGAGGGCATTTAAAATGGGCTTAGGCAGGAGGCCATGTCTACAATTTAATATGCTAAACTTTGGTCAAAAGTAATTCCACGTTTCCGGAATACCCTTCCCACTCATCTACAGGATGATCCAGATGTCTTGTGACCCCACATTAATTCACTCCTCTAACACTTTTTCCTTTGCATATTAATTTTGTTTTAAATAAACCTAACTTTAAATATAGTAACTTTTAGATAACTAAATGGGGGTCATAAGACATATGAACCATATTCTTAGGTTTTTTCGGTAAAGTTGAAAAAACCTAAGAATATGAATCCTTGCAGTCACGAAAGCTCCAAATCTAGAAAACATATGAACCATCCTATACAGCTTGGTTCCCTCCCTTCTCCCCATCTTTATTTCCCTATTAAACCAAAACATAGAGCTTACTTTGACATGCACCTACATTTATTCTGGACGCTTCTTGCTCTCATGTATGTTCACTTTCTTTTATTCTAGTGCCCTGTCACGTATGACCGTTAAATACCACGTTAGGTGTGCAATATTTATTCAGGACCCTTGCACTCGTTCTGTGCAATATTTATATTTGACTTAAAGCTTCCGTGACTGCACGAATTAATATTCTTTGGGTCTTTCGGTAAAGTCACGTAGGTAGGTTAAAATTAATTTTAAAAAATCCTGATGACGCTCGCTTGTGTTGTGATCGAAACGTCGTAGTTTTTGGTTTATTTTTATTCATTTGAACCTATCTACGTGACTTTACCAAATGACCCAAAGAATATAATATTTATATTTTTTGTCTTTTGTTTCCGTTGCTGTGCTCACGCACTACGGATCTCCCTTGTAAAATAGCCGGGAACTGGCTAAACAGGATCATCCGTGTAACAAACCGAAACGAATTAAAACTAGATGGAATGATGATAATGGCCCGATAAGTCAGGAATAGTGATGGAAGTGTCGGCCAAGGAATGGAACGCGTCCGACCGAGAAAGCACAACGGCGAGTAGACACGAAGCGGTGAAATCGGTTCGTGTGAAAGGAAGTGACAAGGGTGGGTGAGGACTGATGGCATTGCGAGATCGCGGGAGGCTCCATGCGGCTTGGGGGAGGCAACTCATCCAGCAGTGAATTGACCAATTCAGTATTAAACACATTCCTGCGGAGGGAGCTGGCAGGAACGTTGGGTTGCTCGGTCAATGGCCAGGGTCAACGGCGGCGTAGTGTATTCCGCAAATATGCCTGACTGTGAGGGCCGGCACAAGCCGGCGTGAGTAGGTTAAACGTTGAGTTTTATAAGGGCACCACAAGGTGACCAGCCCCTCCCCACCCAGCCCCACCCTCTCCCACCCCCCACTCAGCCCCACCCTCCCCACCCAGCCCCTCCCCACCCAGCCCCACCCAGCCCCTCCCCACCCAGCCCCACCCTCCCCACCCAGCTCATCCCCACCCTCCCCACCCAGCCCCTCCCCACCCTCCCCTCTCCATCCAGCCCGACCCCTCCCATTTTTGGATGCACGACGGACGGACGGACACAATAATCCCCAGTGGGCTGGTGGAACCAGGTGGTTCCTACCAGTACTATTTAACATCAGCAAGGTTTTGACAGGTGGCAGTCGTTCGTGAAAGGGCCGACACCATCAACTCTCCTGTCCACTTGAGTATACGTAGTTGTTGATTAGACAGGGCTGAACAATTACTCTTAACACGGCAATAACTAAATGTATTACACGGTCGTTACGCCTCAATAAAACATGTGGAGATGTATGTAACAGCATGACAATATAATTCTAAAATCCCACCTGAGGGCACGAACAAAACCCCAATTGAATTCTCTATAATGTAATATGTTTTAAGTAAGGTTTGCTTAAAACATAAATCAATGTGCAAAATATGTGTTTAGGGGTTAATTAATTGGGGGGGGTCACAATATATTTGTACCACCATGTACAGTATTATTAGTATGTACAAAGCCTAACTTGTACATTAGCATGTACAAGTTTGGTTTTGTTTCTATACCGCCACCTTGTGTTTAAATACTACATGGTGCAGAAAATGTCGTTGCAAATACGTGATGCTGCATATATATATATGTTTTCTTTCATATGGAACCCAGATTTGCAGTCGAATCTATTCAATTCTTCAATAATGTCATGTTTTGTAATTCACTTGTATCGATTGGTTATGGCCAAACAGAAAACTTAGATAATACTTTCTATAATTCATGAACGTACATTTTCTGGAAACATCTTATCAAGTCTTCGTGAAAAACTTTGGCGAAAGAACATCTAATCGCCTGACTTCATAATATGTATTCACATTATTTCATTGCATTTTGTTATAAATAGAATACATGTATATCGTTTCATTTCTAAATGTTTAATTTTGCCCTTAGTTTGTATTTGGATGGCCACATCAAAGCTCACCAAGTAGAATGCCATTTCATTCTCTACACAGGCTAGGCATAATGGTATTAATTTATTTTCTCCCAGTATCCTATTGATAGTATATTTACGCGTACTCATCCAAAAAAACCTGTAATATGGATATTGGTCGCAAAAGTCTACGTGTTAAACTGAGTATGAGGGCGTATACATGTTTAAAATGAATGTACACCCAGGGTAATTATTGAAGGCAGCCTAGGATTGAAAAACTACATGAAAAAATAGGCAATTGGAGTGGTTTTGGAAAGCTGAACGTGATCATGATGTATTCATTAATTTATTGGTTATTGGATCCAGGGGGTGGAATATGCTGCCTATAACATGTGCTACTTCACCGGCATTGAATTCAAGCAAAGCCCGACTCAGCTGATGAGACACAGTGTGTTGAAACCGGTCCTGTTGTACGTTCAGCAACATGCGTTGAAGAGTATTTGGCCGCTATAAATGTCCACATGATATGCCACTTCGTTGAGTTATTTATTGTGGCCAGGTCGCTTCTGAAATAACTAATAGCTCGGTAAGCTTTACCTGGTAAAATGAAAATAGTTTCGATTATTTATAATGATTTACTTTTACGTTTAGCAACATGCGTTGAAGAGTATTTGGCCGCTATAAATGTCCGCATGATATGCCACTTCGTTGAGTTATCTATTGTGACCAGGTCGCTTCTGAAATAACTAATAGCTCGGTGAGCGTATCCTGGTAAAATGAAAATAGTTTCGATTATTTATAGTGATTTACTTTGCACTCCTATCGGTTTTTTAAAAATCGTTTGTTGTAACTTTCTGACCCGCCCCTACCGAAAGCCAGTGACAGCTCGTGACATTTCCACTAGGTGGTGCTGTTAGGGACCGTCCATAAATGACGTCACGCACCTAGGGGGGGGGGGTGGAGATCAGACATTTGTGACGATGTGTGACGAGGGGGGGGGGTTTGAGAAATGTGACGTCACCTCAAAATGCGCAACTTTAAATAAATAGACAACACGTTCTACTTAATTATTAATGAAATATTTTTTTCAATAAATGTTTTCTCCTACAACATCAGAGTGCAGCGGCACATTAAATACGCACTACAATGACAATAGTTTAAAGCGATTTGAAGCATGTTTTTTTTTGGGGGGGGGGGGCAGAGCTTTGTGACGTCATATTTCAGGGGGGGGGGTCTGACTTTTTGTGACGCCATGTGACGAGGGGGGGGGGGGTCAAATAATCGTCCAAAATCGTGAGACGTCATTTATGGACGGCCGCTTGTGAGTGACCTCTGAAAATATTTATTTCTTTTATAATTTATATTTTATTTCTATAATAATAAAAATAATAGAAATAAAATAATATTTATAATATAACTAAAATAATATTTTATTTATTATTTATAACTAAAATAATATTTTATTTATATTATAATTTTCATTATGTTTATTATGTATTTATTATTTATTTTTTACCTACGTGACTTTACCGAAAAAACCGAAGAGTATGAATCATTGCAGTCACGAAAGCTTCAAATCTAGAATTCTCAACTGTTTTCTGAAAAACTAGCTTTTTTTAATTTGTAGACGTTGAGTAACGGACAAGCGCTATCAATAATAAAAACCGGTACATAAACGAATGCGTATTTAAATAAATGTTTATTTTGCAACTTTTAAATCGGATCTCGTGGTCACCGCGGCGACGGCGTTCCCCGCACGTCACTGCCTGTATCAAGACCCCAACAGTGATCACCAACGCGATGCCTGTTGTTTGCATTTAAATATAAATCCCGCTGTCACTAATATAATGGCAAAAAAAATCCAAATATATTTCTTATATCAATTCAGCCGTTTTTAATCACACACATATATATTTTTACAAACATCGGAATTCAAATATTAATATGGGGTCCGTTTCGCGTTGCTTTTGCCCGCCCGGCACCTTGCAGCTGATCTCCGCGGACACCTCTGGAGGGGTCCTTCGCGCATAGCGCGGTTCAAGCGGCGGGAGTTTTTGTCGCTTCACGATCTTCGCCTCCGAATCGGAGCGACTGCAACAGAAATATAAACGAGGGGGGGGGGGGGGAGGAGGCAAATACAAATAAAAACAGGAGAGTTCACTAATAAACACGCAACTTATACACCTCAGTAGCTAACGCACGGTCAAAGAAACTCCCCCCTCACGAGCAGATCGACGCCGCTGCTACGGGCGGCATGGATGTGCCGTCGCTCGTAAACAAACTGGGTGAGGTTATTATTGTTGTTATTTATAAAGACATAAAAGTGTGTCGCCGTTCTACTCCTCTGTCGTTAACAGCGTGCGTGGAACCGGTTCTGGGCCTCCCCAAGGTCGACTCGGCCTCAAACGAGTGTCCGGTGCCACGGTGTGTGTAGTTAAATCAAGGTGCACTTGGCCTGGCACAAGCATCGTGGTGACGTCACCGCCACTTAGTGGCGAATGGCGGTTGTTGTTGTAGTTAAACATCGTCGCTGGGGGGAGACAAAGACGGACGGGTGTGGTGGTGACCTCCCGCAAACTTCCTCGTGTACCGTGCCGGCCTTCATAGGTGCTGCTCGCTGACAGCACTTGCCTCTACAATGTTAAGGCTGATAGTTGTTTTGTTACCCTTTTATCTGGCAACAAAACTTGACATTTTCTACAAGGAATCATGTTTGCATTGATCACAATACCTGCGGTCGGAATGCAAACAAAAACACGACTCTGATAATGTATGATAATGAGATGCACTGTTTTGATTTAAAGCTTGCGTGACTGCAGGGATTCATCTTCTTGGTTCTTTCGGTAAAGTACCAACCCAGTTTAAAGATACGCTCCAAGCGTGGTGCTGTTTCATTCAGACGCTGTCTCCCCGACAGATCTGGTCTTCACCTGAGGACGGCTGCTTGCGTTGTGGCCGAAACGTCGTGAGAATTATTTGTATTATTTTTTATTATTTTTTATTATTTTATTACCTCCCTTCTACGTGACTTTACCGAAAGAACCAAGAAGATGATATGCACTGTCCTTGAAATTGATTGGTCCACACCCGAGACAGCTTTTCTTAGAGCCTAGTCTCACCCTGGTGTTGGACCAGATGACGCCAAAAGGTGTCAGTTTTGTTGCCAGATAAAAGGGTAAGAAAACAACTCATATTTTGATACTGGCAAAGGAGGTTCCAACAATGTTTAGGCTATATGGGTGGTCCTTGTGGGGTGCGGTGGTTTGTGTGCTGATTTCAACACGACGACTAAAAATTTAGATTTTCGTTGAGGGCCAGCATCGGTCGCCTCCTCTCCTAGGTCGACCCGGCCTTCAATAATGTAGCTGGTGTACGGTGGTGTGCACCACATTACATCAGTATTGGGGGTCAGACGGGCATGCCGGCCGCGTGGGTGAAAAAAAACATTTTTCCAGCGGCAGGCATCGGGTTTTTTCATTAATACATTTAAACCCTATTTTGGGGCATTAAAACCTGATTTAATGAATACGAAACTCTGATAGGCTTAGGCTGCTTCCTCGTCGGTGCTGCAATCGTACTCGGGGCCGTCGGGCACGAGGTAGTCGTAGAATGCGGTGGGCAGGTTGGTCTTGATGAACACGAGCTTCTCCTCCACAATCGTGGGCGCCAGTGAGTTCCTGAGCTTGGAATGGATGAAGCCCATCGTTGAGAAGTGCGGTTCTGCAATTAGAACCAATTAAACCGGATTTCTCCCAATCTTAGATGATCGGGTTTAATATAAAAAGACAATTAAACTTGATTGTAAAAAACCCGACTGTGCCACCCTTGGCCGGTCGTGATGCCGATTCAGTCTGCTCTGGCACCAACAGCCCTATCTGTGCTCCAGCAGTCTGTTGTCGTGTGTACGGTACAGGGGCTGTGCATTGGTGAAACATACTCTTCGGTTTTTTCAGTAAAGTCACGTAGGTAAGAATAAATAATAGAAATAAAATAATAAATCACGACGTTTCGGAGGCAACACAAGTCTCCGTCATCAGGTGGGACCGTCACAGCCAGATGCAGCTAATCTGGCTGTGACGGTCCCACCTGATGACGGAGACTTGTGTTGCCTCCGAAACGTCGTGATTTTTATTGTTTTATTTTAATTTTAATTTCATTTTTTAACTACGTGACTTTACCGAAAGAACTAAGAGTATGAATCCTTGCAGTCACGAAAGCTTCAAATCTATAATTAAGTTGTAACCGGTGTTGGCTGATAATCCAAATATAAAAAGGCAGTACTGTTAAACATTTGTGAAACAGTTGAAGGTCCAAGTTGTGCATCTGCCAGCACCGACTGAGCCTTCGCACACTTCACGTGAATTGCATTCAAAGTGCACCTAGCCTGGCACAAGCGCTGTGGCGACTTCGCCACCACGTACGTTGCGGATGGTGGATGTTTGGGTTTATCCGCCCCCTTCAGATGTAATCTTAATTTTCTTGTGGACGAAGGCCTCTCCAAGCCGATAACATCTCTCATGACCCTGCCGCTGTTGACCAACCACCTTGCTATGGCGCTGTTGAACTTCTTTCGCACCGTGCGTAGCCAACCGTGCTAATCGTAGGTGTCGGGGGAAGGACAAGCAGATGCACAGCGGCTGATTTCATCCATCGCTGCATTGTTTAAATGCTGCCCTCCCCCTTGGCTGCCACTCGGATCACCTGTCCATCATCCCTTCTTTTGACACCTGTCAACCCACACGGTTTACCTGTATTCTTGTACAGGGAAATTGAGTTTTCATGTCCATACGGCGTACAGCCGTGTGCTTATGTGTGTGTCTCTGTGTGTCTGTGTTATCTATCTTTGCTTATGTGTCTGTCTATGTGTCTCCGTGTCTGTGTTTTGTTTCTCTCAAATTTAGCAATCTTTGGAATAACGTAATAAACCAGGTAGGCGGTTGACTGTTATGTTAGCCGACTCTCTGTGTTGTATTGCAGTATATTTATAAGTTTACTAGGTTTGTTTTCTCTTTCATTTGTACCTGATGATGATTACTTGTGTTGCAATCGAAACGTCGTATGCTGTTATGTAATTTATTTTTCTTTCTACGTGACTACCGAAATAACAAAAATATATAGTTTCTGTCTATATGTTTGTGCTTCTCCCTTGTGATGAGACTTTGTAGGATGAAAGTTAAGATTTATAAGGGCACGGGTTGACCTATACGGCTTGAATTGGTCTATAATAAGGGAGGCACTGATAAGGGGTTGACAAGTTTATGCTTCTTGCGACGTGCCCTGCTTTTAACCCACTTACATTCTTAACTTGGTAATCGACGAAGAAAATGTGACGAGCTGAAAAGTGAGGAGCTTGTATATGTAATGCCAAGTTCGTCAGTAAAGACGAGCGCTACTACACCCTTGGGTTGTGTTATCTAATCATGGGCCGTCCTGTACAACGGACGAACACAATCCTTCAAAGAGCATTTAAATTGTACAAATTTGCGTTATGTCAATGTTAGATGCCACGACTGTTATGAATGGAGCGCCTCGCTAGTTTTCAAATCTTTTCACTTTAAGCTGCCAACTTGTTTCGGACAGCCCACACTGAGCAGGTTGTGTAAATTCTCGTGTGTCTTTTTGAATTGTGCTCTTCATTTGAAGGTAATTTCACCGTAACGATGGATTTATTGCTTTCATTAATGTCAATACTTTTTTGCTTAAGAAAGAAACCCTGCTCGGAATTGTATCGCCACTTTAGGAGCAAGTATGTTTTATTGTTGGGGAACAAAAAACCCCTAGTGCCCGGTTAAAATTAAATGTACGTACTAAACAAGGCTCAAACTAAGCATGACAATGTCACCTATGTGCTATACTGCACCTTGTATTATTTCTTCCAGACGGGTGTCGCATGCACAACGGCTTTATCTAAACGTGATTCACCAACTCCGCTTCCAAATGTATGGATTACAGGCCTCTAGATGTATACATTTAATTGGTCGTGTTGATTAGTAGTGCTGTAGATGGCTGATGATATCTAATTAGGTTGAAACCGGCATCTACTGTACTACTGGACATCTTGTCACCTATTTGACGTCTCTAAAAAAGAGCTTTGCAGCTCATCGGATTCCTCCAGTATAAATAAAGATTCTGATGTAGTTGTCTATTTGCTTTCATGAGAAGTTTCAAATGCTCTGTTGCCCTGTGGCCGTGTCCTTGGCTGGCTGTATACACGCCCTCTGTTGAGTCGTAAAGGAATTTCAACGAAGTCTATAACACTGCTTAAAATAAATATATATACGTACAGGCACTGTTTATAATAGGCGACGTTGCGGGCATTTGATTGCCCATAACACATTAGGAAGGGCCAAACGTCATCTGGTTTGAATATTTTTTTTGTATTTTAAGGCAGTTTTAATGAGAAATTGTGTTTTCTGCACCACTACCAAGAGTAACATTACTAAATAATTCGTGAAGGAAATGTTGGTTTTCTATTCAACAAAAATAGTGTTTCTAAAATGTGCATTTACAAAGCGTGTATGTATATTAAAAAAAACATTCTATCATTGTAATAGTGCATTGAGAGTTTAGGGCGAAGTAAAGTTTGTAAAGAAGCAGGGAGCGATGCACGCAGGTAATTAAACTGCTAGACAGATAAGTAGCAAGTGAGATTGGGCAGGACGCATCCTTCGAACATGCCCGAAATGATGAACACCAACAGTGGGTTGTGTACAATGCAACACTCCAAAGATTCTGTTCAAGTAGGGGGAACATGCACATTTAGAGGGTTAAGGAGGGAGAAAGGATTTAAAAATAGGCATTTGGTGAGATAGTTTTTTTACAATTTTTGGAGGTGGTTGTCAGCTGTAAGGTCCAGATGAAGACAATAATAGTGAACAGCCAGATGCTCTGCTACACTTTTTTTTAACATACTGTTTTTCTGTGTGACAAATTAATTCCTGTAGGCCACCATCTGGAGGAGATACGTGTGCGGGCGCTCAAGAATCTACTGCTCAAGCTGGAGCATGGCTTGCTGGCTGAGGCGGACCTGGTGCAGGAAAAGCGCTTGCTTGTCCGCTTGCTTGAGTGGTTCAACTTCCCTTCTGTGCCCATGCAGAAAGAAGTGCTGGGGTTGCTGCACAAGCTTTCCCAGGTGGGGATACGTATTGCATATGGGATTATGGCGTCATCATCCTAAGTGTACTAAGAATCTTGAAGTTTTAGTTTGGTCTTCATTGTTTTGATTGTGTTTAGCTTTGCAAATTTTTTATGGCTGCTTCATCCATAATAGAGATTTTTTTTGGGTTAGATCGCGTAAATATATAAATGTGTCGTTAAAACCCGCCACCACTCGACATAGCCAACTAGTCTAGTAAGGGTTGTAATATAAACAGAACGTGCCAATTCGTCACTCGTACAGCACACTGGTGTGTTGGAGAGCCAAGCCACAACATTTACAATCTTGAGTACGACATTTCGCCAGTAATTACAACTAGCTTCATCAGGCGACAGCCAGATTTGTGGAGAAGTCCACCTGTTTCGTTCCTTATATAGAGGTATAGATGTTGTGACCACACTTCTGCGCTGTTGTGCAAAGTGGGGGGAGATGAATGAGGCAACGTACATTATGCATGCGCATTTTGCGATCTTTTTAATCTTGTCCTTGCTGTCCATTGTGTGTATTAAAATAACCATACCAACGGTAATCCCTATTGAATGCCTTGTATAGGCAAGCATTTAAATAATGTATTGTATAGTTAATGATTCGCTTACGTGTTAAACTGGCTGCTTCATATTTGTTTCTGCGAATTAAATTTGTAAGTCAAAATGCTGTTATTAGATTGAGTTTGGTTCGTGCCTCTTTAAGGATGGTACACTTTAAGGCTTGTTGTTGTCCTTCCGCCACACCTCCGATTAGCACGGTTGGCTACGTACGGTGCGAACGAAGTTCAACATACATATACATCAGTATTTTTAAGGATGAATTTATAATTTAGGATTGTGTTTTTTTATAAGTCTTTTCATTTGCCTGTACATTTGTTTTGCTTGCGACACCCCGTGACAGCATTCTTCTGCAGCGGGGTTACTGGTCGAAATTGGAGCACTTGAGTTCCTGGCGCAGCTGCGGCCTAACGTGCAGGCGTCACTGCAGGCACCTGTGGACAGCATCATGGACTGCCTACTGCGCCTCCCAACAGTGCAGCCCGAGACCCCCTCTGTGATGTACTCTGCCAATTCCCCACCAGAGGACACTCACCAGCAAGGTAATAATAGTATGCTCATCTATATTGTTGCCTTGTGCATTATTTAAAAATAGTTTGGCTCATAGACCTGCTGATATAAAATTTGGCTGTAATTATTAGTTTAAAATGTTGCTTCTGTCTAGTAATGAAATGGAAAATTAATTAACAATAGTGGCAATTATTTACCCTGAAAAGCCTCACTGTTTCTCATATTTTTTTCATTGAGGTCCTTAATTGTGATGCTTGGAAAATTTCATTAATTAGTGTTTAGTGTCATGTAGCAGGAAACTAGGGTACCTGGAGAAACCCACAAATATAACGGATGAAACAAAACACTGCCATCTCCTGGTCATCCCGCAGCCTCACATCCATATAACCTCACTGAAAGCCCTCCCTTGTTGGTCATCTATCCAACTACTAACCAGGAGAAAACATTTCTAAACCGGCTCAAATTCTACTCAGCATTTTGGCTAATTTGTATGTAGGCCAATATACTCGTGGCTATTAGAGATAGTGAGTGACTGTGACTTCATAACATAATTTGAGTGTCTTGTGCTGCATATGAAGAAAGTTTGATTGGGAAAAATTGATATCATTTTTATGAAAGTGGAACTTCTATGTTTTAATCTACACTTGCTTATTTTGGTCAGGTTCTCTTGCTTTGAAACCAATGCAGGCAGATGGAAACACGGGCTATTTTATACACAGCAAGAAGGAAAAGGACATTCCAAAAAACAACATAATCTTGCCAGGTACGTGTCATGAAAACTCACTTTTTCAAGTATGGTAATGTTTTTTGAAAAATATTTAATTGGCTGGAATAATGTTTAATTTTAAAGTCGCACAACTACACAGCATGTGATGTGTGACATGACAAGAGGCCCGTGACATGCCTTGATGCTATTCGGAGCGTAGAAGGAAGGGAGGTGCATTCTTTTAGCACTGTTTTTTGTCTCCAGTTTTGAGGAATTCTTTGATAAATGTTACCGGTTTCCTATCAGGTAAGTTCTTAATATAAAATTTTAAGGTAATTATTACGTTAAATGTTGCTTCTATTGAATGATGAAATGGGAAATTAGTTAACAATAATGGCAATAAATTACCCTGTTTATATGAGATAATATTTTTTATGAGTGTTTAGGCGTCCCCGCATTACAGACAGATGGAAATAATTTATGCATTCACACTTTCAACCTTGGCTGGAAAGCATTAAAAAGGGTGGATGGATGGTATAATTTTGTATCAAGCCAAAGCATCCTTGACAGCAATAAATGGGTGGGGGCAGGATAGAAATGTGTGAGTCCATGATAACTTTTTTTGGGTTAGATTGTGTAAATTGATATGTATTGTAGTAGGTTTTTACCCTTTAAAACTAGTACAAAACTGACACTGGTAAAAGAGATCTCATAGTTGATATGTATTATACACTAACCTCCACCCGGCACAGCTAGTTAGTAAGGTACTAATTGGACAATGCACACATTAAGCGTAATTATTTGAATGTGTTGCCACAAGTATGAGTGGTTAATGTGGACTTGATGCCTTGGAATAGGTGTCTATGTTGTGTTTTAACATCTTAACACCTGTATTTTATCACTTACTTTTTATACCATCCTAAATACTGGCAAAAAAGGTCCCATAGATGTCGCTGGAAATAAATTGTTACTGCTGCATGGATGAAAGACTGATTGTAAATACGAAAAAATGTTGTTTTACTTTTGTTTCAGTAAACGACGTTGTGAAGTGTTTAAAGTTTTCTACATTTCCATGGCTCTGCCTAACTCCAAATGATAAGCATGTTCTGACTTCAACGGAAAGGTAAAGTTATTTCTGCTTGGTACACATTAATTTTTGGTTCAATATGAAAAGCTGGCGAGACGTAATTCTCTGAAGCAATAAAGTCTAGCCTTGAATGCATAATGAAAATAATACTGTACATGCAGAATCAGGAAATGTATAACATGGACAACTTTTATAATTAAATAAAACTCTCAGCTATTAAATAGTTTGCCACTGTGCCTAAATCAGAGTTGCTTTTTTTTTACTGCTGAAATTGAAAGTTCAAGAAATAATGGAAACCATTGCATTTGAACATGATTAAAAGAAAGAATCTGTCTGGTGTGCTACTTTTGTTGCCAGGTCCTTACGGAGTAAGAATGCCAGCCTGATTAGAAGTTCCTGCGACTTTTTATTGGATGTGATGATGTGTGATTTTCCTGCTGAAACATTCTTACAACGGCCAAATATAGTAGAGGTATTTTTTTTTAACCCCATGTTTTATTTGTGATAATATTCGTTAATTCTTTCGTCATATTCAGGTGTAGGATTATTTCCTCTGCTGTGTTGCATATATTAAAAAATCAGTTGTCAAACATCTGTCAAATGCCTATAAATGACTGGTAATTCATAATAATATTGGATGATCACAGTTTTGTCCTTTTATAAGTTAGTTGTTTGGTACAACTGTTCTATTCGTTATTATAATTATGCTGTGTAATGTTTTATTGGAATCATTAGGACAGTGGTATTTAATATAATAATTCCAATCGTGGTAACTTTTGAAAATGATCTAAGAGATACATGTATGTAGCATTACAACGTATGTGTGTGTAATCATAATTGTAAGTTTATTCCAAGTGTGTACAACTGCGTAATTATATTTTCAGGTTTTAGTGTATGATACAGAAATGTGGAATAACAGGGTTGACTGTTTTTTCAGAATGGGATGTAATAATCACTTACCAGGGACAATTCCCTCTTAAGCTCTGGAATAAAAAAAAACAACCTGTATATTTACTTTTAAATACGAAAACTATGCAATAAGTGATATATTTGCATTCACAGGAAAATGACAAATGTGTGTTATATGGTAGCATGTATTACAGAATAGTTAAATCTACTGTTTTTTTATATTTTATTATTAAAAAAACCCAGTGTTTTCAACTCAATTTATAAATAATTCATACGAGGGTCAACCAGAAAGTAGTGCCCCACTTTTTTTTCCCCTGGCCGAAATGTATTTAGGAAAAGTGAAACCTACCCATATAATTAGCAAATGTATTGATTGTATGTGCATTAATTTTCCACATAATCCTCTTCCACCTCAATGGTTTTACACCATTGAGACAAGACAGCATGTATTTCTTACCAGTGAAGCATTCCTTTCTGGGGGACCCTTGTCGAATAAATGTAAAAAAAAATCCATATGATACCCAGCATGGTTGTAAATGTCTCATTGTTTACAGAACCTGTTGCTGCTATTGAGGCTGGCCGGAGGAGCAGATGGGACCCACCATCTGGCCTTGCATGCGTTACGGTGCCTCCACCACCTGTGCCGAAACCTCACCAGCCGACTTTGCTTTCACAGGGACCCTGCGTTCTTTTCCACCAAGCCAGGTGCTTGCGGCTGAGCAGGCAGTTGCCCACAATTATTTTTCTCGCATCGCTGTTCATTTTAGCTCTGCATGTTATAGCAAAATCAAATCTTGAATTTGTAAAAGTACCTGCGATTAGCATGGTTGGCTACGTACGGTGCGAAAGAAGTTCAACATACACACATACAAATGTCAAGGCGCACAATCAGCTGATTGCATTTTCACTTATTTGTTAACACTAACGAGTTGCAGATTTCTGTTACCTTATTTGTGTAGTTTCCATCGAAAGTCATTTCATTGTTTTGTGTTCCGATACTGCTCCACTACCGACAGAGGGCACTATGTGTGTGCTTAAAAACTGGTATTGTAAAGCAACCCAAACATGTAATATCTGATTATATTGAACATGTCTAAAGTAGATATGCATAATCTAGATTGGAAGTTTTCGTGACTGCAGGGATCCATACTCTTTAGATCTTTCGGTAAAGTCACGTAGGTATAACATAAAATAAATTAAATCACGACCTTTCGGGCACAACACAAGCGTCCGTCATCAGGTGGGACAACCACAGCAAGAAACAATTGCTGAAGTGGGTAAAAGAGCTGCTGTGACAAGAGGCTATGTAGGTAAGAGAGGGGTGAGGAGCCAGGGAGGAGAGATAGAGAGGGGGGTGTGGGGTAAGGGGAGTGGGGCGTCTCTTGTCACAGCAGCCCTTTTGCCCACTTCAGCAATTGTTTCTTGCTGTGGTTGTCCCACCTGATGATGAACGCTTGTGTTGCACCCGAAACGTCGTGATTTATTTTATTTTATACCTACGTGACTTTACCGAAAGAACCAAAGAGTATAGATATACATACCTGCAATCCAGAAATGTGGAATCAGGATTAGTGGATCGCATAGGGGTAGCATCTGAAATAGACCAATCCACAGGACAACAAAGTGACTGCGGGAGGCAGTACAGAGAGGATGATATTGAAGTTTCAGTATTATGCCTTTGTATTCATGATTTTCTTCTGGGTACACTAGTTCAGAAAACAAATGTATGTATGTTGAACTTATTTTGCACCGTACGTAGCCAACCGTGCAAATCGGAGGTGTGGGTGAAGGACAACAAACTAAACACAAAAAGCAGTTCTAAAGAAATGAGTTTTCAATCTAGATTTAAAAGTGCATACGAGAGTCATTGGGGCTTTCTTGGGTAATCAAAAAAATTCGTTTGTTACAAATACAGTGCTCTTCCTATGATTTGCAGATGTGGACTATCAGAACTCCTCAGTATCCAGTTCAGGCACCTCAGTGGAATCAGATGAGCGATCAGCTACCGCTGCTGCCACCAGCCCTCGCCCGTCTACTCAGGGTCACAGGGACCAGCGGCCACGTGGGGACGGCAGGGACGGTGACCTTTCTTCCTCTGCCTCCAGGTCTCACTCCTGTCCTGTTTTGTTGTGCTGACGATTTGATTAAATAATGGATTTCTTGATTTTCTTCGGACAAGAACAACTTTAAATATAAATACTTATTGATGCTATGCATTATAGAAACAGTGCAAAGTAATCAGCAACTTATTACTAAAACAGTGTTAAAGGGTAGGTTTATTAATTACATTTTAATGAAAGTCAATATGAAGCATAATTTGTCTTAGTCAGAAAAGCATCAAACAGATATTGTAGTGTGCAAGCATATACTTGTATATGATACAGATTATGGCTTTTTGGGAAATTTTATGTTAATGTCAACAATTTATATCCCTTTTTAAATACACTGCTGGATGAAGACCTCCCCCACACCATCTCGGGTTATGGTCCGGGCAGTTTGGTGAAGGGCGAGGCTCAGCAGCAGCTTCATAATCTTTATTTAGACTGGAGGAATCCGATGAGCTATGAAGCTCTTTTTCACAGATGTCCAGTATTGGCAGGTTAGGACCAGACCAGGTATTGCCCACCACTGATGTTAACCCGTAGCTGGGAATTTAAACTGGATATCAGGTTCATCGAGTAGTGCGCTAACCATTGCCCAGGCATGGTAGGGGAGATAGGGATTTCATGGGGAGGAAATGTTATTTGAAAAACACAATATCCTTTTATACAAAAAAAATGTATTTTGCTCATACGTGATATGGGAAAACATAGGGGAAATTAAACATACTGTCACCTAAAATACATTATGCATAGCATTACACTTTTTTAGTTGTCATGGTGCCTACTTTTTAGCTTGGTTATTTAGTGTATTTTTTTCTCAGCCTCATTTGTATTCCATGATGTTTTTGGTTATTTGAAATATTGTTGTAGCAATAAAGAATACTAATAATAGTGGCTATAATGCAGAAAATGATTTAAAGCCTTTGTATGTATAAATTATCAGTAATACTGTTATAAAAAGTACATAATTGATTATTGCATGCAAAGCACAATAAACAAATGCAAAAGTTACTAATTACAGCTAAATTACATGCAACTTAAGCAAAGTTAGCATGACATTTTATGTATAAACTTTGGAATTGGAGTTTGTAAATCATGTCAATGAAGGCAATTTTCATTTTTCACAGCCTCATTTAATTGGGGTTAAATTGAGAAAATATTACGTCGCTTAACCTACTGTGGATGTGAATGTCATTTATTTTAACATGTGGTTATGATTCCTGGGTCCGTTGATGTTCAGCACCGGTTCATCTGAAAGCCGCAATGAGACCTCAAGTCGTGCCACACCATCCCCACTGGAACTGGGCACGACGGGAGGTGAACTGGATGCAGACTTCACTCTGGAGTTGCAGCTACAGCAGTGGGGGCTACCCAACTTCTGTCTGATGGCAATGCAACCAGCCATTGATATGCTTAAAACAGGTATGGATGGGTGAGGTGAACTTACAAGGTGTCGCCGTGGCGAAATGTTAACTCCCTCGCCTGGTATGCAGGGGGGTCGTGTGTTCGATCCCGACCCTGACGCCTGTATATTTGGGGTTAGCATGTTTTTCCCATGGTCGCGTGGATTTTTCTCTGGAGTTTTTCGGTGTTTCCACATCCTGAAACATGCATTTAGAGTATTTTGTGGCTTTAAATTTCGACATGATGTGCCACTTTTGTTGAGCTATCAATTGTGGCAGGTCACTTCTGAATAAGAGCTATATAGCTCAGTGGGCCTTTCCTGGTAATATTAAAAGAGTATTTATGATTCATGGATATTTGGCTGAAGCTGAAAAATGCCACATCGATTTATCCAAGCGTAGTTTCTCGGGAACAGTGTCATATCCCACAACTTTAATCCCAATTCCATTGATATTCATCCTGTGGCTGCAGAATGTCAGCATAGACATGTAAACAAAAGTGTCTTTACTACCATCATTGCCATGTGACTATAAAAAGTATGTATGAAACTATAAATTTGACCAATAGCCTTGCAAAATAGTCGTATTTTTTTCTATTTATATGACAGTATTTGGGATTAATATCACGCTACTTAGGATTATGCTCTTAACACCACTGCCCACGCAGTTGCTAATAATTTATATGAATATAAACCAATAGCAACTTAACAATGCTTAGATGTGACTAATCACTGGTTCAACATATACCCATCTATCAGCAGTGCCCATGGGTTTAAGTAGTTTGCTATGCTATAGGGATGATTTAAAATTACATTTTGCCTGTTTAAATATAAATGTTTTATGACGATAGTTTCCAGTGGAAAAAACCCACTTCTTTACACAAATTATATGAAAAACTAATAATATTATATGAGTGTTCTGGTTAACAATAATATACTGTTTTTCAATGTAGTGAATGTTTGTACACACCATTGCAGTTCAGTAATTTATTGGATTGTTGAAAATTTGAAATGTAATGTGTGGTTGGTTATTAAGAGTCCTAAAAATTGACATCAAGTCATGCTTGCAATTATGGTATAAATTTTTTTTACATTTTGGTCATGTTTACTACAATAAGCGTACGAGTTTGCCCAAAAAATGGAGAGGATGCTCTAATTCCACCTCTGCCGTTGCTCAGTTGCCAAAGACAGATTTCCAATACTGATCGCTTGGTTGTAGGCGTTAAGAACTGAGGCGCATGGGAATCAATTACAGCACTCCACCGCTCAATACAAAATAATGTGGAAAAATAGTAAGATTAAAAACTGTTACTTTCTTTGTGGCTTGATGGTTACAACACCATTTTATTTTGGGCTTCCATAACATTTTCTGAATAATTGAGTCATTAATCAATTTACTATTTGACAGCGTTCATAAATCACGTAGTGTGATTCTATTCCAAAGTGACATCTTGCTTGAGCACACGTGAACACTTACCATAAGTCTGGCAAATAACGTTTGTCGAGTTTTGCGTTCGCTTGCTAGATAGGGCCTTTGAATTGGAATGGCACTGTGCTGCAGGGAGCAGCCGTGATGTCCTCGGTGTGCTGGAGCTGCTTGCGTCGCTGAGCTCGCTGTTGTCCGAGTCTCTAACGTCGGATGTTTGGCAGGACAACAGCTTGATCGGTCGGGACCTGGTAAGGGTTTGTGACGAATGTGCTGAATGTTAAAAGGGCATTTAATCTGCTTCTATATTATATCCTTGAATTTTACCCCCTCAATATATTTAATGCATTTTAAAGTGGTATGACTCATTTGAAAAGTATTTTTTCTGTTTAAAATAAATGATTTATTTTGAGTGCTTTAGACAGAATTGTCTGAAAAAAACCCAATAAAATCTAGTTGTTGTGAAGAGCACATTGCATTGTTATTGTAGTTTGATCTTGTTGCACGCACACAATGGATTTGGATTTGTCTTTTGAAAGAGCTTATTTTGGCTTGTAAGAGTTGTAAAAATTATAAAGCAAAGCAGGATAGTGCTGTCTAAATCTCGAGGCAAAATCTATGTTTAATGATTAAGGAGTGGGTGAATGGTAGGTTACATGGGTCATGGCGTGACTGGTATGAAATTAGTGCTCTCCTTTCCCTTCCTCAACCAGATAGGAATAACAAGTTGCTATCCTTGGTCTAATTTTCGATTTGAAGCTTCGTGACTGCAGGGATTCATCTTCTTGGTTATTTCAGTAAAGGCACGTAGAAGGGAAGTAATAAAATAATAAAAATAAAACATAATAAAATCATTCTCACGACGTTTCGGCCACAACGCAAGCAGCCGTCCTCAGGTGAAGACCAGGTCGTGGAGACTGAAATCTGACAGTGTCTGACAGCGTCAGATTTCAGACGCTGTCTCCCCGACAAACCTGGTCTTCACCTGAGGACGGCTGCTTGCGTTGTGGCCGAAACGTCGTGAGAATTATTTTATTATGTTTTATTTTTATTATTTTATTACTTCCCTGTCTCCCCGACAAACCTGGTCTTCACCTGAGGACGGCTGCTTGCGTTGTGGCCGAAACGTCGTGAGAATTATTTTATTATGTTTTATTTTTATTATTTTATTACTTCCCTGTCTCCCCGACAAACCTGGTCTTCACCTGAGGACGGCTGCTTGCGTTGTGGCCGAAACGTCGTGAGAATTATTTTATTATGTTTTATTTGTATTATTTTATTATTTCCCTTCTACGTGACTTTACCGAAAGAACCAAGAAGATCCTTGGTCTAGCAAAGGTGTATAAGTGTAAGCATGTTAAGGCTTTTAAATGTAACCAAGCTGCACCAGAATACAGGTTAATTGGCTTGTCTGGAAATTGTAAAGGTTACCCTTGTACAGTGTGGTTTACACCACCGGAGGAGAGGGCAGTCTACTTTTCGTATTGGACAGACAGATTGGGATACATTGCTATACCTGCACTTTACCCCGTCACTCGTAATACAGATGGTCCTTGACTTTTGGCGACCTGCCACAATTATGGCAGGTCGCCATTTGCCACCCTTGTTATTACTTATGCAGGTCAGACCCAAACTTACGGCATGACTTTGACTCGGGCACCGGTTCTTCGCGCAAATCTACGGTATGTCGCCCAGTCAGTCTGCCTCCCCGACGCACTCCGGTGCTAAATCTCTGTGCATTCTTAGTAATTTGTAAGCATTTTTATGAATTTATTTCAGTTAAACAAATGACATACAAAAGGTCAGTGCTCTTGTGATGGTGCTGGAAAGGAACGTAGCAGAAAGGCCATTACTGTAGTCAGTCCAAATAAGCAAGGATTTATGAAGACTCAAGGCAATACACTTTCTGTACACTATTATTGTACATTATACATGATTGGTAGTTGATTAAAAATGCTATTTGTCTTCATATATAAAAAGTTGCATTTCGTGCTCTTGGTCGGGAACATAACTCCCGATTATATCATGGTTTCTCTGGGAAAATCGTTCTCTATTTTGAGCGGCGATGAAGACGGCGGTGGATAAATTATCTTGCAGGAACTTTGTGTCCAATTGATTGGACTGTCAACCTGATGTGTGAATAAGCAGCCTAACTGATTTACCTTTGCTTATCACTGCATAGGCTGAGCGGATGTCGGGCATCCTAGAAAGCCTGGCGGAGGTGGTGTCTTACCACTACACAAGCCGTGTTGCTGAAGGGCAGCCTGAGCCGCAGCGTGCACACCATCGCCTCGCCTTCAACGGCTGTGCCCTAGCATTTCTACGGCTGGTGCAAATGCTGGTGCCTCTAGAGCAGGTGAGATATCCCAGAATTCTAGCCCTGAGCCTTAGTTTATGTAATTTTAGGTATTGTAAAAAAAAAGAGAAAGGCCTCCAATAAAGGCATAAAAAATACAAAAGCAATTATAATTCAATCTCTTGTATCTTAATGTATGTAAGTGTGGAATGGAAAATGCAGGCAGATCCTGTTATTATTCTGATGCTCTTGCACAAGTACTTTCAGGGGCCATTGACTCATGGGTGTTTTGACGCGTATGACCAAGTATACATAGTAGGATGAGTGGAATGAATAAAAGACACCCAACACATGGTGTTTTACCAGAACCTAACCTACCTACCAAGAACCATTTGCCTGGGTATTTCATGGGATCCCCCTTGCCATTATCAAATCATAAGAATAGGTTTTACCCTATGATGTAACTGCTCACCCCGAGCTCTTAATGTCCTGATTGTGTCTTTGTGCTGTACGCCTTTTGGCGTCCTCTGGTCTAACACTGTTTGAAACTAGGCTCTAAAGAAAGCTGTCTCTGGTGTGGACCAATCAGTTTCAATGACAATGCATATACTGCCAGAGCATGTTTTTTGTTTGCATGTTCACGACAAGTACATGTGGTTAATGCAGACGTGATTCCTTCCAAAACGTTTCTGTTTGGTGTTTTAACATCTTAACACCTGTTTTATTGCCAGTTCCTATGTAGTCTGGGTATTGATTCCTTCCAACTGGTGTGACTTAATGCAGGCAGGGACCATTCTACCTGGGAGTGTGGTGTCAGCACTGAGCATGATTTCGCTGGACGTCCCATTCTGTCGCACTTTCCCGACCGCCTGCGATGCGGCTTGGTCCTTCCTGGAGCAGGCGAGCTCCGAGTGTCACTCGCTGAGCACACGCGTTGCCTCCGTTACCCAGTCGATGGAGTGCACCTGCACTTTTCTGCGAGAATTCACCAACCAGGTATGAATTTGAGGGGTGCAGTGGCCACGTGCGATCTGTAGTAAAACGTATGAAGAGTCTCACTATGCAGGGATGCGTGCAAAACTAACAGCATGCTTAAGTTGTCAAAATAAAACCTTATTTATGGATTGATTGTTTTATAATTACCCAGCAAGACTTGCATATACTCCCCACAAGCTTCCTTGCCAGTGTTTTAATTATGTGATTCTTGGTTGTTTTGTCTTGGAACAACAAAGGACGATGGAAATATGTTGGAGCTGATAGAACTTGCTGACCAAGCTGTGGAAAGTATACCGTACCACCTGCACCTTCCCTTCATTCAACACTTCATAACCCTGTGTTCCAAAATGTGAGTGTTCAAAATCACCTATTTTTACATTGAATGCAGTGTGTTATTTACCGAAATGTGTAAGGCAGAATTGCTATGGCAATAACATGTTCATTATTTTCTTTTTGTTTTAGACACAAGACATTGCAACCTAGCCCAACTGCAGCTGGTGAAAGCAGAAAAGTCTTGCTAAAGCTCTTGTCACACCCAGTGAATGTGATTCGAGCTAATGTCTACAGCAACTGTCTTAATATAGTCCAGGTATTATCAGTAGTGACCTATGAAAGCCGAGATTATTAAACCTGACATTTGCGCCTTATCATTATATACATTTTTCCATGTTAACTGGTCAGAAAATATTGAATATTAGTCTTAATTGTTGCCTAATTAATATTGGTTAACAGCTAAACTACGTATACAGTAAAACTTTGGATTGCAAGTAACTTGGTCTGCGAGTGTTTTGCAAGACGAGCAAAAATGTTAAGTAAATATTAATTTGATAAACGAGCGAGGTCTTGCAATACGAGTAGTACGTATATACGCTTTGTCTGCCGAGCGTCGCGTGATCACAACTGATATACGAGTGCTTTGATATACGAGTGCTTTGGATTACAAACACGTTTTCAGAACGAATTATGCTCGCAATCCAAGGTTTTACTGTATATGACTTGCGTAAATATATCTTGATGTTTACATAGTTTGTGCGTGAATTACAAACTTGAAAATGCTGAAAACATTCCTATGGTGGTTGAAAAGATTTGAATGTGAAAGTATGTATTTTAATATTGATTAAATAATAAACGTATCTTCAGGAAACATCCGCTTCTGGTTAGGTCTTTGATATGGCATGGAAATGCATATCTGCTAGTGTTAAACATTTTTTTGGTTAATTTGAATAACAATTGCTTCTTACCATGACGGGTAACTGACAGCAACCTATATACTTCATTAAAACGACCAGCTATGTTCCTGTTGCAGTCAATTCTGAAAAATAAGCTAATGCCTCAGTGGGCCTAACCTAGTAAGATAAAACATAGTTTGGTTTAATTTGTATATATTTTAGAGTGATTTATTTACCTTGCCTATAATTTCCACTCCTATCGTGTTTTTGTTTTCTTTTTTGTAACGTTCTGACCTGCTACTGGACCATCTGTGAAAAACAGCTTTCTAGCTCATCCGATTCCTCCAGTATAAATACATATTCTGATTCTGAATTTAACTTAACTGTGATTGACATAGTGGTTTGATGAATTTCCTCTAACTTGGTGATCAGGCCGTCGACAGAATTTGTAGGGTTGTATAAACAAACAATTTTTTTTATGCCGTATCATCCAGATTTACGATACTGTATCTGCGTCTCTTTAGAAAATGTGGTTCTTTAACGTGGTTTTTTTCTCACCACCTTGTGTTTGACCAGGAATCATTAGGCATTCACAATGTGACAAAGTCAGTGTCCACAGCCTGCCTCGGAGTACGCTTCTTGCTGCACAGTCGGGTGCTGTACGAATTGTGTGCCTTTGGCCTCCAGGATTCCCACAAAGAGGTCAGGGGGTAGCATTTGATTGTATAGGGTGCTTGTCTGCCCTTACCCATATCATTATTTTAAATGATCATATTCCACTATATTCCAAAAATACCACTTCCTTGAAATATGCGTGTGAAACATGGGTACTGGACAGCTGTGAAAAAGTGATTTATTACAGCTCATCGGATTCCTCCGATATGAATAAATATTCTGACATCCATTGAGTAAATAGTCCATAATTACATGGCCATCCTTTACCCATGAATTGACTCATACTTGTATGTTTGTCAATATAAACATTATTGTGTGCATTTATTGAATGCCAGGACATGTTACTGCATACATATATGATTTATGCTTTATACCCTGCTCTACAGCATTGTACTCTCTGGCACTGCAAAGCTATCAATTGACCTATAACATACAGGACAGTGCTACCATCCTACTAGTATCAGTCATAGATTAATAATAATTACCCCTTTGTCTGACCACTGCTGGATAAAGGCCTCTGCATTTCTGTGTCAGTTGTGGGGATTGTTTGACCATACTTCACCATGCTGATCACTGTTGGGGTTGATAAAAGGGGACCTTAATACTTGATTCAGGCTGAGTCAACCTGGGGGAGACATGGGACAAGTTCACTTTATATGTCACTGGTGTTATCCATGGCCAGGACTTTAACATGGGTGCAGTGGGCTTACATGGTGCACTAAATTGAATAGCGGCAATATATTTGTTTTTAACATGTTTTATCCAACCTCTGACATATACATATTGTAATGCCAGGCATATGCTTCTTGTTTTGGATGTGAAGGTTTGCTTGGCAGCCCGGGCCATTGTGCTGTACCTGCTGCAGAGCCGGCTGCTCATGTGCGCTGCTACCTGGGGACAGCTTTTGGAGGCCCTCACTCCTGTACTGCCTGTTCTGCAGGTCTGTCCCAATGTTCTCTGCATCAAATGTTGTATTTCCAGCACATTTAACTGGTTTATGATGGATTGTTTCTGTCACAAATAAACAATACTTATTTTTTCACGATATTAGTCATGTGAAAGCATAATTTTCATTACTCCATCCTTTCCCCCAAAATGCTCACCAGGACCAGGTACAAATGCGATTGGTATGCTGTGTATTTCTTGTGATGCTGCTTTGTATATGTAATCATGGGACTGCTGTAACCACCGTGTGTGATCTGGCCAGGGTTTTGCAGGAGAGGAGGGAGCTCTAGGCTCTGCGATCGTAAACCTAAGTGAGACGGAGAGCCAGAGTGGTGAGGGTCCCATCCCGCGGACCGATCGTCTCCGTGCCTCCCTCCGTCTGCTCCTGGCCAAGCAGCTTCCGTAATGCCGCTCCTAATACCTTTCTCTAACACAATGACCACCTCCCCTGCTTCTCTGTATTACCCTAACAGCTTCAGCCTTCATTCACAATCAACACTCTGCATAGCTTTAAGGGCGCCACTGTATTTCGCGAGTCTTGCGACTGCATGCAACAGTTTTTATGCACTAGTAATGACAGCATCTATAATATGACAGCTGTACATAAAATGGCATCTTTGTTGAACCAGTGGCCACTGCTCTTAAATTATTTCGTGAAGGTGAAAGGAATAAAACCATACAGCCGCAACAAATATCGTGACTTGACTATAAAATGTCACATTTGCAGCAGCTTGTCAAACAGTGTTAGTAATGCTTTTACCTATAATTCCCTTTGGTATGGCAGTGGCGATTCAAGTGTGAAGTGAAAATAAATACAAAATGATAAAGTACATGGCCGATTTCCTAAAAGGAATGTGTATTTGTACCTTCAGAGCATTTGTGAATATAATTACTATTCTTATTTATGCTGACAAGCCAACAGAGTAACCAAACTGACCAGTCTTTTTCTGTGTAGGAGATATATTCATATGTAAACCAAACTGTTTTATTTGTCCGAGGTTCAACGGTTCAGACAACCATTGCGCTGCCAATGTTCTTGGTTTATTATCTCGTGAATATGACCTTGTGATATTTGTTAGACATGACCTAAACATTTATGTTTCACTGCCTCTTTGAAATATGATACAAAGTGTTGTCAGCTGCAGCCTATTATTGAGCTCATTACTGAGTATGTGACCATGCCATTTCACCATAAGGACAAAGTGAAGGCCTTTTTAAGTTCATCCAATTTTGTACTTCTGTTAATTTATTACCTCTTAAAGGCCAGTAAATTACAAAATATTTTTAAGTTACTAGTTATATTCTACCAGGTAAGGTCCACTGAGCTCTGTAGCTTTTTTTCAGAAGCGATCTGGTCACAAATGATAGCTAGAGAGAAGTGGCTGATCATGTGGAAATGTATAGCAGCCAAATACTCTAAACACATGTTGATAATAAATGTGGAGGGAAATACCGGAGGACCCGGAGAAGAATCCACGGAGAGAGAGAACATGCAAACTCCAAATATACAGACGTCAGGGTTGGAATCGAACCCACGACCTGCATACTAGGGCAGGGAGTTAACATAAAGCCACAAAATATTACGCAGAGCGATTTTGGTTTCTCTTTTGCTGCTTGTATATTGCTCCTAGTGATTTTATAAAATTGCAATGGATTTTTTTCTGATGTACGATAATAGGAAACGTCACAAAACCAGTGATCGATAAAATGGGGCTCATAGTGTTATGGATTATCGACCTATGATACCATACCTAGTGCTATACGTAGACTGAAAAATGGATGTAATGTAATAAATATATCAGTTCAAATACATTTTTTGAATGAACAAAAAAATATATAAAATGGTATGTCTACATGCTCACAGATATTACTTATGCATGAACTGTATATCTACAGAAGCATGTAAAATGTGTTGCAGCAGGGTGGCAGAGTTGTAACTCTTGTGCCCGAAACTATGAACTAAACTTTATATTTTACCAAGTAAAGCCCACTGAGCTTTCTAGATACTTTTCAGAAATAACCTGGCCACAAATGATAGCTCAATGAAGTGGCTTATCATGTGGAAACTTCAAACAGCCATATACTCTAAACGCATGTTTCTAAACGTGGAGGGAAAAACTGGAGGGCCCGGAGAAAAATCCACGTAACCACGGTGAGAGCATGCAAACTCCAAATATACAGGTGTCAGGGTCGGGATCAAACCCACGACCTGCATGCTCGGCAAGAGAGTGAACATCTCGCCACTGTGGCACCTCACAGCAAGAAGGTTTTCAGATTAAGTTCCCAACTCGAAGTGCCTATTTCTCTTCTTCTTGGTTCTTTCGGTAAAGTCACGTAGAAGGGAAATAATAAAATAATTAAAATTAACATAATAAAATACAATTCTCACGACGTTTCGGCCACAATGGCTGCTTGCGTTGTGGCCGAAACGTCGTGAGAATTGTATTTTATTATGTTGTATTTATATTATTTTATTATTTCCCTTTTACGTGACTTTACCGAAAGAACCAAGAGGATGAATCCCTGCAGTCACGAAAGCTTTAAATCGTGCCTATTTCTATTGCATTTGTCTATTCTTCCCCTATTCCATGTGGATTTCCTCCAGGTTCTCAGGATTCCTCCTATAGGATTCAAAACAGAGAATTAACTGATATTGACCAAACATCCTAATGCTGAAAGATCACCTACAAATTAGTAATTTGAAATTAAATGTAGAAATTTCTCCCCCCCCCACAAGTGGCAGCTTGGCAGGACCCTCCTGAAAACGAGTCTTGGGACTCAGGCTTTTCTGCGTGAACAGGCATACGTAAATCCGCACGTTAAAATATTGTGTGAACGCTCGATAAAAGTGTACGCGTGATGAATCTAAATGTCGCGATTACATTGGTGTGCTCTTTAATGCAACGTCCCCAAACTCCGGGTGTGCAGTGTTCGCTCGGCTGGAGTGCAGCAGCTCGCGTGGCACCTGGTGTCCGAGGAGCAGGCAGGACATAAGCGGCCCCACTTGCCCGGCACCGTGCTGGCTGGGGAGCCCAACCTGCTCATCCCAGACGTGCCGCTGCGTCCGGACACCGAGACCATCGGCAAATCGGTGTTCAAGGTGCATGTTTGCATTCCTTTGTAATAAAATAGTTTGAGCTATTTATCGGTTTATTGACGCGATGACTGCTGCATTATGTCAGCAGTTGCGTTTGGCTATTGTAAAATGTTGAATTCATAGAGGAAAAAAAACTTTTTTATTGTCGAGCCTTTATATTTCTGCCACTAATATCAGTACACTTCTTGAATATGTTAACACCCTCTTTGACACACTGTGTCCAACACAACATTGCATTCACAATATTCAGTCACCTTTTCAGAAGAAAGTAACAGGTGTCATTAGAATTCAGTATGATATCTAAAAATGGATCACCCTGAAATTTAAATTGAGTAAATATAGGGGCAAATATTTGACCAACGCCTCATTAAACAACAGGAAACAAAGTGCTTACGTGTTCTCAAAGTATGCACAAATACAGTACTTAGGAAATAGGGTTGAAAGTATTAAAAAGTAGTACAAGCAAACTAAATAAAAAAAAACAATAGTATCCAGCTGAGCACTTGAGAGGTTAAATCTATAATGATTGTGTAATGCGGGCGTAAATGGGCGGGGCGGATATGACGATCCAAGAGGGAGGAGTCAGGGTGACGTGGGGGAGAAGTTATAGCGGGGAGACAGGAAGCTATCTGGGTCAGTCGGGGGAGTGAAGGGTGGTGAACACGTTGGGTGGTCGCCGTGCCTCAGCCTGGTGGCTGAGGGGCTCATGACGGCGCCAGCCAGCGGGGTGGAAGAGAGAGTGGAGGATTGAGGTAGGAAGTGGCGAGATAGCCACAGAGGCCACGAAGGGCTGAGGTAGGAAATGGCGAGATAGCCACAGAGGCCACGAAGGGCTGAGGTAGGAAGTGGCGAGATAGCCACAGAGGCCACGAAGGGCTGACGTTGGGAGGTGGCGAGATCGCCACGCACGGGGGAACAGGGAGCAGCGATGGAGCTGCTGTGGGAGCAGCCAGAGGGCTGCACCAAGAGCCTGCAGCGGAGCTGCAGGAGCGTGGAAGGCTACGGGAGCGAAGGCAAATGTGGGGCTGCCAGGGAGAGAGTCTCAGGAGGAGTGCCGTGTGGGAAGGAGAACGCGAACCCCAAATAAAGGACACGGAGTCAGCGAGAAGCGTCTGAGTCCTTTTATTACAATTGCACAGAGTGCTGACTGCAATTCAGCCGTCTGCATGGTTTCTCAATAGGTGTCTCTGGCGAGCAGATTGCTTCTGAGGCTGACATAAACCAATCGTATATATACTGTTACTGATCATCTATGTGCCCAGACTAAATATTTCACTTGGTGATACCACCTGAGATGGGAAAAAAACTTGCTTTGTACTCATTTCTTGAAATTGCCATTACAACGAATTTGCAATGATCTTGTTAAATAAGTATGTTATCACAAAATCTACTTTTCTTAGCCTATTCAGAAACTGGTATAGTTAGCTCCAGTGGTACCAAATTCTGCTTTGTGCCATGGACGTTGATACCATTAAAACCTAAATTGAAGTGAGAACATTCTAACTCATTTTGTCAGTTTATTTTTATTTGCGGAAATCACACTTTGTAATACATTACCTGAAGGAATGTTAACCGTAAGTATATAGGCTACGCAATTCTGTTCTTAATCGTAATTCGATTAAATTAAATTTTAACTTCGTATTTTTCATTTTATTTTGCAATTATTCAAATATGCATTTACAGCGATGGTTAAACTTTCAACCACAACACAATTCAGGAATTAAGCGCATTTGTTTCGGTGATGAAGCATGCTACTGTTAAAACTAAGCGGTCTTAACCAAGAGCAGCTGTGCATGCTTAATAAGAAGATTCCTTGGCTGAGGTGATAGCTGAGTTTAGTTAAGTATTCGTACTCTGCATATGCTCAGACGAGCAACATTTGAATAACACTTTCAACGTCTCTCTCCGTTATCAGGAGGACGCAGTGTGCAAGGTCTATGGGATTTTTATGTCTGAGGCGGTGGACCTCGCTGTAAAGAAGTCTGCAGCTGAACAGCTTACCATTATGATGCAAGGTAGGCTCTGCAAAACCTGCAGCCTGTAGCACTTGCATATCGCTATCCCTTTGCCACAGCGGGCAACCGGATGGTCATTTGTATTACGTTCCGATTACAATGGTCTGTGTATTGGCCTAACTTTTATTATTTGGCAAGATGTTATTACTGCTGCAACTCGAGAAACTTTTTTTGGCGAAATGCTAGTTGAATTTTGCATAGCAACCAATCGTAAAATCCGCCCTTGTCACTAGATTAGTGCCACCATCTCCACAAAATTAAATGTAAAGGCACGCTGCCATTGCAAGCAGGAAGGCCCTCTGTCATTGTACCTGGCTGCCAGTAAATAGTAGTTTCAGTGACTGATAGTACAGTGATATTTTAGAGCACAGTGTGGCATAGATATGTGTGTTTTGGGACTATATCGAAATTCATATTTGTTATAGAGAATTTTTAAATAGCCACACTAATTTATATATGTAATGAAATATAAATGATTGGTAACGACTATTAATTTTAACACAGTCTTTCTCGACCATTGTTGTGATTCATAGCGATGTGCTAAAGCAAAAGACATTGTAAATTAGCAATGCATCCTTTACCTATCCGTCACATATGTGAAGGAGACATTGTTTATTTATTTTGTTATTTATATTTTCCCCAGTAAAGCTCATGATTATTTTGAGTTATGCAATAGACATTGGTGGTTTTGTTTATGCGAAAAGTTTATTGAGTTGACTGTGGCGTGGGGAGGAGGGATGATTGATTTGACCCAAAAATCTATTATGAATTGTACTGCATTCAATCAAAATAACAACTTGTTTCTGACTTGCAGACACAATTCTGCACGGTGTATTAAAAAAGCAAGGCGCAGTGGAGAAGGTGATTTCACTGCTGCATCAAGCTGTGCATAAAGATGGAAGGGTATGTTATTGTAATTTTGTTCACATATGCCTATGCGCGACCGAAGATGACACTTAAAACCTTTGCCATTGTACCGATGAAGTGAGTTGGAAGAGGGTTATGGGTGACGAGTTTAATGCATTCCAGGGCCTTTGTTCTTGTTCAGTGAAGCAGCACAATGCAGACTGAGGAGCTTGTCTGTGTGATGGAGTACAACTCAGCAGCTCTCGGACATAATTTAGCATGTTAAAAATATATATATATATACTGTGTATTTCAATACGTGCATGTATATACACAAACACAGAGATATATAAGCAATGGAGCCTAGGCAGCTACTTATATATGGCTGTCCTATAGCACCTCCAATTAGCACGCTTGGCTACGTACAGTGCAAAAGAAGTTCAACATATATATGTACGTGTAAAAAAAGTTACTTGCAAATATTTTCACACGGTATATGGCAGGGGCTGGAATGCATGGTGAGGCCATGCTTGACGTTGCTGAGGCGTCTCGTGTACCACGATCCGTGTTTGCGACATCGCTTGGCTTACCAGCCCACTCTGCTGCTGTCTTTGCTCCGAGGTGAGTTCCTAATGTTGTGGTGTAGGATGCCAAATTGTGGCATTCTAGAATAAATCTCTTCATCTCTACCTTAAACACAGAGGAAGCTGTTTATTTTTATTTTTGGTGGTGAAACTGAAGGATGCTCAGCTATAAACGTTTTTTATCTGGCTAAATACCAGCAAACAGTGACAATGTAAAAAGTAAAACGCGCTGCCAGATTTTACAATAGAGCTGCCCGAGTAGGGCTTGGTTCTGAACCTAAACATGTCTAACCGTCCACACAATATGACCATTACTAGTTTCCTTGAATTTTAGATAAGGAAAAGCAATTTTAAATGTCATATTTTGAATAATTCCTGTTCATGAATTTGTGCACAATTAGTTTTCTATTATTATTTTTATTTATATAAAAAAAATAGCAATTTTAATTTGTGCTGTGTGTGCTGTCTTGTTAATTGAAAGCAGCCTTTTCACGATTAATGCTGTGCATATGAGAATGGAAGTAATTAAACGCCCACCAGAAGCTCAAATAAGCATGTCTCTGTGTGTGTGTGTGTTTTCGACAGTGTTGCTGGTTTATCAGTCAGAAGCCGTGGTGCAGTTGGAGGTTTCTGTTCTGCTGTCTCTCCTGCTGTTTGATGAAGTGGCCCAAATAGAGAAATGGCAAGCATTTGAGCGATAAACATTTTTTTGCGAGCGAGATTCCAAATGAAGTTGTGTTAATCCGGTGATAGGCATAATGTGAAGCCGTTTTGACATGTTGAAGTTGAAATACGTTCATTGTTTTGATGTTAAGCATTACTGTTGCATTTTTTTGTTTTAATTAGTATGTAAAATTATATTGGATCGTTATCTCAACAGTTTGTACGTTATTTGTAAACTGCTCACACGACTCTCTGCAGTGCATAATTCATTTGCATTAAATATTAAATTAGAAATGTGTTTATTCGAGAAATGGAAGGAACGTGTTCTTGTGAAAATGTTATTTTGAGGCATTTAAAAGTTTGTTGATAAACTGTATTTATCGGCAGGTCTGATTCATATCCATTGGATGGCTGTGATCCTCAGCCATTGAGTCTGCCTCTTGTTGTAGAACAACGGTAAGGGTTAATTTCTCTTCCATTGGGATGTATTTTTTAATGAATAAATCTCGGGTCACATTCACATGCTGTTTATTGTGCCTTTTCACGTGATTATTTATTATGTTTTAAGAATATCCCCTATTGCTAGGAATTGGGAAAATTGTCTAGGTGATAGCTTTCATTAATATCATCACGCTGTGAATCTTGTCTTTTATCTGTTGGAACAATGGCATGGAGGAAAAGTTATTCTTGGTTCTTTCGGTAAAGTCACGTAGAAGGGAAATAATAAAGTAATAAAAATAAAACATAATAAAATACAATTCTCACGACGTTTCGGCCACAACGCAAGCAGCAGCTCTGCTTAGAGTCGTGTGAGCAGCTGCTGCTTGCGTTGTGGCCGAAACGTCGTGAGAATTGTATTTTATTATGCTTTATTTTTATTATTTCCCTTCTACGTGACTTTACCGAAAGAACCAAGAAGATGAATCCCTGCAGTCACGAAAGCTTTAAATCGAAATAAAAAGTTCTGTTTACAATTGAAACTCGGTGAACGAAGATGCTATCCTTTTTTTTCATTCTTTTAAATGTTGCCAAGATAACGGCACGCGCGCGTGCTTGTGCGTGTACAGATTTCATCTTCCGCTTGTAATGGCGACGCACCACGTGGTGAGCCCGCACAGAGTGATTCCTCCGCCGCCGTCCGATCCCTTGGTTGCTCCGCCAGCCAGAGATGCCATCAGACTTGGCTGGAACCTCGCATGGCACCAGGGTGTAGAGGCTCTGCTGCAGGCACATGCTGCGTCACAGCTGGAAGCAACAAACCAAGGGTGAACGATTGCGTGTGTTTTCAAAAACCTCGTGCACTAGATCCGTTTGTCGTGTCAGTTGTTGTGAACCACATTAAGCGATTCCCTCCGGTTGGTGAGAAGGATTTAGTTTGCTTATTACATATACGGTGATTTGACGTAGTAAATAATAACGTTGCATCGAATTTTCATAATTTCAAATGATTGTTTGCCTATCCATTTTTATCAGACAAATGGGATATATTTACACAAATATGTCTGCACGTTTTTTTCCAAACATTTTTGCAAAATATTACGTATGTATATGTGTACGTTGTATTTATGCATCACTCATCGGTAAGGTTAGGATATTGGCACAGATGTCACGGTTGTCACAGAAAGCATGAGTTTGAATATATATTATTACATTAGCATAAAATGTGAAATCTTCGAAAAAACTGTAGAAACACAATGGGAGGTGAGACCCTACCCCACATTATTCTGTGATCATTCTGTGAAGTAAATTTTTTTCCTGCAGCTTGGCTATGTACATATTATAAAAAATTACCTTGTCAAAATTGTAGCCTTACTCATATTTAATATATTATCTTTGGGACCTTTTTGCCAATTTTAAAAAACGAATAAATAAGAATAGGTTTTACCTAATCTGGAAATAAAACAGGTGTTAAGCTATTTAAACACTTAATAGATATCTATTGCAAGTCATCAAGTCTGACGCATAAATACAACGTATACCAGAGAGAGACAGCCTTCTGTAGGCTAATCAGTTTAAAAGACAATGCAAATATTAGAGCATGTTTGCATGTTTGGTCACACATACGTGTGGTTGATGTAGACTTAACGCCTTGCATAAGGTATCTATTTGGTATTTGAGCATCTTAACACCTGTTTTATTGCCAGAAATGGTAACGCCTATTATATCTTTCATCAGTTAATGTATTTGTTATTTTCTTTCAACCTGTCGATGTGACTTTACCGAAAGACCCAAAGAATATTCGTAAAGTGTTGATTAGATTCTCAAATTGTTATTTATTTGGATTACAATTGTATTATTCTTTTTTGTAATGTTACTTGAGATGTGTTTGGATGAAGATGCTATACACATTGACGTAGTAGTTATTTTGCTTCTTCAATGGTAAACATTTAAGAATTTTCACGGGCAAAAATTGATTCGTGTGTTATATTCCACATTTATTTAATTAAAAAAAGACAATCCTTCTGCAAGGTTTTGCATTCTGGAAGAAAAAAAAAACTTTATTCAACTCTACTGGCAGAGTCATATTAAAAATACATTCATTAGGTATTAATGGCATTAATAATATAACAACTTCTAATGCTACTTCGTTTGATTGTGCATCTTTGAAAGGTTTCCTGAACTGCTGCGAATGAACGGGAGCGATGTGATGGGGCTGCGCTTAACGCACATGCCCTGCAGCCTGCAGCTGTGCCTGGAGGCGGTGAGCCGAGCGGCCTCTCACGGCGAGGCAAAGCTGGCCCTGCTGCGTCTCCGCCTGCAGCTGCTCAATGATGCTCTGCTTCCCCAGCCGGGAGCAGAGAGCAAGGCTGCACAGATGCTCCTCAGCATGGACTGGCGCTCCACATTGAAACGGTGAGTGCATTGGGTCCTGGATGAGTGTCCTCCTTGCATGCCTAAAACCCCAAGTGAGTATGGCACAGGTCTTTGTCTGCAAATTGCGCATGTTTTAGAAGTCGGCTGTAATCTGGATTTACATTTTTATATTATTACAAAATTATTTTATGGCAAAGTTCACATGCAAGCAAGCACTTCACCTGACAAAAACATAGATCCCCCATAGAGACTTACCATAGGTGTTCACATGATTAAATATTTACACACATGCACATACATATACATGCACACGTAGATACACACATACTATCTAGTACAGACACAAGCACATGCACACACTCATATATAGGTACTCTTACATTGCCATACAACTCCGAAAGCCTGTATACATACACATAGTCTTGCATACAACTGCAGTCACATGAATAAGTCACTCACTGATTGGATACATGCTGGAGTGATCACACCTGATTACAAAAAAATGCAATTCAGCACATTCAGGTGTCACTGGTCACATGGCACTATGACGACGCAAAGGTGTGTCTGTGGTGATCGCCCGCTGTGGGGTTACATCCCATTGTGCTGAAATTGCATGGTATATAAGAGCTTCTCACGTGGCCTAAAGGTTGCTTAGACATTGCAAGAAGCTATCCCATTTTGTGAGAAGTGTGAGCGGCTGTTGCAGGTATAGATATGATAACCCTTCTGCAAGATGACCGATTAGCACGTTTGGCGACGTATGGTTCGAAATAAGTTCAACATACATACGAGGTATTCACAAACTATAACTTGTGTTTACACTTGGGACGGCTCATCTGTGTGTTTGTGTGCAGCTTCCTGGTGGTTCGTCCAGTGAGCAATGCAGATGAGAAGTTGCTGGGGGAAGTGCTTGCCTTCCTGCAGGCCCTGTTACATGCTCAAGGAGACATTCCAGACCATAGCATGCTGCAGTGGATACTGCTGCTCCTCAAAGAGGTGATGGAACTTACCTTCTTTTGAGCCATCTTGTCAAAGCCAAGCTTGAACTCTTGTTCTCCTGATGATGTTATGCACATTGCCATTTTTGTGGATATGTCCCATGATATTCTACCCATTGCTAGGAATTGGTATGCTGATGTTATTTTTAAATTTTGAAAGTGAATAATTACTGCTATTTTTATTGAATGCTTCTAGGTCTCATATTCCTATACAAGTTTAGGAGATGTTCTGTGGACTCTGCTTCTTTAATGCAATACTACCACATGCTGGTGATAGATTTTTGAATTTAGTCTTTGTGATTTATAGCAATACTCGCTGCTTATTGACATTGTATGGAAATAATATTTCTATACTTCGGTCTATTCACCTAAAACTCTTTATTATTGTATATTATGTGTTCAATATTGGTCGTAAGCTTGTAAATGTGTTGATTATGTCATGAACTGTAATGCATATTAATGTTGTATTCATGTAAAGCCTTTAGCAAGGATACACTTAAATCTTTTGCTTTCTTGTTTTCCGAGCAGTGAATCATGTGCTGTCAATATTGTGAAAGTAAATACACGAATAAGGAAAAACTTAATTGATTGAAGTATGAAAACCATTGATGTTATGTCCATAATAAAAATGTGTTTTATGTGTTTATAACAGGAATCAAATCATCTTCTTGATCTGCTCAACAAGTCAAATACCCAGGTTGATGCACGTCACACTGTGACTGAATCTCCCACTCGAAAGGGATTATTGAAAGAGCTCTCATCATTATTTAATGCCTTGGTGCGAGCACTGGGCTGCAGTCCAGACAAGTAAGTGCCCGGATAGTCGAAATATATACAGTGAGTATTTTAAGTGACAAAGTTGTCAGAGGTAGAATTCAAATTAACTGTTCTATATTGCTTTTTTTTCATGAGCTTGTTTCATAGGTTTGACTGTCCGCTGCTTAACATTGATTTATTTCTCTTTTCTCGTAAGGATATGTTCAGGCTAGAACCACACCCAAAATGAGATGTTCTTTGCCTTCATGTTTCTACAATGAAAACTCTGTATTAATGAAATGTCAATAATTCCCATGTCTCTTTCTTCAGCATGGTGAAAATATATGACAAGATGTGAACATATTTAAATAACCTACTTGAAAATTTAACGTATTCTCTCAATTATTTTGTGTTTAAGCCAAAGATAAACTGATGAGTGTTGGTGGTAATGTGCTTGTTTCCAAGTTGAGGCATAAATCAAATTTTGTTACTGGTTCATGATGCTTATGATTATACATTTTATGTAACGAAATATCATTCTTTCTAAGGAATTTTAAGCCTTCTGTGCCTCTGTTTACAAGCCTCCAAATGCTTATAAAGTTACTGAGACATAATTCTATGCCTTTTTTTTATTGAAATACAATTTGCCAACTCCAATTATGAATCCCAATAAAATAAAATATGCTTCAAATGGCCTATTTTATGAACAATGTGATAAAGCATAACTGGTAAAGATGCATTTAATAAAAAAAAACGACTAATGTGCATCTAACCACAGAACAGCATGATTACATTTGCAGCTTTGATTATTATTTACGAATTGCTATACTTGACCTCTCCGGCCCCCTTTTCAAGACAAAGCTTGGCAGCATCGAACGGTGTCCGTTGCCACCTTGCTGCTTTGCTGCTGGGTCGGCTGAAAGAAGCGGATAGCTCCGGATTCTACGAGCTGCCATCTCTGGAAGCCACACTGCGCGGCATGGCTCATGCCACGGCTCTGCCAGGATGGAGCGTCGCTTCTACGGCCACGCAGCCAAACAACCTCCGCCTGCAGTATCTCGCCTCCCTCCAAGAGGCAGGCAGCTCTCTTCCCCCCCAGCCCCCCACCAATACTCGGCACCCCATTTTAACTCACTCGCCGCGGTGGCCAGATGTTAACTCCTTCGGCTGGTATGCAGGAGGTCGTGGGTTCGATCCCAACCCTGACTGTGACCCCATGTTCTCCACGTGGTCGCGTGGGTTTTTATCTCCACATATAGAACGTGTTTAGAGCATTTGGCTGCTATAAATTCCCACAAGATGATACGTCACTTGTTTGAGTTGTCATTGGTGACCAAGTCGCTTCTGAAAAATACCTAATAGCTCAGTGGGCCTTACCTGGTAAGAATAAATACAAAGAATAGTTTTAATTTTTTCAACATTTCCCATCAGACCTTGATGAATCTGAGAGCAGATGTTTCTTGTGGAGAGTACTTCTGTTCCCTTCCTCTTGCAAATTCTACCCCTCTTGGTTGCTGGCTGCTTTACAGTATGGACCCTGGGCTTCTGCCTTGCGACTGTGTTTATCAAGAGTTGTTGTGCTTGCTCCACAGCCATGCACTGCCTCTGTTACAAATGCAATTATTCTTGTGAAAGCACTGGTTTCATGGAGTGCATGTCAAAAAAGTGGGAAAACGCTGTTAAAACTGTAAGGTTATGTCCTGTTAAAGTTGTGTCAGGTTGTCGGAGTGCACTTTTTGTTTGTGCAAATATGCTGACATCTACTTCTAATTTCCTTGCCAGCAGGTTATCAGCAGAGCACATTCGTTTCGTTTATTTACACCTGCTAAGATTTAAGACCAGACACAATGTATAATCATAATGATATGTGTAATTTATTTGCTTCATAATCAAGGATTTTTGGGTTAGATTGTGTAAGTATAATGTGTCGTTAACCCGCCAATACCCGACACAGCCAACCAGTAAGGTTTGTCACGTAAACAAAACATGCCAATTAGTTATTACTTCAGTTCAACGGTGTGTTGGAGAGTAAATTCAGAACATTTACAATTTGAGTAGCACGACGTTTCGCTGGTAATTACATCCAGCATCATCGGGCGATTTGGCTTGTTTAAACTCTCTTCAGTTTGATTTCCTGCTGGCAAATTGATCTGCTGATGAATAATTAACACGTAACATATCCTGTAATTTGAGTTCTATATGTGTATGCTCGCGTATCTGTTTGCACAGATTGTGTTGTCATTCAGCATTGGGCGAGAAGGAAATGGCCTTTCATTCCTTGGCAAAGGGGTCACCAAAAGTGCCGTGGTGTGCCTGCGACAGCTGGCTAGCGAGATGAGCGATCAGGCTGAAAACCAAGTGAGTGCCTTTTTCCCTTTAAAAGTATGACATCCTAAATCGGGGGAGATTGTTTTCTTTTGGAGTTTAATAATTCCATATTTCCCCCATACCTGCTGATGCTTAGCACACTTTTGGCTAATTATTATGGTGTGTTTGCGTTGGCAGATAAATATTGGAATGATATTTACATTTTAATATTGATGTAAATCCTGAATGACTCCTATATACCTAAAGGTCAATGCTTGGTGTGTCAATAATTATTAATTGTAGCAATATATAATTAATACTATGTAGTATTCCATGTACTTATAAAAGCAGGAAAATGGACTATCATCATATGAAGGTGAATTGGAAATCTGGCTAACAGTGCCTATATTGTATTGGATTGTAAGGCCCACTCACTTGGCCACTTAGCACTCATCAGTCAGTCTTAATGCATGGCACAAAGCCAATGATGCAACACACACCAAAGCTTATGAGGCCCCAGAGAGTCGAAGTCGCCATGTAAGTGTTTTTTTTACTTCATGTCATAAAATAGATTTAATTGACTTAAAGCCTTCGTGACTGCAGGAATTCATATTATTTGAGTCTTTTGGTAAAGCCACATAGATAGGAAAATAAAAATAAAAATATCACGAAGTTTCGATCGCAACACAAGCAATCGTCATCAGGTGAAAAATATAGTCGGAGAGCTGCTTAAGCAGGATGTTATATAGGTTTGAGATGGGTGTAGCCCAAGGGTAAGTGGGCGGGGCTAGAGATGGAATTTGCGTGTAAATGTAAGATCGGAGAGCTGAAGCCATCTAGATATATAAACACAGACACAATTTCAACCGAGAAGATTTGTAAAAACTGAGCAATCATTGGAAGGACGTTATTAACCAGGTAAAGTCTTAACTGGCTGTGATGTTTCCATCCTACCTACTGATGTTAGCAGTCATTTCCGACTCTGAGTTACATTACCAGGTTAAATGTCTTTACATTAACAGGCTAAATGTCTCACTAACAGCCACCGTTGTGGTGATTTTCTTACATTGACATGCTAATCTCTCACAATACAATGGCTATATTTTTTTCCTGCCTCAGCTCTCCCACTATATTTTTTCACCTGATGACGATTGCTTGTGTTGCGATCGAAACGTAAATTTTTATTATTATTTTTCTATCTACGTGGCTTTACCGAAAGACTCAAAGAATAGATGTCATTGACTTGTGCACGCTGGGTCTTTGCTTTCTCTCGCTCCTCATTCCAGGATTGGGTGAGCCCTTGGTCTTGGTCTCGGAAGGGTAGTGGCCGCGGTGAAACAGCTGCGCAGCTAGGGCTGACCTGGCTCATCTCTTTATGGGTGGACAGAGATCTGGAGGTGAGCTTCTCTGTTGTAGCATCCTCCCTATGCTGCACACGGGGGATTTCCACTTGAGGATGGGAACAAAAACATTGTAGTAATAGGTTTTTACTCTTTCAACTGGTACAAAAATTGACACCTTTATACAAGGGATCATGTTTGCAATAACTACAACACAAGCAGTCAAAATGCAAACAAAAAGAAACAACTCTGATAATGATATGCACTGTCCTTGAAGTTGATTGGTCCACACCCGAGACAGCTTTTCTTAGAGCCTAGTCTCCATTGGTGTTGGACCAGATGACGCTAAAAGGCGTACTTGTATAAAGGTGTCAGTTTTTGTACCTGTTGAAAGGGTAAAAACCTATTACTATATTTTGCCACTGGTAAAGGAGGTCTCATAACGAAAACATTGTTGTGTACTTGACCCTGAATGCCACCGTGGTGTGCTCACCAGGTGCGTTTGGCCAGCCTAGGCCTCGGGACGGCACTGACTTCTGAGGAGCAAGGCTGCATGGCCCTAGTTGCCGCATGCCAAAACATCTCAGGAGGCCTTTGGGGCACAGCACTGAAGATTCTGCTTGACCAGTACGAGTCCAGCATGGTCCGCTTGGAGGTAGATCAGAATCTTCCCAGGGCCATGATAGCACAAAGTAGTGTTGATCTTTGTGATAGTGCACTACTACCACTTAAAAAATGTAAACCTTTATTATTTCAATGAAACAATTAACTGTACACATGAACAAACAAAATGCAAATGTTGGAAATGTAATAAATGTGACCACTTGCTTACCAATTCTAAAATGTATGACGATGTACTCAATTATTTAAAAACCATGAAAATACATGTTTATACTGGAAGAGATTATCTCTACTCTTTGGTTATTTCGGTAAAGTCACGTAGGTATAAAATAAATTAAATCTTGCTATGGTTTTCCCATCTGATAACGATTGCTTGTGTTGCAATCGAAACGTGATTTTTTTTAAATTCTATACCTACGTGACTTTACCGAAAGAACCAAAGAGTATGGATCCCTGCAGTCACGAAAACTTCAAATCTAGATTATCTCTTTGAAGTTTTGTGATTAATGTGCAAATTTGGATAGATTTACAACGAAAAATGTTGAAATACTTTAGATGCTATGGAATATTCAAATAGAACTCACACTGCAGAATTTAAATGAGCTGGGTTTCATGTTAGTGACTTAATCTCATGCGTGTGCAGGCTGCCAGCATCCTGCAGAACCTGCTAGTTCTGCCAATGCCAGCGTCAGCGGATGAAGCGGGGGATGGCTGCTGGCAGGTATTAATATAGAGCCTTAAACAAACTGTAATCATTTTAGAAAGTATGCTTTCCTATGTGTACACTCACGAGAAATGGGAGGGCTTTGTTGTGGATGAGCCATGATTACGGCTATGTGTATTCATGCAGTTGTTTGTTTATGCTATGTGTGCATGAGTATATGTGCATGTGAACAGCACTGGTGTGGCTTTTGGCACTTTGAATTGCATTTTCAGTGCTGTGCTTTTTATTATTGGCCTCGCTATCAATCGCAGTGGTTGACTGTGCTCTGTCATGGTCGTCTCTGAGGCTGCTTCAGACCTAATTGAGTTTCGAGCTCACTGTGTGTTCAGAGTGCAAGAGGCAAAACCAGTCGTGTGTGACGCTGGTGAGCTCACCCCCCCTGTGGTGCCAGACTAGCCCAAGTAAATTATTGATAACCAGACGTATGACCTAGCAGATCATGAATAATTGAAGACATATGTTTGCATCCTTTTATGTGTGTGTACGTGCATGCCATCTGGTTCTGAAATTGTTATCCAATTTGGTGTGCATGTTGGTAATCAGCACCTTTGTTTGATGTTAAATTGTGTGATATAAACTCATACTTAAGCACTAATGTTGGACTTTGATATTTTTTTGTCAGATAACACCAACATGTTTTGAGTGTGGAAAATTTCCTGGCATCACCCCATAGCACTTGCTATTTTAAGATCATTGCGTCCACTCTAGAATGCAGAATGCTCCGACATAATGTACTAATGCACAGACACATTAAGTATATCAAGTACAACCACAAGTACCTGAACACGTGGTAACGAGCACACATGGAAAACGATACGTATATCATCATCATCATGTAATGTTGATGTGCAGCTTACAGGAAATGTGGACACCTTGCAATGACCTTTGCATGGCCTTGCAGGGCCCATGCGTGCACGATGAGGACACAGACCTCTCGCTTGTGGGGCTGCCAGCTCTGCTGGCCCTTCTCTACCACTGCCGCTTTTACCAACACTTTGCCGGCATGATCGCAAACTGTTGCCGAGAGGCGCGTCTGGTGTACGCCAGCCCACCACAGGACGGCAAGTCGTCACACGGAGAAAGCAGTTCGGCCTCTGCCGGTGTGACTTCCTTGTGCTCTGTGGGGTAAAAGTAGGAGCGATCATCGTCACCATCATCATCACTTACTCATAACCTGGATTATGATCAGCAATAATATCCTCATCATCAATCATTACCATGTGCAATTGCATTTCTTGCATTGGGATTCATGTAATGTGTTTCCTTTCTTTGAGGACAACCTCATTGAGTCTCAAGAATGCTTTCAGAAAAATCCTGCATTGGGGTGTCTGGCGACACGTACGAGAGGATAATAATACTCAAATATTCACGTATATATGCCACAAACTGGTCATGGTGTTTTATTATCTTATGACCATCCTGAAGCCAGCATGTGTGGGATTCATAGCACAAGGTGATTGCATGTGTGCTCCACCAACACTGCCTCCAAAGCGGTGCATTACCGGAATGTATCACCATGCCTAGCATATGTTTGCTTGTTATCAATGGTTGTGATGCTTTCTTGCGTAAATGTATAAAAACAAATTATTTTAACAATGGCATTGTATACTCTTAATAAAGGTTGTTGGGTTAGATCGCGTTATTTATAAATGTGTCGTAACCCTCCACCACCCGACATGGCCAAACAGTAAAAAATGTGTCACGTTTACAAAAGACAAATAGTTCACTACTTTAGCCCACCGGGAAGAGGAGTGAATCAACATCATTTACGATTTTGAGGACGACGTTTCGCTGGTAATTACATCCAGCATCATCGGGCAATTTGCCAGAATACTGAAGCCCTCCACTTGCTCCCGGTCTTAAATACAGCAGCACGGTGACGTCATCATTTAACCCAATCTGGTGCAGTGATTTGAGGCGGGGAGGGTATTGTAATTCTATAATAGATTGGTAATCATTCAATTGTTATTAATTAGTATTTTTTCCCCTTTAAGGAATTGTAATTGTAATATATATTTTATTTAATAATACGCATACAGGCCGCACTAAGCCTGTAGCTCTCAGAGCGATTAAAGTTATTTATATTTCTCTCAATTTTCTCTAATTAGTCTTGGCCAGTAATAATTAGTTTTTCACAACACTTTAACGGTATCAAAATCATTTGAGTGTCCTTGTTGACTGTTTGGCCGTGTCGGGTGGTGGAGGGGTAGACACATTTATAAATAACGCGATCTAACCCGAAAACATTTATTATGAATAATATTGGTCTCGAAAGCCTACGTGTTAAACTGGCTTTGTATACATCTGCATTGGTGCTGTTCTCATTTATTTGTCAATGATTGGTAATTTCATAAACATTAAAATTAAATTCAAATTTATCTATGCAGCCAGTTATACAAGGATACTTAAAAAAAAATCTAGCATTTGTAGAAATTTACCAATGGAAGGTGTCAACTTTGGCATCTTTAAAACATTAAAATTATTTAAAAACACATGCATAAAAACTATATTAATAACTAATGTTTGTAATCCATAATTATAACCAAACATTAGACAGGGGTAGTCTGCCAACAAATGATCTTATATATTTAATAATCACACCTCCCTGGCCTTTCCAAACAACAGCTGGCTTTGTTGGTGACAAACTTTTTTTTAGATAAAGTTTCCTGTTTAAATTAAAATTGTCTTTCACCCAATGTCATTTTTATCTTCAAAATGTATTCTTGAAATGAACTGCACTGGTGCAAAAAAAATAAAAGTCCCACTTCACTAATTTTCTTTGGCTTAGCCGGGTAGCAGAATAATTAACTTCTGTCCATTTTGCATATTGTCACCCTTGCAATAATAACCGTGCAGAGCTGAGTGATGCCCTCGGACACCCGGGCGGTAGCCCAGCAGCATCCAACCCCCACCCAGGGCCCAGCTGCCCATCCACCTCCTCCACGTGGGTGAGTACTTTTGACATCTGTGAGAAAACGAGCTTTGTAGCTCATCGGATTCCTCCAGTATACATTCATAGTCTTATTCTAGTGTGGTGGGAAGCAAGAGCAGAGCAAATATTCAGCATTGCAAAAGGTGAATTGTTATAAAGAAAGGTCATTGCCCTAAACATCACCTTTTTTAAAGGAAATTTTATTGACGAATATGTTGGGGTTTGATTAATTGTGAGCATTGTTGATTTAATAATATTTTACATGGGGTGATTCTTTGCACGATTGCAAACTGAGAGTATTCTCCAAATTATGTGTATGAATCTGGCATGCCTATAGCTGAATTGCCCAGAATGCACCCCACCTCATCAAATCTCAGACTTTGCCCAGGATTGAGCCTTGCTAGGGCTTGGATGGGTGACCACAGTGCACATCAGATTGTCTTCAGGCTTGTGGGCCTACATGGTGGGCGTCAGAGGGCAGTGCGGTAAAATACGTGATTGAACTATACGTTTATGCTACCACGTCTATAACGCCACACCGTCACCAACCTACACTGGCCAGTGTGGTCAAATGTGTGCATGTACGTACATCTGGCATATGCTTTTCAAATAGAACGTGAATTTCTTGCAACAAGTAGAATGCCGTATGTGCCAGGCATAGTTACACATATATTTGTACAGATTTATTGCACCACTACGTTAATTATTTCCAAAAACTCACACTACTGGGAAATGTGACCTGCTACCTTCCCTCTTACCAAATCAGTATTATTTTTGAAGAGCAAGAAATATGAAAGTGGGAAGCTAGTTAATTCAATAACAGAACAATGTAATATTATTTTGCGTATAAAAATAATTTCAAAATAATAATGTCAAAACAAAAATGTTCAGACTGGATAATATTGCTTATTATTTTGGCTTATTGCTGCTCATTTTCCTTTGCAACATGAGTGGACATTGCTTGTTCCTTGCCACCTTTCTGACGTTTGTGGCCTGGGGCAGGATCATTTGATTCCTGGAAATGGAGTCGACGGCACTCGCACCGGCAGATATCCCGCCAACAGACTTTCCGCGCAAGGTAAGAGCCAAACAACCTTGATGTGTTACGACAGCAGTGTTCTTTTGATGTGTGCATACTGTTTGTAGATCAGAGATTGTGCAAATGCTTTTTCTTACTTGTTTCAATTTTGTAAAACTGCAATTCACCTTGGAGACACACACCCTTTATGTTGCAGTGTTCCAGGTGGTTTTGATGTTGTCTTTCAAAGGCAACTTTAAGCAACCCTGAAATTAAAGTTAACATTCTATAAATGTAGGCATACGTTTTAAAGAGATGTATGAAATTGATTTATGTAACACAAACATATTATGTATCTTGGAGAATATTTTTTGTTGTTGTGACTGCTGAATTATACATAGAGTATATATTAATGTATGCATACGTGTACGGTAGAGTATAGGTATGCATGTTTGAAATTTAGTTTCTAAGCATAATGTTTGTAACAACTTTCTAAACCGAACAATCTTCATATCTGAATTCATAATAAGAACATTTAAAGATTAATACAATTGCAGAGCTGTGAGTAGACAATTAAGACAAAATAATATCCAAAAATAAATTGCAGAGAGATTATGGATGTAAATGTAAGGGCTCTTGGTTCACTCTTGGATAGCTTGATTCAATTTTGAGCATGTGTTTAATAATTACGTCATTTGGAGCATGTGAGTTAAGCTTTTAGTGTGAAAAACGTCGAGAGTGGTTGTTAAAGCAGTTGGATGATTTATGCAGGTAAGTCACTGTAGGCCGTTTGAAGGGTAGATGAAGCGATCTTGCTTTAATAAAGGGTTGGAGAGATAGGCTGAATGGCATTAACTCATTTCCCAATTTCTCACAGTAGCTCTTTAATGTCATCTATAAAAAAAGAAAAAAACATATTTCAAGAGGCAAATGTGTTTTGCGTGTGTTAGCGTCTTTGTGCATGCGTGCTTGCGTGTATATATGTCCATGTGTTTTTTTTGTTCAATTGCTCAGGGCAAAGTGAAAGTGAGGGGCAGGAGTCTGTGAACAGTGAAGGCACTCAAGACGCCCAGTGGGAACGGCGTGGCGTGCATGCTGACAGTAGTGTAGTGACCCCCCACCTCGTCTCTGGCATGTGCCGACTTGTCCGCAACGTGCTTGCCCTTGCTCCCGAAATGACAGCCCACTCACTCCTCCAGCACCAGATCCTGTCCAGCCTCAACAGGTGTCTCACACACACGTGAACAAAGACGGTCACCGCATCGTGCGCTTTCAGATGCGCTTCTGTGGCCGTGCCCGGAATGTTCTTCCTTACGATATTAGGAAGCCACTGGAGCTATGCACTTTTAAATCTAGATTGAAAACTACTTTCTTTAGAACTGATTTTTGTGTTTAGTTTATTGTCATTCCCCTGCACCTCTGATTAGCACTGTAAGGCTACGTACGGCGTGAAATAAATTCAACATACATACAGTGAGGGAAAAAAGTATTTGATCCCCTGCTGATTTTGTACGTTTGCCCACTGACTTAATGTTAGGTTTATTTGAACAGTGAGAGACAGAATAACAACAACAAAAATCCAGAAAAACGCATGTCAAAAATGTTATAAATTGATTTGCATTTTAATGAGGGAAATAAGTATTTGACCCCTCTGCAAAACATGACTTAGTACTTGGTGGCAAAACCCTTGTTAACAATCACAGAAGTCAGACGTTTCTTGTAGTTGGCCACCAGGTTTGCACACATCTCAGGAGGGATTTTGTCCCACTCTTTGCAGATCTTCTCCAAGTCATTAAGGTTTCGAAAATGGAAGAAACGTACAAAATCAGCAGGGGATCAAATACTTTTTTCCCTCACTGTACACATACAACCATACCCTGCCACGTGCATGCTGGGACGGCTGCCACTAGGGATACCCTTCGAATGTTTGAAATGAGGAGATTTTTAGTTGTTGAGGCACTTAAATTATTATTAAACTAATTTAATATCAAATGTAAAATTTCCATCATGTAAGCTTGGTAATACCAGAGTAATGTATTTATTTTATTCTTAATCATTATAATGTGTTTGTTTCAAATCCAATTTCAGAATATCAAGTTTTTATTTCCACAAACGATTTGTTTTATAGTGTTGCGTTGTTATTTTTGGTGGTCTGTTCTCAGTTATGCACATTTACAGTCTTCAGATTTCACCTAGTATAAGGGCCAAAATCCGCAAAGTGCAACTTGTGGGATGTTTCTCTTATGTCAGATGTGCAGATGCAGGCGTGCTGGGTGCCTCTCTCTGCGAGATCAGGAACCCCACACAGACTCTGCACCTTGCCAGGGAGTCCAAGGCTCTGGTAAGAGGAATGTGTTCTTTGCTCATGCGGCAATCTCTCCTCCAAACTGCCAATAGACAACTTGCCTTGGGGGAGAAAGAAAAATTGAAACATGCTTTTGACAAAGTGGAATGGTAATGAAAACTGCTGTGTAAACGTGAATAGCCTCCAGCAAAGTGCTATCGCAAAGAGAAACTTGTGAGCGTATGCATTTTTGTGCACTTCTGTAAATGGCGACTTGCCCTGGAGAGGATGGTGAATAAATTCTGGCCCATCAACTGTTTTTTTAAGAAGCAGAGTTCAGTTTGTAGAAATAGCAATATGAATACATGTATTTCGCCTCTCAGACAAGCACAACAGATGCATTTCGGTATTATGGATTGAATTGTTATTTGGGTTCATTTACGCAATGCAAAGTCGTCTGTGGAAGGTCTACAAAATTCCCCATGTGGGGTGCACCGAATTGATGTGATTGAAAAATTACCGGGCCAAACTCATCGAAAAGTGCTGGCACAGTCGACAAAATAACTACATTATTCACTCTTGCTATTTTGGCAAACACTATGCGTGGTTTGTATCACACAACCATTTAAAGATGCATTGCTTTGGCTACGTTTGGGGCAGAACAAACCTTTTTGAATTAATGCCGAATTGGCAAACGAATCGGTCTCGCTATGCCACACGGCTGCTGACACTACAATGAGCCATTTGGTCACTCGGAATTGAGGAAGTGCATTTATCGTGCAACTCGTTGGAACAGTTTATCCTAAATTGGGCACGTGTGCCTGAAACATGCAATACTTTACAATAATGTGGTCCAGTGGGGGAGAAGGGTGGTCATTCATAAGCAATGAAACGGCGTCTTTTGACTAATCATTCTGGTTGATCATCACAGAAAAGGTTGTTCACATAATTGGAAGCCAACTTGGAAAATATCATGCATTTAGGATTTAAGATATAAGCCACAAAACTCCTGAATGACGACTTAATGGTCACATGTATGATGTACTTCAAAGCATTTTCCTTGGTCATATGCAAGTACATGTACACTATTTACTAAATAATATAAACTAGTTGTCCTGATGGGTATAAATATGTATATATTCACTTTTCATTAAATTGCCATTGAATTGATCTTTGTTAATGACATCAAAACCTGATGTACCATCGATTTTCTTATAAAATATACAGTCCTATCATTTGTAACCAAGAGTACTTTATGCCATATTTCTGGGACAACCATAAAAGATTTTAGATGACTACATATCTGCAGACAACAAACTTCATTGTATATAAAAGGTCAGCAGTAAATGGATGTGTATGCATTCTTACCACTGCTGTAGTATGAGTATGTACTGATGAGAGATCGGACAATGATGATTCTCAATCAATAAGCTCTCGATAAACTATCACAGCAAACATTTCTAAGGGCGTGCATGTGGGATGGAGTGCAGAGAGAAAATGCCCTGCGTGTTTTGTCCCTTCAAGGTGATGAATGGCTGTATTTACATTCTGCCCGATCGTTTCTTCATTCAGAACTATGATTGACCCTCCACGGCAGTGAACCACGTCTTTTGAATACTCACAGTAACAGCAATCTTATATTACTTGCAATATGTTTAAACATGTATAAGTCATCATTATAATCGTTAGCCATGATCAACCCATTACTGGACAAAGGCCTCCCAAAGTTGCCGCCGTTTCTCATAAACCTGTGATGTTAACACTCCAGCTATTACCTGCACATAAACGGATTTCATTGCTCCATCTCTCAGTGGACGTGCTGTGTGACGCGCTACATTCTTTGGCTGCAACACTGTTACAATTTTTGACCGTCATCCCTATCCCTAAGAGCTCTAAGTCCTGCCCAAGCCGACTTACTCTGCTTACCAGTTAGAGTTGTTTATTGAACCTGCATATGTGTTCCATTTCACGTGCTCTTCTTTCAATCGGTCAGTGTAATTACAATTCATAATCAACGTTTTTTGGTTTAGATCGCGTTATTTATAAATGTGTCGTAACCCTCCACCACCCGACACGGCCAATCAGCAAAAAAGTGTCACGTTGACAAAATATTATTAGTTCACTGCTTTAGCCCACCGGTGTGTTGAAGCGTGAAACCCGATGATGCTGGATGCAATTACCAGCGAAACGTCGTACTCAAATTGTAAATTGTTGTGGTTTCACGCTTCAACACACCGGTGGGCTAAAGCAGTGAACTAATTGTCTTTTGTCAACGTGACACTTTTTTACTGACTGGCCGTGTCTGGTGGTGGAGGGTTACGACACATTTATAAATAACGCGATCTTAACCCAAAAACGTTGATTAGGAATAATATTGGTCGCGAAAGCCTACGTGTTAAACAGTGTAATTACAATTCTGTTTCAATCCATGCTCCTTTGGGCACCTTTCCGTTTTTTGTTCTATATATTTATTTCATTCACAAGCACGTTTCTTCACCATATTTCTTAGCGGGGTATAGAAAGAGTATATTAACATGCACCACTTGTTAGGCTTGTGCCAGTGAACTTTTTAATGATAATAATTGTTAGGGTATTTGGTTTTCATGTTCATATCTTTTTCATATCTCATTATGGTATGTTTGAATTATACTTTTTCACCTAGGTCCATGCTCGAGGTTTTATCATTGTTATGCCTGAATAAAAAAGCAATTCCAAAACTCAGAGCATGAGCAGGGCACCCATTGCTGCACATGAGCAATAGTTGAGCCGTAGTGAGATCCTCTTTGCGTGGAATTGGACTGCGGGACAGTTTCTGGGACAATAGTTTTTCATTTGTAGTTTGTTTTACAAATTGAATATGATTTTTTTTACAGTTTGTTCATTTGTAGCTAAAGTTAAAGAAAAAACATGGATGTGACCTTCAGATTATTAAAGTAAATAGAATTGGGGTGGTTCTTCTTTTTCTCAATGTTTTTTTTTTATGATTGGGATTGTTTTTAATCGTTGAATAGAGCATAGCCTAAATCGAAGGGTGTTTATGAATTGCTACTGTGGTCCTAATTTTAAATATGGACTGCTAGATTAAGAATACAGTTTACTCTTTAATCCAGGCAATTTAAAATAACTTTGCTTACAGTGTAACTTTCCGTGTGTGGTTTACAGTTAATGTGCATTACATTTAGAAAAATAATTTATTTTGCATTCATGCGTCATGACTTATATTTATTATGTACATAGGTGGATAACTTTGAATGAGCGACATGTAATGCGGTACACAATTTTTCAATTTGTAACATCTAAATAAAATACATTTTACCTGTGGAGTGTAAATACAATGGGGAATATAATTAATCAGGCAGAGTTTCTCATTATGCTTCTAAGCAGATGCAAATTGGGAATTTTTTAAAAGAACAAATGTTGCAGGCTCTTCCATCTAAGCACACACGTACCTTATGTATTACTGAATATCACCACAAGAGAGTCATGCTGGCCTGTCTATTTAGATCCAAAGAGTATTCTATAATAATGTTTTGACCATTGGCTAAACCTAGCTATTCCAATACTTACATATATGAATTAATGTTCGTAGAATATATAGTTGACCACTTCAAATGGAATCGGCGTTATTATATATTGTAAGCTCATTGGCACCTTTACAAGAATACCTTGAACCATTCCAGCTTGCCTACCTATGATTTATTTTGGATTTAACCAGACTTATAATTATATGAGGAGCTCACAGATCCTTGAAATTCCATTCATGAGCACATGTAGTAGGATAGGATGCATTGGCTGGGTTATGTTTCCCGCATGCCCAGCAACCAAATGTCCAAGCTGCTTATGTTTGGCCATATAGATAGGCTCGAGAGATGAGCTGTCGTTTGGGAAGACTTAGAGCTAGTGGACAGATGGAGGGAGCTACCCTCCAGCAGAATCAGAGGCCAGAGTAATAATACCCACAAAAATTAGCTGTGTGGCTGGTAGCTAAAACACAACAAGCTGGCACAGTGGGTATCGCAGGTGATACATTGCAGTCCATTAACCCGTAATACTTGGACCTCATGCCAGTGAGCCTTTTAACACTTCACATGGCCTCATAGTAAACCTAGCCAAGCACAAGTGATTTGGTAATGTCACCGCTATGTGGCAAATGGTGGCTTATTGTAGGATTTTGCATGCTATATTGCCTCCTAAACATATCTATTCATATTCTATGGGTCTTTCGGTAAAGCCACGTAGATAGAAAAATAAAATAAAAATCACGACGTTTCGATCGCAACACAAGCAATCGTCTTCAGGTGAGAGAGAGAGAAAGCTGCTGAGACAAGGTCTTATATAGGCCTGAGATGGGTGCATCAAGGTAGGTGGGTGGAGCTAGAGATGGTCCAACCACAGAGGCTGGGGCAGTGGCCTTTGAAGTGTGAGAGATGAGCCTGTAGGGCGCCACCAAAGCTGTGGAGGTGGCCATCGTATTGTGCGTAGCCCAAGGGTAAGTGGGCGGGGCTAGAGATGGTATTTGCATGTAAATGTAAGATCAGAGGGCGCCCTGAGGCTGTGGAGGTGGCCATTGTATTGTGAGAGATTAGCATGTCAATGTAATAGAACCACCGCAACGGTGGATGTGCTAGTGAGACATTCAGCCCGTTGAAAAAAAAACGAGAACCATCGCCACATCAAGGGAAATGAGCATCTAGTGCGAGTGAGACATCCAGCCTGTCAATGCAATGACATCCAACCTGGCAATGCAACTCAGAGAGTCGGAAATAACAGCAAATGTCGGCAGGTAGGATGGAACATAGCCAGTTATGACTTAAACTGGTTAATAACGTCCTTCCAATGATTGCTCAGTTTGTACCCATCTTCTCGGTTGAAATTGTGTCTGTGTTTATATATCTGGATGGCTTCATGAACGAAACTTTGCTGATAGCCATTAGGTTTGCAGAGTACCTTCGTCTTGGAAAAATAAATTTCGTGCGTACCCACAGCGTTAAAACAATGATCAACCACGGCCGAGGTATTGGTCCTACCTTGTTTCAGATCTGCCTTATGTTAACGAACAAAGTCCGAGACATGTCGCTTAGTTTCCCTAATGTAACTACTGCCGCAGCCACAGCTTAGTTTGTCGACACCGGGGTATTGTATGTCAGGGATCACATCCTTCACAGATGGGATCAGATCATGAATTTTAAGTACTGTGTTAAATCGAACCTGGGTCTTGTATTTGCTCATGATTTTGGAAATGTTTTTGGTGACCCCTGCTATGTGTGGCAAGGTGATGGGTTTGATTGGGTCCTCATATGGTTCTTTCCCAATGGTTGGGGTGATAGCTTTATGGATTGTGTAGTCCGAATATCCATTCATCTTGAGGGCTTGGAGTACGTGCTCCAGTTCACTGGCTAGGTGGTGATGGTCGGAAATACATCCAGCTCTATGGTGTAGAGTTTTGATGAGGGAATTCTTCTGGGATGATGGTTAGGTTTTAGGTAGGCATCCGTATGGGTAGCTTTCCTGTAGGCAGTGTCCCATTGAGCCATCTGGTCTCTTTTCGATTAAAACATCCAAGAATGGTAACTTGCCATCCTTTTCCACCTCCATGGTGAATTTTATGGCTGGGTGTATGGAATTGATGTGGTTGAAGAATTGGCCCAGCACTGGTAGGCCATGCGGCCAGATGACGAACGTGTCATCTACGTACTTCTTCCACAAGGAAGGACGTAGGATGGATGCCTGGATGGCATCTGTCTCAAATTTATCCATGAAAATATTGGCTACAACTGGAGATAAGGGAGAACCCATTGGGGTACCTTAAACTTGTTTTTAGAATGTTCCATTCCAGGTTAAGTAAGTGTTGGTGAGGCAGTGTCTAACCAGGGCAGGTAAATTTCGATTTAAAGCTTTCGTGACTGCAGGGATTCATCTTCTTGGTTCTTTCGGTAAAGTCACGTAGAAGGGAAGTAATAAAATAATAAAAATAAAACATAATAAAATTATTCTCACGACGTTTCGGCCACAACTCAAGTAGCTACTTGCGTTGTGGCCGAAACGTCGTGAGAATAATTTTATTATGTTTTATTTTTATTATTTTATTACTTCCCTTCTACGTGACTTTACCGAAAGAACCAAGAAGACAGGGAAGGTACATCAGCATTCAGTCCTTGTTGGACCAAATCTTCAATGATTGCAGTCGTGTCAGGCACATAAACTTTGGTAGACAAAGATACCACATCGAAACTGACTAGCAAGTCACCTGAAGATAGTGAGATGTCCTTAATTAGAGATACCAAGTGAGCTGAGTTAAGTACCGCTGAGGTGGTCTTGCCAGTGAATGGATATAAGGTCTCAGACAGAAATCGGGCCAGTTTGTAGGTGGGTGAGTCAATAGTGGAGACGATAGGACGGAGTGGTGTACCTTCTTTATGGATTTTTTGGTAAGCCATAAAATCTGGGTGGTCTAGCAGCAGAGGGTTTTAGAGAGAGCCGCTTGGTTGGTTCTATTAAAGATGCCTAATCAGAGGCTGTTGGTAGGATCTCTATTGATTTTGGTATAGCTGCCATCATTTAGTAGGTCCTGAATTTTGTTATTGTATGTGGTTTTGTCCATGATGACAGTGGCATTGCCCTTGTCGGCTGAGAGGATGACTATTTCATCTCTCTTTTTTAGTTGAGAAAGCTCAAAGCGCTCATCCTTGCTGATGTTGCTAATATGTGTCTTAGCGTTTTTGAGGATTGCAGCTATTTCCGATGTTGCCACATCTGCAGGAATGTGTCCCAAACCCTTAAGGGCTACGTCAACCTGGACAATGATATCGTCAACTGGGATGTGTTTAGGGGTGACTGCGAAATTCAACCCTTTAGCTAGAACCGATTTTAGGCTATCGGAAATTGGGCTGTTACTCTGATTGATCACAATCTTGTCACCGTCTAACTTTTTAATGTGTGGATCTGGCTTCTTCTTGGACATGAGGTTGGAAATCAGGTTATCTTTGCATTTAGCTGACATTGAGGCAGCTGAAGAGGCTGTCAGGTTATCTACATGGTCCCAATCAGATGTAGACATGTTTTCTGTCAGTATTAGTTGTGATGGTAAGAGAGTCTTGTCTAAATTGTCTTGTTCAAATCGGAGCAATCTTATTCTCTCTGAGATCAGGGCTAGGCCGGCCCTGAACAAGATCCGTTCAGCATTAGGACAAGTGACAGCAGCAGATGTGAGTTTGAAGGCGATCGATCGGTATTACCTTACTGTCGCGGCATCTCTTCAAAAAAGTGAGCGGTAAAAGTGAGCTGCTAAATCGCTAACGGTTGAGACTGGCCATGTTTACCTAGCCTGCGGACCCATTGTATCTCTTTGTCTGCTGCAGGTGCTGTCACTGCTGGATCTGCAGGCGGCTGTGTGCGAGCTGGTGGAGGCTTGTGCCATTCTCTCTCTCGGCACAGTGCTGGAGGGAAGTCTGCTGGGAGATCTTTTGCAGAACCTCCTTGCCGTCTTTTCCCAAACCAAGTCCAAGATCTTGGGTTCGTATTCCCTATTTTTCACACCACTTTCTGAAACATTAACCACTATTACTAATTAGTCATTTTGCTTCAGTGGTGCGGCTAATGCCTGTAATGCAAAATAGGTTCTGTTTGATCCTACTGAGATAATATTTTAAGATTGATATAAGAGGCATGTTAATTCTTCCACGGGCAAAAATATCCCTAACTAAATCTTAAAAAAACATTCCAGGCAGGCTCCTATTGATAAAGACTTGCGATTTTAATAGGACTTTCCTGGATAAACAAATAAACTGTTGTAAAACCCAAAACTAGTTTTTGTGCATGCCCCTTTCCATACAGAAGCTGCTTGGGTTACCCCATGGTGAGATAGTCTTTGGTTCTATGTAAAGTCTGTTGATAAATTCAGGCAATGAAATGGTTTACTTGTACGGGCAGTCCTCGACTTACAGTCGGGTTACGTTCCTGAGACCCGTTTCATAAGTCGATTTATTCGTATCTCAGAACTCGTATGTACAGTGTTATAAAATGTGTTTTGGTTCAACAAAAAACGTAAGCATTCTTAAACTCATAAATAAGAATAAATATTGTATATTTGCATGTAATAAGTAGAGTAAATAAAACATCAAATAAAGTAACATGAAAAAAATATCTGTTTTAGTTTAATTTACCTTGAGAGCTGATGCTGGCTTGCTTATCAGAAGGGGCATTTTATAGGATGCTGGGACTGATTACATCTCGCGGAGTATCGCTCCGCCAAACAAAACAGTTCTGCGGTTCGGTTCGTGAATATGACTGAACGTTTGCAATTCAGATAGTTAAAAACTACATCTTATGGTGATTCGTTCACAAGTGTGGATGTTTGTACGTCGGACGTTCGTATTTCGGAGACTGCTGGAATGCAGTGGATATTGAGAATATTACATTCTGTTGTGTTCAGATTCATGATTACTACATCATGATTTATAAATATCCTGACAGTCTTACTGAAACTGCTGTATTTTAAAAATAAAACATTGCCATATTTGCATCATTTAATACGGATGTTACTGTTTCCAACGTTCAAAAACAATTCCATGGGATGATGTTACGTGTCTTTGCATTCTATGTTAAAATGCAAACAAGAAACTGTGTGATGTGACCACAAGCGGCCCCTGAGACACAGTATAGTATATGTAGCCACGATTGTGTTGTTTCTTTAAATTGCATAAACTGTGGTATGGTCATATATGAAGTGAAATACAAGCAGTGCAGCATTTTGTAGTAGAGAATAGCATTGCTTTGAGAGCGTTTGTTAATGTCATGTTAAAATTTTCTGTCATTTAGTGAAGCTTTAAAATGGCCTCTAAATGTATTATATGCAGTAAATTGTGCTCGAGTATATAAACAGGCAGTAAATAAATACACATAAAACATTTTTATTTGAACTCCAAAGGCTATCAAAATAATTATGTCAAAAAGATTTCTACATGATCTCCGTGTTAACAGGTATGCAAATATCCTGTAATTTCACAACATTTCAAACTGATAAAATGGTGGAGGGGGGGGGGGTTCAGGAGGTATATTCTAATCGATAAACATATGTTTTGTTTGTTGTTGGTTGAAAGTGCCATTGGATAGGACCTGATTCTTATCTTCCCTGAATAGCAGAACATTAATATTTTCTAATCACTTTCCACCAGGACATAAGCTTCCTGCAGTGATAAGAATCATACCCATTAAAGCTCTCCCTTGGTGTCTTTAAATCATGTGTGCAATCTCCACTGACACGAGACCTGCTGAGGTTCGACAAACATGTGCGCGCATCCCATTAATACATGCGCCAAGAGGCATGTGTTGTGTTAGGCTTTTTTATGAGCTTTTTTCCCCCCTTCTTTAGGATGAGATCTTTAACTGAAATCTTGCTGAGCTTGGAAACACTAAATTTCCTCTGGCATTCATTGCTAAGCGCATGTAAGGTAACCCCCACTATCTTGGACAAAATCCCACTGTGAGTCAATAAAAAATATCGCGTGGCCAAATTCCACTTACTTGAAGTAATTCTCCAATAAATTCCCGGTTGCTCTTTGGTGGCTTATATCCCGTAATACCGCCAGCTAACTCACGGTTTTTCTGGGGTGTACCTCGTCGAGACATGTTGTATGTGCGAGACACAATGCATGAAGGTGATTGTCGACGACGACGATGGTGTTGTTACAGATGTGGAGGTACAGCAGGCAGTGCACAGAGTATGGGAGAAGTCGCTTAGTCTGCAGTGTGTGCTGCTAAGGAAGGCTGGACCCACCATGCTGCCCCCGTTTGTCTCTGCTGCATGCCATCACTGGGGTGCTCTTGTCGGTGAGAAAAACAACACATTCCCCTATAAGTATATCTACATTTACTGTACACATTACCTTTCATACTCAGAGCCACTAGTTTTGCACCATTGCTAACAGCAGCCTGGGCTGGACACCTTTGATAAAGAGCTGCACAGCTCCGCGGGTTCTGCCAGTTCAGATATAAATGTCTATGTCGAACTTAATGTACCTTGTCAAACTACTGAATATGCACCTCTTGTGATCGGAGAGGTGTTGAGTTGTTTTGTACAATTAATGGGGAACGCAACGCTCTGCTTATAATCGAATAGCTTTCTTAAGTGGAGAGATATTGCCTGCATGAATGCGGAAAATATATTGTAACCGTTTGCCTCCAAACAATATTTTTTTAGGGTGAATGTACACCATGTGTAGACTGTGTGGTGCCATTTTAATGCTAAATAAGCAATGTAGCAGCCATATCTGTTTGCAAAATATTTTCATACAATTTTGAATTGTTCAATGTTGTGCAACACGCTTAAGTTGCACATTATTTTGAATAACATTTGTAGTTATACTGATTAAAGAAGCACTTTTGCCTTTTTCAAATGCAACATAAACATTTGTACTTTAAATCCAAACCGCTAGCACTGGGACTGGAAACCCAAGATGTGTTTCTTCCTTGGACATGGATTCTCTCCATTGAGCAATGAGTACATGGGAGTAAGTTGCATGGTATTTTGCGATGGTAAAGCACGAGTACCCCCACTTTTTCAACAACTATTTCAGGGAAAAGCAGCTCGTATTACTCTTGAAAACTTAGAACTGGCCATCTGAAGCACAGATATTTAGGAAATTTACCATATAACACGTCATTTCCATGCTTTGTTAACATTTATGTGAATGTTCTGTAAATGTGATTTCCTTATATGTTAGGATGCTTGAAGACGTGCCTCAAAATGTCTTCATCCAACCGCTCTCTGCATATAGCCACCATGCAATTCCTGGCCATGCTGTTGGTAGAAGAAAGCAAAAGAAAGCTGAGTTTGAAATCACCAGAAAATGATGGCGATGAGGATGATGGAGTAGCACCTGAAGCAGAGGACGCCCACCCTCACAAACTCTGCCTTCAGAAAGCGGACGGGTCAACGAATGGCAAACCGATTTCTCTTGATACCGGTGGCGTAAGTCGGAAGACAAGATCGGTACGAGCAGAGCGGTCAAGAGAATCTCGTACTCGTGTTGGAGAAGGCGAGCGGAGAGTTCGGTCATCGGCGAGCATGGGAGCAGCGTCTGGTGATCCAGCCACGCTGATGTGGCTGCTCGATAGAGATGGCTCGTGGGAAGCGCCACTCGCCGGGAGCCAGCTCTGCAAGATCATCTTGCAGGTGAAATAATAATAATAGGTTCATATGACAACGATTATTTACAATGATTGTCAAAGTTGCAGCAGTTGTCACTTAGATTTGTGGTTGTCTGCTGCACCCGGTGCTATGCATGTACAGCCATTTTGTCAGTTCGCTACTGGAGGAGGGTCACTGCCGGATGAGCAGGTTAGTTGACGATACTTCACACCGGCGAAGAATCACCACACAGGTTGTCGAAGGTAGGGAGCATAGATGTGGGGACGTAGTGTACAGTACAACAAAAATATTTTCCACACATACCCTCTGCTGGGACACAATGTAACTCACAGCCTATAACAACTGTTATGCATGGTGGTCGCCTATCCAAGGACTGTCAAGACTCAACCTTGCTTACCGTCTGAGGTCTGATGAGAAGGGGCACATTACCGGTGATTCGGTAATGCACTTCGTCATTTACTACCATACTTTAAGTTTTTTAACAATATACAGCATCTTTAGTATACATATTATACTCTGTGTGTTTATACCTTGTATATGTTTGGTTTATAAAGACACCAGCAACACTACTTAATGTTGTTAAGGCTTGGCACACACCTTTAACACAGCCTCACACTGGTCGCACAGCTGTCCATACTCTAAAGCAAACTTTAGCATCTGCATTTAAGTAATGTCTAGTTTAGATTAACACATTCCTACGGAGGGAGCTGGTAGGAACGTTGGGTTGCTCGGTCAATGGCCAGGGTCAATGGTGGCGTGGTGTATTCCGCAAATATGGCCGACTGTGAGGGTGGGCACAAGCCGGCGTGAGTAGGTTAAACGTTGAGTTTAATAAGGGCACCACGGGGTGACCCGCCCCTCCCCACCCAGCCCCACCCCTCCTACTCCCCACCCAGTCCCACCCTCCCCACCAAGCCCCTCCCCACCCTCCCCACCCAGCCCCTCCCCACTCTCCCCACCCAGCCCCTCCCCTCCCCACCCAGCCCTACTCTCCCCACCCAGCCCCTCCCCACCCAGCCTCTCCCCACTCTCCCCACCCAGCCCCTCCCCTCCCCACCCAGCCCTACTCTCCCCACCCAGCCCCTCCCCACCCTCCCCTCCCCACCCAGCCTCACCCTCCCCACCCAAGCCCCTCCCCACCCTCTCCTCTCCACCCAGCCCCTCCCTGCATGACGGACGGACACAATAATCCCCTGTGGGCTGGTGTAACCAGGAGGTTCCTACCAGTATAAAGTACATAACCCACAGTTCCCAATAAGTATCATCATCTATATTGTGTCTGTTGTGTTATGGATAATAATGAGATTGTTATGTTGGTACACAATATATTGTCTTTCTTTATAAAAATAAGTGAAAATAATTTCACCACACGAATCAGAGTGCATATGCATTTTTCTTTGGTTCTTTCGGTATAGTCACGTAGATAGAAAAATAATAATACTCAGCCATGTGAGTTGTATTCCCAGTCATGGCTAACATCAATGGCAAACGATATCTGAGCTGGTCCTGGACCCCTCTTCACCTGCCCGCACTAACTAGTGTGGTGATGTATGATCACACATTCCCCATGACCGGACAAAGCTTGAAACTGCCTTCACAAAAACATTTAACTATTTTTCTACTTTTTTTTCGTATGAAAGCGTGTATGTACAACATCAGTTTAAACGTTTTTTCGGTAAAGTCACGTAGGTAAAAAATTAAAATTAATAAAGTAAAATAAAAATAAAATAAAAATCACGACGTTTCGGAGGCAACACAAGCTTCCGTCTTCAGGTGGAACCGTCACAGCACGATAGCTGTATCAAGTGAGAAACTACAAATTTGTATGCGTGCATGTTGTTGCGACTAAATCACTTTTTTTGCATTTGTATGATTCCATGGTCCACCGTTGTGACCAGTGCTTTGAGTGCAGGTCTACTGATGATCTACTTGGAGTGCATGCCACGTCTGCTCTCTGTTGTCTCCTCGCTGTCAGCGCATCAGCCAAGAATTATGCCCGTCAAGGTACAAAAAAAACCACATTTAATACAGACTGCTTTTGTGAAAATTACAATGCACTACATTTCTAAGAAGGCATTGAGGCGTGCACATGGCACGATTGGTATAATTTGGGTATGACTAAATTTTTAACATGATGGCGTTTTGAAATGCTAGATGAAATATTAGAAAGACAAATGGTTATTTATTTACGTACAGTTTATTAACGGTGCACAACTTGCCAAATAAGTTATCGACTCTGGGCAGCTGTAAATTGTTGCTTGCAATGCCCCCCCGTTGGGCTGTGTGCCGCGCTAACCGCAGCGGGCCTGATTGAGGGCTGTGTGGAGCAAGCCAAGCAAGCTCACAGCAAGCTCGAGTTGGACTCACTGGAGCAAGCAAAACCAGCCCCGAGGAAGAAGGTCCGTACTCTGCCCAGTGCCGCTTAAATAAAGAATTGTCTCGTAAGCTGAACGCTCTTAAGCAAGGCATATATGCCCGGAATCAAATGTCCTTCACAGTTTAACATGATCCTTTTCGAATGCCACTTGACACCTCTAAGTTGATTTTGTCAGCAGGTCAGAGCATGAAGCTATAAATGCTGTGTTGGCTGCATTGTACATTTAATGTGTATATGATCAGTGTTTTATTGTTTAATAACGACTACACATCTTTAATTAATGAATAGTTTGAACACCTTCAAGCATTCTCATTTTGTTAATCACACTGAATTTAAAGGCATCCTTTCAATCATGCTTTACATGAACAAGATAACTACAATTATAATTACATCCTTGTAAAATCTAAATCACCCATTTGTGAGAAGCACGTTTGTATGCATACAAATTTGTAGTTTCGTTTGGACTACAGATGTGCATTAAGAAATAATTATTCCCACAATTGGTACATTCTGTTCCAATCCTATATTACGGGGAAAAAACAGAATGCATGCCTCCCGGTGGCACCAATTTAAAACGTGGTTACCTAATTGAGGCAGGTCGCAGTGGGGGACGTGAACAGATTTGAATGTTAAGTAGCTCTTTAGGCAATCCTGTCTTCGTACAAAATCACACTTTTTGATGTTGTTCAACACATTGGATGTTTTGCTCTGGGCTTGTCCAGGAGGACCGACTGCTGAGAGAATTGAGGACTCTTCTGGAAGTTTTGAGGAACTGTCTCTATGAGAGCGAGGATTGCAAGGTAGCTTGCTTGCCCCAAGGGTTTAACTGCATGTTAATTAGTTTAACACGTAGGCTTTCGCGACCAATGTTATTCATAATCAACGTTTTTGGGTTTAGATCGCGTTATTTATAAATGTGTCGTAACCCTCCACCACCCGACACGGCCAATCAGTAAAAAAGTGTCACGTTGACAAAAGACAAATAGTTCACTGCTTTAGCCCACCGGTGTGTTGAAGCCACAACATTTACAATTTGAGTGCATGTTAATTGCATGTGTAGTTACCTATTCATCGCATGGAGATTGACAGCAAGTTTGCTACATCACAGCCACCAATGCATCGGATGCATTTTAAAACAAATGTGATTGAGATATCTGTTGAGGGTTATGCCTTGTTATGAAAGGCTGTTGTGCAAGGTTATGTTGCTCATAAAAAAAATCTGTAATTGACATGTAAAGTGCAACGCTAAAGGTGACTAGAATTATAAATCCACGGAATATATAGAAAGGCATTTTTTCTTGCAAATGTAGTACAATCTGGATTACATTACAGTGTGTTCTTTAGCTTAAGTATAATTTGGTTAAGGCAATATGAGCCCGCTATGTTTCTGATATCACAGTGAAGTTTGCGAACAGGTTTATACATTTAAGAGAATATGTTCAAATTCCATTCACTGGAATATCAGCAGCAGCTTTTAATGTTTGAAAAACCCTTGGCACACATCCCACTAAATAAACCTACTTCGGTTATTGTTTCAGCTCGTAGACCTAAGACAATTGTGATTTTACTAAATAGCTTGGGTAGCCTTTGGAAGAAGAAGTACTTCTCAGTTAATTAAATGTGTGCTCACAGGGAAGTTTGGCCCCTTACGTGTCTGCTTTTAGCTATACCTATCAACAACAAGGCAACTCCTATGACTAATTGGGAATGGGACGCAAGCGTAGGATTGATCACCTGTCGCTGGCCGCCTTTGGGGAAGGTGTATAGTGTGAAAGGCCGAAACACCCTAGGAACCTAAGGTACACTACTGACGATGCGCTCCCCAAATTTCACCAGGCTCACTGTTCATGAACTCTTGGAAGTGCTTGCACAAAGGATAGTAACATCTCATCCTGTGTTCTTGGAATCAGGCAAGTGGTCAAGTATATTTTCTGAACAGGCTAATGAACGGTAACAGCTTTACAGTAGTGTGTACTCCCCCAAAAAAACAGCGGCACCATTAAAGCGTTGCTTGCTAGGGACATTGCCACCAGCACACAGGTGAGCAGGTGCAGGAAATGTCACTCAGTGAATTGCTCAAATACGAAATGCACTATTATGGGTAGTAAACAGGCCAGATCAGAAATCGGTACCACTAGAAGTGCCAAGCAAGTATTTATTGAGACCAGTTTCTGTATATGTCTATGTGATAACACGCGGTCATGTATGGTTATTGCATCTCAGATGGTACCAACGAGTAAAATATTTGGCGTAGGCAATGTACTAGGATCTACAATGTACATTGGCTGCGATACGTTGAGTGTCCGTGCGTTCACTCGCTGATCATGTTGAGGTTCTCTGTAAATATTTGTTTGCAATACATCGATCAAGCTGTCATATAATGTCATCATGATTCCTTCTGCCAATCCTATCCTGCTGGGTGCAGATTATGCAAGTCTGGTTATGCCTCTGGTTCTAGTAAAGTCTTTTGTAATTGAACATTTGATTGTGTTTTATGTTTTTTGCACAGCTCTGCTTGTGCTCCTGGTCTAGCCACCAGCTTTTTAAAAATATTTATTTTTACTACAGTAATTGCAATATCTAAAGGATGAAAGCATTTATAAAATGCATTTTGGTTTGATCTATACTTTCAACAATTGCTTCTGCTGTGAAGGTTTTTTTTTACAATTCAAAGAAGATAAAGTGTATTCTTTGGGCAAAACAATGGCCTTAGGTCAAACAGTTTAAGAATGAGGCATTATTACATTCTATTTCTATATAAGTAATGGCAGTCATGTAATTATTTACATGAGAAAATACTGTTGATGCAAAACTATTTTGGAACGTAATGTTAATAAAGTATATTGAGTATTTTACTTAATGTACAATTGTGTACTCCAACCTGCTGTCATCTGCCTAAATGTAATCATTTTGATGATTGTCTATCATCAGTACATGCCCTACCTTTATATATTCAAAGGTGTGTTTTCTAGTTGTGTTATCCAACTTTTGTTTTTTACATTTCTCTTCAGCTCGCTGTGCTGCCTTGTTTATTAAGTTTCGCTCTCATTTCCTTTTTTAGGTTATTTCCATTAGTTGTTATAATGAATGTAATTTGGTTAATATATTCTCAACTTTTATTCCTTTGTTTCTCAATTCAATATCCAGACACCACCATGTAATGTTGCTTTGAATAACTTTGGACAAAGAATGTCTCCTTCTTTGACTCATTTTTACTTTTTTTGTTAATTCATTCAATCTCATTGGAGCTGTTCTAGGTTTTTAGTTGCTTTTTTATTGTAAATATCATGTAGTCCTTGGTTTATGACAGATTGGATGACTGCATTACTCTCCACTGAGTGAAATACATTTTATTTGTTTACAGAGGCTAGGCAAAATGTTGATCGATATTAATTTGTCTTTTCCAGTATCTGATTGATAGTGTGTTTGTGGTCAATGCTAGAGAAAAAATGGCCTGTGGATCGTTTGAACGTTTTCTGATAACACTACTCAAACACACATTTAATACTTTCCTCATTTCTAGAAAGTTCCATAGAATGCCATATAATCGAGTTGTGACGAAACATAGTAACTTATACGTGATGCGGAATTATTGTGCGACTTATTGCGCTAAAACATTTTAGTGCGATTGAAGCCACAATGGTTCGTTTTTACCACGACAGCCGACACGATTCATTGTCTGACTTCACTTGGGCCTTCAGGTTGCGGCGTCGGATGAGCGTCTGGCCGCCGTGCTCCTGGCCCTCTGGCCCTACCTCCTCGCAGACGACTCCACTCTGTTGGCTGCCCTCCGCCTCCTCTGCGTCTTTACAACCAGCTGTCGCGCAGGTACGAACCTCCGTGTTAGCGCGACGTATCGAATTGTGAGTTGCTGCCAGATTCTCGTGTGAGTGCACAACAAAATGGTGATACCAGCTGGATCTGTAAATGGGTCTGAATATTGAGGAATTTCAAGATACTCTGTTGGTGCGTATGAATCGGATTGCACGACGTATTAATTTGTTCAAATTTGTATGTGACATACGGCAGGCTGAATACAACATCTTAATAGGGCGAGTGGTCGAGATGTAGATTTGAAAATAATTTCGGAGAACAATCAAAGATTTTTTGCAAAAGCCTGACATTTACGAGAGAACTTAAATTATGGGAGATGGAGGGATAGGTGTAGGGGCTTAATGTACAAGGGATATCCCAAGGATAATGCTTTTTATTGTTCTAAAATTAGTATGGTATCTTCATGTAGTGTTACATCATTTTGGGGACTTTGAAGGAATTGAAATTCCATATATGGCAAATTCATTTGAATGGTAGAAGTCCTCAGACAGTCCTCAGACAGTGCCAGACTATACATGAGCCTAAGTACATCACGGACCATTGCACAGTTCAGGTAGAATGTGCTTGCCTCATCCATCAAATTTTCATCTGTTTGATCCTTGGAATGATGTTGCCTGCCTGGGCAGCATTTTGAAAGTGACACTGCTTACAGGATGCTTTTTTTTTAATGATTAAGTGACAGCCCAATACTTGCACAATCTGCAATATCTGCTTTGGTTCCTTGTTAGCACAAGTGCACAGTAAAAGATTCAGGATATGTTGAAAAGTAGCAATTATGTATGACCTTTCCATGGTAAAAATCTAAATCACTGAGTACAATTATATTGAAGGAAAAAAGTAGGAATACTTTTTGGATCATCCTTTATACCATTTTTATTACCTCTAGTTGCATAGATAAAGGTGGTATTAGTTATCATTTTCAAGTAATTATTATCTTTGAAATGGTAGACTACTGCATAGAAGCATTGGCTTACCTTACTGCATTAAGTGTCCCTCCAAAATTTCCAGCCTTTGGAATCTACTTTTCTCAAACTAACTTGGTGGCATATGCTCTAACCACCAGCTATTCAGCTTCCCAAAATGGAGAAAATAACCAATCTCGGCTCTTTCAGTAACAATAACTTGAATTAATTCACTGATTCAGTTACATTATAGGACAAGGTGAGTTCATGGTTCCTTTGCCTCAGGCTGTTTTGTAATGCCAAGCTTTGAAATAGGGTTGTGTATCCTTATAATTGGCTACATGTCACCAGCTATTCCACTTGCACATACACGCATAGGCTTATTGCCTCTTGCAATATGGTTTAGTGCGTTCATAGTCAAACAATTAAAGCCACATTCATTTACAATTACACAGTCTCAATTGTAGTAGAACACAAAGCACTTCTCATAGAGGAGTGAACTCCTTTGGCACGTTTCTGTGATTTTATTATTTGTTTCATCGAGAAGGTAAAGAACAGATGTCCCATTTGCCAATGTATGTTCAAGATTTCACATTTCAAGATTAAACCACAGTGTCCCACAGTCAATTGAAAGACTTGCAAAAAGCACTGTAATGTTTCGCCCCCTACTTAATAGAGTGCTGTTCAAATGATTGCATCGCTGCCTTGCAGAGTGTTTAGCTAATAGAGTGCACTATACAAATATATTGAATTTTTTTCACACTATGTACATTTGCTTAGAGCATACATTGGCCTGGTAATTTGATGGTCTCAAAGGTTTGTTTCAGTTTTTTCATGAAAATTCTTTAGTTTTTGTAGTGTAAGTCTAAAACATGTTTTTGTTATTGTCAACATAACAATGGGCAGAATAGGAAGTTTTTGTGAAAGTTGTGTTTTATATGAGTATTTTTTTTATATTCCAGTAAGTAATACATCGTATCTCTTATATAGAATACTAATATTTATTCTAAAGTTGCAAAGTGATCCTGATATTAAGTCAGCGCAAAAATATGATGCACATACCACCGGTTATTTTTTATGTGGTAATTATAAACATTTATTTTACTCCATTGCATAATTCGTACGTGAAGATTGCTCAAAAATGAGCCAAACATTGTTATGGGATCCCAAAGTAATGCTTATGATGATGGCTTAGTGTGACTTGGTGTATTATACTCCATTATTTTTATTGCCCCTATTATATGAACACATTGTTGTTATTCTCACATTGTACATGAGCATTCTAATATTCCTTTGAAAGTTCTTACAATGCATATCATCTAGTTTGCATACAATAAAACCAGATTGTATCTTCATAGTATCTCAGTCCCAACCGCATGCACACAAATCACGGCGGATGCAGACACTTAATTCGCAAATGGAACATTACAAAAATCTCCAGTGTGCAACTGCGGTGCCCAGAACAGAACCACGGAGTGTTTAACGACTCCATGCACCATTCACAACTACAAAGGAAGCATCACAGCGATACACTCCGCACATCCGATTAGCACGGTTGGCTATGTACGGAGAAAAAGAAGTTCTACATACATACATGCATACATACGCCACTACTCCTGATACAATAATCTGGCTCAACCATTTTAACGTGATATTGTCGTTGTTTTGCTCTTCATCAACATCAGCCATACGAAGAAGAAGTTCTGCCTAATGAAGATCTCCCCAGGCTAATTCTTATCCATACCGTCCCGTGATGTCACAATTCATTTTCATGATATGATACTGTATTATGTTGTGTCTCCTGCCTATACCAGCGTGTCTGTCCTGCTGCATTGGAGGCACTGGCACCTGTGCTACCGCAGGGGGTGGCTCCTCCTTGGTGCATGCGGTGATTCGCTTGTGCTCGGTGCGTGCGGGAGACTCCTCTGCCGTCGAGCGTCACGCCTTCACGTTGCTGTCCAACCTCCTGCTCTCGCACGAGGGCAAGGGGGTCCTGCAAAAGGTGTGAGGGTGTTTTAGTTGAATAAATGTGTTTAAAGTCGACTTTGTAATCGGTTAGTGATGACATGGTCGAATTTGGTTGGCGGCCTCTGGATATTGCAAACTCAAAGGTCGATCTCCTGGCATGGTATAGTTGGAACAACGGGGCAGGTTTTTTCAATCCCTCCGGTCTCTGTCCACCCAGTTGTATAAATCGGTACAACACAGTTGATCGGCAAGTTATTTGTAGTGAGGTAAAGAGTGGGTACTGTTACCTCTTCGAAGATGCCTGGACAGGGTGGAAAGGAAGCTCACTACACTCTTGAGGGGGCCTCAAGAGTACCCCAATTGGAGGCTTTTCCGCCAGCAGTGTCATGAACAAGAAATTTCAGTGCTGCGTCTTTATTGTAGTAAGATTTGTGCTCAATTGTAACAGTTCTCAAACTCCAGTGCTTGTGCCTCCTCAGATTCTTCATTTAATATTTAACCAAACAATATAATTGCACAATCAATATTATATGTTTTTGAAGCTTTCGTGACTGCAGAAATGACTGTACTCATTGGTTTTTTCGGTAAAGTCACGTATGTATAAATGAAATTAAATTTAACTAAATAAAATGTAATTAAAAATTTTATTTTATTTTATTGTAATTTTGTTTCAATTGTAATTTAATTTAGTAAAATTTTATTTTATTTCTACATACGTGACTTTACCGAAAAACCAATGAGTACAATATTATATGTTCTCATTGAATTGGGGTGCATCAGTAAAAATGAAAACATCCTTGCACTTGGTTTAGGCGATATATTTAAGGACTGAAGTCTGTAACTGCTGCTTTAATTATTTTAGAATTTTGAGCTTTTTTTACTTTAATTCCAGGTTATGTTCATTTTTACATTAGGCGTAGTCAGTGAATGTAAAACAGACATTTCTTGCATGCAGTTTTTTGCAACAAGTAAAAATGGACAACAACTTGAGCTGGTTAGTGACCGAGCTGAAATGAAACACCCAATTGTTATAAGTGGTTTATGAGAAAACTTAAAGAGTTTATATTTGCCACCTGTACATTTGAGCAACAGCCTGGATGTTAGAGCAGCACAGGTGGGGCACATAAATTAGGGAGAGAGTGATTTCTCAGAGGAGTGTTTACTTTTCATTCCCTTGTGGATTTGCCACTGGCTCTATTCATCAGTGCAATCTCTGCTCAGCCTGCTCACTGAGCATTACACAGATGTGTGATTTATGGCTCCACACACTTGATGGTTTTGCAGTCCCTTGCTTAGCATAAATAATTAAAATTTCCAATCCACAAGGAATCCAGCAACCTCTCTGCCTCTGGGCAGATAAAGTGTGAATGAGTGCCACTTCGTTTCAGTGATAGCAACATGCCGTTCATGCCCGTGGTTTTCTGCTGCAGCCTTTGTTGTGACAAAAGAGGGGTTAAAGAGTACTGAGATTTGCATTACCGGTAATGGCTTCTGTTCCGTCTGGCAGTGAGCCCTAATCTCAGGATGAAATAGAAGTTTCATTGAGAGAAAAAAAATATTTAATTGATGCCAATCATCCTTAGCAGTAATATACCAATAGTCTCGAAGAGGTTTAATTCAATCATTAAAATTATACCCCTCTACAAATGGTATCCCCACAGACACCCGCAAGAATACTGCACCTGTCATGAGTCATTTTACCTGACATATGTCATTTACGTTACGTCACCTTTTGTCGCTCATATTTAATATGCTTTGACTGTCATGAACGAATAGCTGCAATCCAACAGAGAAAAATATATGTAATCTCAGATTGACATCTTTGAAAGAAAGACTCAGATGGGTGACTACATACCCGAACGGGGATAAAAATCATATCACAAGATTACCATAAAAGGAATTAAGGTTAATTAATTAAAGGCTTATAGCCCGAAGTCACCAATTCGATGCTCGAATAAGCAATTTATGATATTTAAAACTGTTATTACTGCACATCACTCAAAAATGGAACTGAGCAAACAATATTAATGCAGGACATTCCTGAAATGGTCTTGAGAATTAGGATTTCCTAGAAATAACGAATGGCATTATTAATGTACCAAATGAAGGCATGTTACTTGTTTGTGGTAAGTATTTAAACCATATGGAAAAGTAGTATATTTTGTAAATGGTATAATTAGCGAATGTGCAGGGAAGGTGATGTTTATATCTAAAGCAAGCGGGAACACAGGGGCTCCGAGTAAGAATGACTTGTACACTTCTAGAAATCGTGTGACCTAAGACTTGTTCGAACTCCAATTCCATGCAGGAATTATTCAAATGGAAATTATCTAAGTTTGGAGAAAATGTAAAGCTGATCTGGATCACTCTTATATTGACTGTTAAATAAAAAAATGTGAACCAGTATTAAAACAAGATAATGATGGGCCTTAACATCCATTGCATTAATAATAATCTACTTACCTCGACCACAGACCAGTTGAAGCGCACTGAGCGATGATGTCATGGGGGCCCATGTTGCATGGGAACTTTACGGTGGCCAAGTTGGAAGGGGGTTGTCTTCCAGTCGCTGATTGGCTGGGTGTAGTGGGAATCATGATGTAATTCCCAGCAACCACTGTTGTGAACCCAGCGTTGTGATTTCGCAAGGATGAATACTTGATGGCTTGACCTACGCCATTTTGGATCTTACGACATTCGTTGCCTGTCACATTTTACGTGCACTCAGGCCCCACTTACGTGGATAGCTCACCAAATATGAAATGAAACTCAGTTTCACTCTGCTTTTTTGTTTGTGTGTTCTCTGACCGCTCAACCAAATTGGCATGACAGAGCAACTTCCTGCAGCAGTTTGCGAGTTTGCACCCTCCTAAGCTGAGCCGAGCTTCCAGCCCACTCGTGCTGCACTGGCTGGGCCTACTGGTCAATCTCACCACATCGGAGGATGGGCAGCAGATGGTGCTGCGCCTGGGCGGTAGCCTGGAGCTGCTGCTGGAGATGGCAGGGCACCAGCAGGCCGCCTGCCACCGTGCCGCCACTCTCGTTCTGCACAACCTGTGCTTCAGCACAGCCAACAAGGCCATCATCCTGGCCAACGGTGCGTCCACCTGTTTTCAGCTGCTGCTTTGTCATAATAAACTGCCAAAAGTTTACAGCGTGGGAGGATACAATGTACGTCGGACAAATAAAAAAACACGTTATCTATATTCATATTCTTAGGTTTTTTCGGTAAAGTCATGTAGGTAAAAAATCAAAATTAATAAAAGTAAAATAAAAATAAAATAAAAAATCACGACGTTTCGGAGGCAACACAAGCTTCCGTCTTCAGGTGGAACCGTCACAGCATGCTTGCTGTAATCAAGTAACCTTTCCAACTGTCGTGCTATTAATGCTCACTTATTAAAATTTATAAAATGAATGAAAGAGTGGTGTAGCAAAGATTGCACTTGACCAACCTTTGTCCTCATCATTGTACACGTTGATACCTTCACCCGTCAAACCGAAGGGAGGTAGGTCCAAGTTTGGATATGAATTGGCATGGGTACTATGGATGGCCACGAAGCCAACCCAGTTATCTGGGATCATTGTGAAATCTGCTAACTTATCCACCGCTCCTACCATGTTTTTTAATGCTTTTTGTGTTTAGTTTGTTGCCCTTCCCCCACACCTACGATTAGCACGGTTGGCTTGCATACGGTGCAAAAGAAGTTCAACGTGTGTAGGTTTCTAACACTTAAAAATTGTGGTTACCACAGAAAAAGCTGTCGCCTTCCTGGCCAGATGTCTGGAGAATGAGACCCTCGAGATGAGGTCCCTTGGGTCCAGCGCGCTGTGGGCACTGCTCTACAACTCACAGAAGGTCTATCCGTCCATATTCACATTGTCAACACGCGTACAAGATTACACCTAACCTTATTGAAAAAAAAAACATCGTTTAGAATTTGTTTTGATTTTGATTGTGTGCTCTCTACCACTGCAGGCTAAAGTAAGCTTGAAAAATCCATCGATCAAGAGAAAAGTTGATGATGCATTAAAGGCACATCGAAAAGGTAAACACTATACATTAGAGTGAGTGGCTTCAGAATTGACTGCAAAATTACTTTTCGATTTAAAGCTTTCGTGACTGCAGCGATTCATATTCTTGGTTCTTTCGGTAAAGTCACGTAGAAGGGAAATAATAAAACAATACTAAAAGTTTTGTTACAATTATTATTTTATTATTATTTCCCTTCTACGTGATTTTACCGAAAGAACCAATAATATGCAAAGTTACTGTTTTTCAACTTGTATGTGTTGTGAGTATATATGTGTACTGTCTTTCAACCCATTAAGTGTGACTTTTATCTGTGCAGGTGTGAGAGCAGAGGATTTCAAGCTGTACACATATTGCCTCAAGAGCCTGGAGAATGTGTCTACCTTACTGAACACCTAGGCAGCGTAACTGTTCATGGATATTTTAAACAGTGTAGTATGCTTTGCTTGAATCAAATCCTGTGTCTCAAACTTAAAATAATGTGTATTTATATAAACGGTGTTTATATTTAAAATGATCAACTGCAAGTGTGATTGATTTTATTTGACAAACTATGTAGTTAATATGCGAATCATGATTATTAAACTGTGCTATTGAATCTTAATTATGGAGCTTTGAACGTCATTGCCACTTGACTATTTTGTTGATGCAGATCCAAGGAGGGATGCGACTAAATCAAGGGGGTGTCTTCATGGCTGCTGTCAATTTCTGGTGCCATTGTCAAATTATTGTGTAATATTATACCTGCATCATCACATCCTGGTTATACAAGTACCACAAACAACCAATGACACACAAGGCCGAATATATTTTCTTTGGCCTTGTGTGTGTACCGAGCTGGGTCTTGGTTCAATGTATGCTCCAAGGCAACAAGAGACATTTAATATCACCAGTAAAGCAATCATTTATAAATCACATCTGTAAATTAATATTTATTATCAACTCCACAGTTAAACAATGAAATTGAATACATAGTGACTGAAGCAGTAGACAACACGTCATAAAAGATCGGATGTTTTTAAAACAATTACAAGTGGACACTAATGTACGTGATATTGACAAAGGTTATCCTACCTTGGCCAACATTATAAGACCATGCATTACTCTATGCTATCTTCTGTTGACTACAACACATTTCGGCAGTGTGATCATTGAGAAATCATATTCTTCGTTATGTACAAAATTAAACCACATCTCTACAACTCTAGGAACAAAAGGCAAATGTAAAATATCTACCTGGACACATCAGTTGTTTTTAGACATCACAGCTGCGCTCGTTGAAAGTGGTTTGCAGAAGAAGAAAAAAAGAGACTCATTTCAAAGTGGTATGAGCTTACTAGAGTAGAAATTTAACCGTGAGTAAAATATTATATATTTTTTTATTAATGAGTGGAAATTAATGCTATCATTCCACAAGTCAAATAATGGCCTGCTGGTTTACTTCCAGTAACAACACAATTGCACGAACACCGAAAACGAAGCTTGCTCTTTTCTCAAACTGGGCTGCATCCAAATGCATTGCCATGGGAATCCTCACAAGCCAAACTGATCCCAAGTGAGCTCAGCACACTTACCCCCCAGGAACAGTTAGTAAACCGAACCACATACTTTTGTTAGGGCTGACCTCTTGACTCCAGTCATGATTTGACAACACAAGCAAAAACGTACTCTCCGTGACATCATCCGCTAACACAGCGGAAATTACAAATGATCTCAAGTGGTCTTATGCTTGCCTACATTTGGCGTTAATACAACATTTCATTTCAAACATCTATTCCTGACCTCCACACTCCTTGACCACACAGGCTGTGGTTGGGGGAGGGACTCAGCCCCCATGGGTGAGCAGAAATGTTTTCCAGTGGTTGTAGAAACGATGCATTTAGCTCCATTATATTGACAGTGCAGTGCTTGTGCACGATGGTTCTCGAGTCTGGAATTTATAGTGATGGTTGGTGGCCATCAAGGAGTGTGTCTCCAAATGACATGTTGGTTTTCTGCACCGCACATTACTTATTTAATGAGAGAGGTCTTGCAATCGACTATCTTTTGCTAAATTATTTTAGGTTTCACTGTGTAGTAACAATTGGTTATGCAATTTTTAACCATAACATCCCTACATTAAATTATTCAATTGCACTGTTAAAGCCAGTGCCACTGGGAATATTCTACTGGATATACGGTGGTAAGTAGCTTGCACGATGCCAAGCTGCCTTTTTTCTATCAATCACTAAAAATAGCACCAGGTACTGGCTTAGCCTGACACATCGCTGATTGCAGAGCACAACCAAATCGTCTGTACATTTCGACCTACTGGCTGGAATCCAACCCAGGATAATCATGGACCAGCTGCAGTGCTGACATGCTTATTTTGGCCTCCCATAAGCACATAAACACATGAAAAGTAGGCTGATGTCCCACCGCAATTTTTAATGTTTCTGCGGTTACTGGCAAAAAACTGATCGCATTACAACGAAGGGCCCTTGCAATCTAAAGGAAAAGACCAATTTGAATACGTATGGTGGACTATGGTATTTGAGATGTGACTGCCAGTGCAAGAAAAACATCAGTCTTGGTAGCCACTCGTGTGCCTTAGGCTTTACTAACTAGCCACATATTGCCCTTAACTTGTCTCAGTCAAATCGTATCTTAAATGGCACAGCCTGTTATCAATTAATCCAACCCCTTTTGGTACAATATCCCGCAGAGACACTTTGCAATATTTGACAAAACTCCCCTAGTTTTATGAACCACAGGCTAACATACTGATGCTACGTTTAGTATGTTTGGTTTTCCCACAAAAAAGCCACCAAAGTAACAACAGTGCCAGTAATTCTACTTCTGTATTGTGAAAACTATCACCATCCATTTGAGGCATTCCGAATTTAACTGCGAGACATCCAAATATCTTAGCGTTAAATCAAACCGCCGCAGTGCAGAATGGCAATTGTAGTTTCAAACACGTTGGAAATCCACGTGCATTGTTCAAACAAAAGCCTCCGTTGAACAAGGTGCTCAATTATACCACTGAACTATTTACTCCCTCCACAAACCAAAAAAAAATGTGCCAACAGCACAGCCCAAGGCTTCTGCGCAAAGTGCACATCCGGAACTTTTCAAAATGTTTCAAGCCCACGCCTTTGACTTGCTTGATCGCGGACGATACTTCAGTTGGCCTGCTTAACCCGTTGTCGTATTATCTATCCACCCGACACATCCGTATTACGCGTACCTGTCATCTCGAGCCTTTGTCTCGTCTGCCTGTTTTGTTATCGCGCCAACTACGAATAACTCTCATCACGCCTACGCGTGGAACATACAACTGCATCTGTCCATATGACCATATATTTGGACGTTTCGGGAAAATAATGACCGCATGGGGCATAATTTATAGCCTCTATTGTGTTTGAATGTCATTTTCAAGTGAGTAGGATTCAACTTGAATTCGTTTTAGTGATGGGACAATTTTCCTATTTTAATTCACTCGTGCTAATGTTAAAATAAGCGTGAAAGTTTTAACATTCATAACACTGATAAGAGGGTTTTCCCCTTTTTTCTGGCAACAAACAGTTGTGTTAAGATGTTAAAACACCAAACTGAAACCTTTTACAAGGAATCATGTCTGCATTAACCACAATACTTGTGGTCAGAATGCAAACAAAAATATATTCTGATAGTATATGCATTGTCTTTGAAACTGATTGGTCCACACGAGGAGACAGCTTTTTTTTAGCCTCGTCTCAAAACGGCGCTAGACCAGAGGACGCCAAAAGACGTACAGCCCAAAAACAATGCACTATCAGAGTAATGAGAGCTCGGGGTGAGCAGCTACATCATGATATTTTGGTACTGGCAAAGGAGGTTCCATGATTTAAAACACTGTCATCACATCTCAAAATTGCAACACTTTTTTGTTTGTTTCCACTAACATGGTATAACAGACCTAAGCCAAGGTTTTAGATGAGTAGGAATAGCGCTCCACACACAAAACAATCTATTTCCAAGGTTCGCTTAACATCACCCACCAATTGGCCGTCAAGTTACGCCTCATTTTAGCTCGTTTCCGTGAACGCAACTGCGTGTGGCAATGTCGTCAATTATGCCAAGGCTCTCTCGCTCTCAGATGACATTTCAGTGCCACATGTGTCCTCCCGTGGTGGTGGTGGTTGTGGCTGCGGTAGACGTCATTCTGCCCCGGCTCTCGGTCGCAAAGTCCTGGAACGATCCTGCATGTCGTATCCTCAGCGATGAGTCTCCTGCAGCGGGAGGAGAGGCACAAAAAGTCCCTTAATGTGTACAATACGTGCATATAGGGTGGTGTGGATCGGAGAACGGGTTCAGTTGTGGTGGCCTTTTTAGCAATCGTTACCATCGCCACCAAGTCTCATCATTATTGAGTTGGTAGTTCGCCATCACGCCGTGATATGTCCAGTTACGATGTGGCCTGCATGTTATGATGGCTTTTTAAGCGAGACAAAATGCATTACATATATATATAGAACTTTGGATTACGGAGATGGAGCAATTAGATCAGCCCATATGCAAGCCTGAGATACTGTTACATCACGAGCCCATAAGGGACTGCAACAATATTCTGGAGCCCATCGCTCAGCAGAGAATAGAGAGTTACATGATGGTCATGTACCATGCTACAATAGCTTTGCATTATTCTCTTAAATGTGTTTATGTATTTGTTCTAAGTGCTGACGTAGAAGTGTGTAGGATGTAAGTCAAAATAGAGGTTTTAATAATATATATTTTACATTTCACCATTTGATGTATTGTACCGTATTACATCTTCAATCCGGCAGGGGGTAAATTAAATTACTTTTCAATTAGCAACGTTTGTCAGCTCGGCTGCAACCGTGGAGTTGAGGATGGAGTCAATAATAGATTTCGTGTAAATTGCATGGAAAACCCACACTCAATTGCACTGAAAGATAAGTCGTTTAGGCTTAGGTGTATATTTAAAAGACAAAGGCTTAGAAACGATGCTTCATCATGTTCAGTCTGGCAAATTGGAATGTGTTCCATGATTTTGCTCGTCCACAGCTTCGTAGGCAATCAGCTTTACACATCTAACAATCTTACAGACGGATATATGATGGAGACATTGCGAATCTAATTTCTCTATATTCTCCACAACGATACTAATGCATATTTTGACTCAACTATTTTACACATTTGCGTCGAACAAGAAATCCTTAGCTTAAAGAGAAAGTATAAAGTGTGGCGATTCACCAGCGATTGATTCAAGACGGCCTGACTCTGCTGATCAGACGCTGTTATGTCTAAACCGGTCCCGCTTTCGCTTGTCCTGAAATAACGCTGCTGACATTATGGGTTGTACAAATAAAAAAAAATCATGTCAAGATACATATATATGAAGGAGACATTGTATACTTATCTATTTAATTGCATATAGGGGGCATCATGGCCAAGAGTTGGCAAAACGAGACTCCCCTTATTGCTAATGAGATGTGATTATCATTAAAGAGTGTATCTATGCAATGCTGACATTGGTTTGCCGCCCAATGCTTTTCCAGTTTCATAATTAAAATACAGCCAAAAGAGTTTCAAAGACTTCAAAAATATCAGCTTCATTGGCACGCCAAACGAATTTTAAATTGCTGTGGTGAGGCGCCTTTGAAGTGTGACCACACATTTCTCCACGCAGTTCTGCAAGGGTTGCATCCACGAAAGCACGTGCATTAAACTGCTTACTCTTCATAGCCTGCGCACCATCGATTGGTGTGAAGCAGATATTGCACATATCCTGGGTGGACATGATCAGGAATGTCAATGGACAAATTGGCCTTTAATCAAGTCAATTTAAGAGACCCCTATTGTGTCTCCATATAAAAAATGAAATTTTTTTTTACCATCAGCCTAAAGGCTTTCCAGACCGACCCTCTGCCAACAACGCATAATGAGTCTGGTGTACATTAATCACATCGATCATCCACAGAATGTTGCCTGAGCTGGCTGGGCCACGCATAGGGCTGCATGACATTGGGGAGAAATGTGCAGCATTATTTAACGTGAGTCGCCAAAAAAAAGGGGCAATACAGGCCAAAACGACCGCTCATGAACTGCAAGCAAACCCTGCAGAAGGTATTCTGTGGTAAGAGCTCTGTATTGAACGAGAAAACCCCATCGTGATGAGTAATAATTAATGGCATTTGTAAGCAGAACTCTGTTCTGTGTTTCCACGTAACTACAATATTTTGGTTCACCAGCCTGGTGGCTAAGATGGCACGTTCTTCTAATAACCAAACAAGCTTATGTTTAACAAACCTGATTGCTGATGAGACTTAGAACGTCAGAAATTTGTCCAGGGCTCTCTTGCTAAAATAAAAAGCAGCTAGATAATATTTGTCTGATAGCTGTTAAGCCCGATGGTCTTGAACGTCGATACATATAGCCACAAAAACGCATCGAGAAACGAGCTTTACAAGAACTAAGCCGTAATCATAAGCAGTATGCCCACGCGTACATCCTTTGCCTATCATAACATGAAAAGACATCAATGGATCGTTATAAAATGATTGGTTACACTGAGCAGAAGGCAAACACAATGCCTTTACAGGAAAGTAATTACCTGCTGCAAAACCATCGAGCTGACAAAGACCCCCAGCACAAATGCAAATATGCGCTGCATTGTACAATATCTGAAAATGTGCCAATGTGCATGTGGGTCTGGCAACCCATTACACAGATCACAGTATAATAAATATGAAATAAGCATTCTCTGAACTAATGGAATTTGTTGCAACCAACTGCGTGTGACTTGCAGATGAGTGGTTACAACAATCACGGCACTGGTCCAAGTGATGTTGGTGTACACACTTAAGAGGTGCAAGTGGAGAATATTGACCCAACTGAAGACCTGTCACTTTGCAAGACGGATAGATGATTATTGCTTCCTTTCGGTGAACATCCCGACATCACCCTGTCCTCGTTACTGTGCGCACTTTACACGATAATTTATATCTGCAAAATAAGCCGAGGGACAGAACGTGGCCGCGAGGGCTTAACAACTCGGAGATAAGAGTGATGAAATAGAGTTCGTACGAGTGCAGATGCTGGATGGATTGCTGCGGATTTGGGGCGTCTTCATCCAGCAGTGGATTGATCATGGCGGCTGTCATCATGACGATGATGATTACACAACATCAGTATCCCCCCCCCCCCAATTAAGGTATGCACAGGAGAGGCGTGAAAGATTAAAAAGCTTCGTTAAACTGGTTATCCCCACCCGCCCGCTACTGATCAAACGTGTTCCACAAGCGACCGTTTTATATTTAATTCACAAGGCGCGTCCGTGTGTGTGAGTGATCCCTCCCAAGCATCTCGCGTTGGAAATGGGCAAAGCGCTAATTAAACCGCCCGCTATTACGCCAACCAAGGACGTAAATCAACGCGAAAGCAGAAGGGGCGCGTTTGCGTCTAAACACGGGGCGTGCTGCGAGCCAACAACGGGACGTTATTGGAGATGTCCTCGGCTCTCGCGCCATCTCATTCGCACGTTTTTCATGTACGTTGAGATTTTTTGCCGGCGTGATGTAATTATTTTTTGGCGGACACTGGACGTGCAATCCAGGTCCGCCGGTCCGTTTCGATCTCCTGGAAGTGGCGGTTGAAATAATGAGAAGCTTTCTTAAATTCTTAAATCCCGCCGATTTTGATTCTCGCTAACGACCAATAAAAGTAATAAAGCAATAGCCTCAAGCACACTAAAGCCCTCTGTTTGGTTTAGATACGTGGAGGCCCAACATTGGTGGTCTAGCCAACACGGTAGAGATACACTTAATGCATTTCTAAATCATCTCAAGCAGCAAAACCCGTCCATCCAGCTCACCATGGAAGTGAGAACTCTCCCATTTCTGAATATTAGGCTCGGACACGGCCGAAACGATAAAATAACAGAGTGTTTACTGAAAAAAAACGCACACTGACACCAACATATTTAGCGATCAAAACCAAAACCCTCGTGGATAATATTGGTCGCGAAAGCCGACGTGTTAAACAGAACGGTAATAACATATCTGAATCAATTCTAGGCCTCCCCTAGGTCGACTCAGGATTTAATGAACTCGGAATTAAACGAACGCCTGGTGCGACTAACTAAACATCAACACTCGGGAGACAACGATGGCTGGGGGCTTGGTGCTGGCCACCAACACATTTCGTGTTATGTGTTCGCCTTAATAGGTGAACAAACGCGCCAATTTGGTAATTTTGTTAATTGCTTGCCAACACACCGGTGCGTCGAAAATTGTCGTGTTTTGTTCACGTGACAGCTTTATTAATTGGCTGCGTCGGGTGGAGGAGGACAATAATTACAACTAGCTTCATCAGGCGACAGCCGGATTTGTGGAGAAGTCCACCTGTTTTGGCCAGCAGTAGCTATGTTCTTTGGGTCTTTCGATAAAGTCACGGAGATAGAGTTGCTAGTTTTGTTGGAACGCGTGTTCTGCTACTGCTGACAGTTGTATTTGGGATAATTTAATATTTCTCTGATGTTCTTTTTGTTTCGTGCTGATCATTCGTCCTGTTTGCCCAACATAACATTTACCGCACGTGCAGTTAATCCTGAACACACCTTCTGTTGACAGCTTCGGTAATACATCTTTTGTACCAGATATTAATTTCTGGATTTTATGTACCGTGCCAAATGTGACTCGGATGTTTTGTTTTTCCAAACATCTGGCTAGTTTAACAGTTACTCCCCCAATGTACGGTATTTCGATCGGTTTTAATTACTTGGGAAGCTTCAATGCTCGTGTTATTTGATTTGGTTTTGGCATGCAATGCCCTGTTGATTTGGACATCATTGTAGCCGTTCAATTGCAGCGTTTATTTAACACGTTGAATTTCACTTCTCAGACTGTCACCATCTGACACTTTCTTAGCTCGATGAATGAGCGTCTTGATAAGAGCAGATTTCTGTGCGGGGTGATGGTGTGACTGCATTCCGATAGGCATCAGTTTGCGTTTTATTTCGATAAACACTGTGTCATTTTACCATTTCGACCCCTATGTGTCCAGTTTGTGCGGGGCTTTGTTCATCCCCCGTGCCCCCCCCCCCCCCGCAAAACTCCGCCCCATGGAAAAAGAGCTTTATAGCTCATCGGATTCCTCCAGTATAAATAAATATTCCGATTCTGAAAAGTGCGACGTTTCGTGCAATGGCCTTTCATGATAGCACAATATTCCCGTATCACACTTCGACTTTCGCGACCAATATCATCCGTAACACATTTCGTGGGTTAGATCGCGTCAATATAAAAGTGTCGTTAAACCCGCCAACACCCGACACAGCCAATTTGTAAGCTGTCACGTAAACAGAACATGCCAATTAATTACAAGCACAGCACACCGCTGTGTTGCAGAGTAAATCCGCAACAATTTACAATAGTCCCATCATCATCATCATCAGAAGCAGCAGCAGATGTTGGCGTGCTTTCGGAGTCACCGTATTTGCTGTGCTGGCCGGAGGAGCCGTACGGCGTGATGCCGAAGCCGCCGCCACCACCGCCGCTGCTGCTGCTGCTCAGCTCACATAGGTCGGACGAGCTTCGCTGCCTCGTGATGTGCTGCCAGTAGCCGCCACGTGGCAGGGCCGTGGCCACCGCGACAGCCGCGCGGCAGGTCAAGAAGTCGCGTCCAGCCGGAGTCAGCAGCTGGGAGAGATCCGGTGGGGGAGAGAGAGAGGGAGGGAGGGAGGGATGGAGAGCCAAGTTTTATGGAGCAGCAGTTGAATTTGCTCCGATAAGAACACCTCGTTGCGGGCACGTGATGAACGGTGGGGTTCAGAAGGTCCACAGGTTGATGGATCAATTGTGGAGTTTTTTTAGTTTACGTGTGTATGTTGAACTTCTTTCGCACCGTACGTACGTAGGGGGCCATCCATTTCGCACGTACGCAAAAAAATCTGTAAAAACTTGACCCCTCCCCTTCCCGAATCCTATAGAACGGCCGATATTTAATCCACGCAGAAACGATCAAGGATTAATAATATGAACGCGTTTAAGCAAACAGATAGTCCGCCGCCGGACTATCTAACTCATTTGAAGGCCAATGTCGACAAATTATTATCGAGGCTATGCGTACATTGTCAGTAGACCCCCCCCCCATACGCAAGCTGCGCGTTTGGGTTAACCCCCCTAGCCAACCGTGCTAGTTTAACTCGTAGGCTTTCGCGACCAATATTCATAATATTGTTTTTTTGGGGGGGTTAGATCGCGTAAATATAAATGTGTCGTGAAAGCCGCCTCCACCACCCGACGAGCGAAACAGAGCGAGGCAGCAGCAGCAGGAGGAGGTTTCCTCCACAACTCTGATGGCTGTCGCCTGTTGGTTGTCATTACTGGCGAAACGTCGTCCTCCAATTGTAAATGTCGTGGTTTCGTCGTAGCTTCTTCATTTAGCCACTGCTTAATTTCAGTTTTAACAGGCGACATCCATTACCCCTTGTTTAATCCTCCTATAAGTTGCATGAAGCCGTTTCGTAGGAGTACAATACAGGGTACAATCTTCTTAGCTCTTTTGGTAAAGTCACGTAGAAGGGAAATAATAAAATAATGAAAATACAACAATAAAATACAATGTTTTATTTTTATTATTTTATTATTTACCTTCCACGTGACTTTTACCGAAAGAGCCAAGAAGATGAATCCCTGGAGTCACGAAAGCTTTAAATCGACCCAGGGTACAATGTTATCTCATAATTATTATGGATAGGCGCACGTTGCAATGTTGTGGTAGTGCCTTAACTATGCAAACGATCCTTGTTCGCGGCGTTCCGGTGAATATCGAGTGAGGAATGAAGCCTCGTTTGTCGTTCACGTATGGGACGTGTGTCCGAGATGAACATTAACAGTCTGGCATCATCCGCTGCTGGGTGGAGACCTCCCCAAATCCGTGTCCTTCTGGGGCAGGGGTCGGCCCCAGAGATGCATGCGGATCTTTAAGGACCGCTGATTCGTGAAGTTGTTTATCAAGGATCACCGTCTCGTATTTGCACGCAATTGCGGCTCTTGAAATATTATTTTTTTATTTCTTAAGAAACTAAATTCTAAAAAAATTGCTCTTCTTGTTTTATTTTGGTTGCTGACTCCTGGTCGTCTAAGAGATCGTTTGACCATATTTCACCTTGCTGGTCAGTCCCGTTTGGTGAAAAGGGATGATAACCAGGACTCGGTTTAGATATTTATCGCAAGTGATGTTAGCAGTCTTGGGAAATAGAATTTCGGTGACCGGGTTCAAAGCACGGCGCACTCAGCGCTGCACCACAGATCCCTGTTTTCTCGTTGTGGTTTCGCCACATTTTAAACCGCACCCCACCGCTTTCAAAAGTCAACGTGCTCGGCGAATACTGCGTCAGTGATGTTGTGTGGGAAGACTGTGCACTTGTTAGCGAGCAAAAACATTGTTGCTATCTTGTACATAGCCTCCACAGATAAGATGACAGTAGCACCTTCATGCAAAGTGAGAACATAACCCAACCATAAGAACATTATTGTACGTTCACAGCACAGTCTAAATTAACATGTTTTTACTTTTCGAGATCGTACTTTGCCGTCTTGTCTCTTATCTGAACATTGCCAATATTAATCTAAGTGTAACTGTGAAACACACAGCGAGAAAGTGTAACACGTCGGCATTCGCGGCGACCAATGTCATCCATAATGCAGCTATTTTTGGGTTAGATCGCGTAAATCTAACACGAAAACGTGTTTCATGAAACGAGAAAAATTGTTTTCGGCTTGAATAAACAATCTTTTTGTAATGTTTTGAGATGTGATTTAAAAAAAAAACATGATTACTGTTGCTATTAACAATACGCGTGAAATCATTCTGTCATGTCACCCTCCACCAATGATGTTCTCAAGTTTTAAAAACCGCTCTTGTTCATGCACAGATGTGTGTCAGGCGCTGTGTGCCACAACATTCTAAACCTTAACGGAAGAAGAACAACCAAAAACAATTTCATTGTATAATTTCGTAGCATAAACTGTCAGAAGCATATTTCTCAACTGCATAATTAAGCTCGAGCAGAGTGCAATATCTGCTAGATGCCCGAGAAATATTGCACACAACCCAGGCTATTTTGCATACACATACTAAACTTTAATTGAATGTGTTATGCGCAATTCAGTTATGCTAATGCGTTTATGCATGTGCTGTGTGTATAAAAATCATGCAAGCAGTGCAAAGTGTAACAATAATTGTAGTGCCGGTTGCTCTAGAACGCACACGTACGGTTGGCAGTTGTTTTCACGATATAGTTTTACAATTTAAGACATTTTCTACAACATTTGTAATGAGAAAGCATTAATTTAGGACTTAATCGTGCCCCGCACCTCCGATTAGCACAGTTGGCTATGTACGGTGTGAAAGAAGTTCAACAAACATACGGCCTAATAGTGCTGATTTGTTAATGTAGTTCGATTCAGTTAAGCATTGCATTTATTTTGCATAAAAAATGTATCACCATACACGATGCTTAAATAACCTTGGAATGTAATTTGTTTATGGAAGGTAGTCATGAATGTATCCAGACTTTATCAAGGGATCTTCTGTTTTGAATTATGAAATACATATTCTTCGGTGTATATCCCAGACCTTGCAAGCATTCAGATGCAAATGCAATAATAATAATCTACACACTTTTGTCAATCTACGACTGGATCAAGGACTCCCCCATGCTGTGGTATCGGTCTTGAATCTCGACTTGAAGCTTTCGTGACTGCAGGAATTCATATTCTTTGGGTAAAGTCGCGTAGATAGGTTCAAAGAAAATAACAAACAGACAAAAACTATGACGTTTCGATCGCAGCGCAAGCGTTCATCATCAGGCTGAATAAACTTTTTTTTTAAGTTTTTTTTTTTAGTTTTTTTTAACAACTTCGTTTAACTCACGGTCGAGAAGTACGTCAATGATGCGGAGCCTGCTCCCACATGGACGCTTACTTAAATTAATTGATTACTTTATTAATTCATCTTCAATGTACAACGTTTGTCTGTGTGGAGTGAGGGTGCTCGTAACTCGTTCACACGAGACGACACGTGGCGCCTGCTTCTTGGGCGAGCCGATTCCACAGTTTAGGGACCCGGGGCGTGTTTTACCTACACAAATATATATAAATAATAAGGCGTCCATACAAAATGTAAATTGCTTTAAAGTAGCTCATTAATTGATTCATTGATGTCGATTTTGATACAGGCATGCATTGTCACCGGATCTGAGTACGTGTGCAAAATGTGGAATTTATTGGACAACGGTAAGTGGACGAAATTTTGACTACAAGATTTGACCATGACAAACATAGGAGTCAAGTTAAGTAAAACCGTTGAAAAAAGAGAGGAAAGCTGCTGAGGCAAACGTCGTAGTTTTTTTGTTATTTTTGTTATTTTCTTTGAACTTATCTACGTGACTTTACCAAAAGACCCAAAGAATATGGTGTCTGTCTTGTTCGACTACACTGGTCAACACACTTTTTCTGGCATAGGGTATTCCAACGGTTTTAAGGTAATTTTGGGGTGCTGATTCCAAATCTGGCATCAGTTTTTGTGTATCACATCAAGTTTATGAGATATAAAATATAGCATTTAAAAAAAACTGCAGAAGAAAAATATTAAATAAATGGGGATATCTACATAAAATTATATTATAAACACACTATCCTAAAAATACAGCACCATATTTTAACACTAAAGCAGTCACTGACTCGCAACAACTTGCAATCATAAGTGACAGAGTTAATTTCGGGTAAAATCAATGAAAATGGGGTATGCCGATAGCGTAAAAATGAGATGTGATAGAGCAAATCTGAGATCAGATTTGGAATCAGCACCCTGAAGTTAGCTGCAAAAGTCCAGTCCAGAAATGTTTGTTGTTGTTGTTGACCAGTGTTATTCTTTGCCATAATCGTCAGTGGATTGGCGAAGGAGAATGGGGGGGGGGGCGTGCAGATGGTAAGACTGGTTCAGATGTCACTCATGTTATCCGGGAATCGAACTTAGATCGTGGGGTTATTGGCGCAATGCGCTAACCACCATGCAACTTCTCAAACCCAAGTGCATTCAGGTGGGTCTATACGTCTCTCTGGGGCCTAATTGCCCAATCCAAAGCATCAATTCTGCTTCCTGGTAATTTTTTTTTGTAAATAGCGATTTAAATTTGCTTTGCCAAAATTAACTTGGGTCAAGCATTGGAGTGGTTATGGTACACCTGGGGTCACAACGTCAGAATCATGGTACAATAAGCACCTTATCTGTGTCTCTGGGAACTGAGCTGTAGGCAGATATGTGAGAAAGAAAATAAATGGCTATGTGAACATCCATAGAGCATTTCAGACCGAGCACAAATAGGCGAATTGACAGGAATAAACGTGGCTAATGTACGTGGGATTAAGAATACATTGGATGGGGGAAAAAAGGGTCAAATTTCTAACAACTCGGCATCAACAGGACAAGGCGAAGAGGAGAGAAAAAATGTCTGGATTATGGACATCTTTAGCGAGTGACAGTTACACCACGTGCAAATATTGTACGGGGTGTGGGTGGTTAATTGGTCAAGATGAATGTGTAACGACTGGATATATGACATGGAGTGGGTGTAAAAAAAAATCCGTCTCCGTGATGAAACCAGCACAAATGTCTCTGACTTAGTGGTAGAAATTTGACCTCCGTGGCTAGAGGATGGTTTCCATAACGACTTAAAGATGCATTGATTGTTGAATAAAATTATTTCTAAGCTCGCAATGCATCGCGTTGAATCATGCATGTCGGGAAGTATGTGATGTAAATGCAAATGCTATGCTAATATTATATTTAGGTTGCCATAGCTGTCCTGGCTGTATCCTGGAGCTCATTGTTGATGATGCTGGGTCCCAGTTGCTTCTACGAGGATATCCTGCTGCAGTTTTTGCCGTCTCCTCTCTCTCAATGTTTTCCAAATTCCTGAGCCTTCCCACGGCCAGCTTTGATATTTTTGTAAAGCGTCTTGAGATTGCATGTGGATGCTCAATCAATGACAATTATTCATAATCATGGTGTTGTTTTTTAGGCTAAGGAAATGGACGTAACTGTACAAACGAGACAAACCAAGAAGCAGGCCGAGTCTTAACCCTTCCCCATTTCCTTCCGATTCCTTTCTGATGACGTACACTAAAATAAAATAACTTTATTGGTATTCTTATTTTTAATATTTTCCTTCTACGTGACTTTACTGAAAGAACCAAGAATATGAATCCCTGCAGTCACGAAAGCTTTAAATCGAAATTTTACTTTATTGGTACCGAGGCTCCCACAAGACCATGCGGGAGAGCGTCTGACACAGTTTGGCTCCAGCTATTATCGAGTGTGGTTCTGTCACTGGTTCTCTGCGTTGAGTACAATGTCTTTCAAAGCAACGGTGCTATTCTTTGGTTCTTTCGGTAAAGTCACGTATAAGGATAAAATAATAAATTAAATAATAGCATACGACGTTTCGATTGCAACACAAGCAATCATCATCAGGTATAAATGAAATAGCAACACAAATCTAACCAGAAAACTATAGACAGGCATATAAGCAGACAGATATCACCAAGATACATAGAGAGAGAGAGAGCAACACATAGGCACACAGAGAGAGAACGTCTCTGTGACGAGGCCTTAAATAGAGAGAGGGGGCGGGGGCGGAGAGAGGGAGGGGGTTAGAGAAAAAATTTGCATGTCAATGGGTAGGACGACGGGTGTTAAAGTACGCAAGCTTGAAAATTAGGAGAACGGGAGAGAGACACATTAAATTAAATAACCTAGCAAAATATCGAAATGAAAGGTAATGCAACACAGAGAGTCGGTCAACACACAACGGTGCTATGCTTCTCGAACCAAAATTAACGCTGGACCGCTTGTGCGTTGTGACCGGGACACCCACCCTGCGACTTGCAGACGTAACTTGAACGGGAAAGGGTTATTAATAACATTGCCGCGCGTCGTCAACGGGGACGCGCGATTCTCCGCGTCCGTGCGTGCGGTGCGACGGAGCCGTGGAGAATTTACCCGAGCGTTCCGCTCCATCTCGAGCAGGGCTCGCTCGTGCTGCTCGGCTATGGCGAGCGTGGCCGTGTGGACCTTCTGGTAAATGGCCTCTCCCTCACGTGTCTGGAACGTGAAGAGGCCTTCGCCTGTGTCGCACATTCTGCACCCGCAACCCCCCCCCCCCCCCCGGAGAGAGAGGACACGATTATAGTGGCAAGAGAAAACGACATAACAACGATTGTCTCAGTCCGTACCAAGGCAGCTGTCTCGCCTAGAAAAAAATGACAACTTGTGATGAGTACAGCTTTCATGGATTAACTACAACAATGGTACAGTAAGAATACTACGTTTAATATTCAAGTGAAACGTATCAGTGTCTCCAAGTTCAAATGAGCATTGGGGAGGCTCAAATACATTGGCAGGCTTCAGTTAGTGAAACACTTCCCGCACACCTAATAAGCGGAACTAGTCTATCCATATGATAAAAATTCTATTAAAATACCACAAAGTAGAAAACATTTTGTTGACCATAAATTAGTTATTATTATTTTGTTGACCCCACTGCGATTTGGGGCTCACAATCCATTCAGTTGCGAGTTGGCACAAATTTTGTTACTTCCATGCCACCCACATTAATGCATTATAAATGTCCCATACATCGTGCCTGTTGTGGCATTTATTCGTAAAATGTAGCCCGATGTTCCCCATGAAGGCCACGGTACACCGGGCCAATTTTCGGGTAATCGTTGGCAGCAATATTCACATTTTGAGCAAGAACAGCAACTTGGCACAGCAATGGCATGGCGTGATGGAGTTCCGTCTCGCCAATGAAAATAGAATTTCTTTGAAAAGTTATGACTTGGTGTGTGGGAAATTGCCATCTCGGTTATTTACGAGGCCTTACCCGCGATCAGATTTGTCCATATTTGGACATTTTGAACAACATAAAATAGCACGGCAACTATTGCCGGCGCCTCTCGGCAGCTAATAGCTCCCCGATTGTCTGTTTTGTGTTTTTTTTATTTCTTCCTGGACGTGTCGCGTGGCGTTCGCCGCGATTTCTGACGTTTCGCTCGATGGGCAGCACAACCCGGGTGACAACCCACCCGCCCGCGCGGCACACAGTCCAAAAGCGCACGCAGGAGGGGCTACACAGCGCCACGGCGGCACACCTCGCGGGGTTAAGCGGCGATTGACCTCGACGCACGCTCGCTGACCTGCCGGACTCGAAGGTGAAGCGCGTTGGATCTCGGCCGTAGCGCCGCAGCGAGCTGAGCGGCCAGGAGACGAGGCGCACGCGCGGATTGTGCACGTCCCACAGGTAGATGTTCTCGTGGGTCACCTGCATGGTGCACTCCCCGAAGATCTCCAGGTATGGAGAGGGCAGCAGATACACGCTGAATCGTTCTGTAAGCCGCAGCACTTTTGTTGGTTTTTTGTTATCATTTTTTTTATAGCATCATCATCATCATCATCATGAATGTTGCAATTTTTTTTATTATTGTTATTTTATACTCAAATATTCTCAGTTCGCCGAGTAGACGGTAACAAACCAACTCAATGTACACTGATATAATGCATGTATACAAATATAACTGTGTGTGTGTATATATACAGACTGTTGGGGCAAGTGCTGTTTGCTGTTAGCGAACACCTATGAAGGCCGGCACGGTACATGAGGGAGTTGGTGGCCATCACCGCGCCTGGCCGCCTTTGTCTCCCGAGTGGCGATGTTTACACACCTCACGAGGTACCGATTTGAGGCTGAGTCGACCTAAGGGAGGCCCAGGACCGATTCAAATAATCGTTACTGGTGTTGGCCGTGAGCGGGAATCGAACTCTGGCCACCAGGTTTCGTAGCGCAGCAAGTTAAACGTTACACTACCGCTATACGGGAGAAATTAGTTTTTTGTGTATACATGTATGTATACATAGATGTATATACACATATAGGTAAAGGTGCAGCCTTGCAATTATTTGCACGCGCCACTTCTCGCTGAAGGCCTCCACTCAAGCGAGTTCTTGAAAGCCGTGTCTCGAGTTTACATTTTATTTATTTTGGCAGATTTTTGCCCACCTGGTCAGACCTCCTTGGAAAAGGCAGGAGGGGTAGAGTACTACATGACCCCTCCACCTGTGACTGTCGATTGACCAACCCATTCACACTTGGGTTGGACGCAGGGCGAGGTGGTGTTGGTGGTGGTGGTGGTGGGGCGGGATTTCATAAACATTAAATTTCGATTTAAAGCTTTCGTGACTGCAGGGATTCATCTTCTTGGTTCTTTCGGTAAAGTAACGTAGAAGGGAAATAATAAAATAATAAAAATACAATAATATCATATAATAGAATCATTATTTTATTATGGTTTATTTTTATTATTTTATTATTTTCCTTCTACGTGACTTTACCGAGAGAACCAAGAAAACGTGACCATTGTTTCATCTGCCACGCCGGGAGATAGAACCAGTGACCACTGACTTGCAACGCGACTGCATCCCCCGTACGCAGTGACATACACACACGCACACGTGCATGAGCGGTAGTATATTACACGGATGTGAGGGCGAAATTGACAGGTGACTTAACGGACGCTGCGAGAGGTGTTTAAAATGGGCGTGAGGTCCAACCGGGGGATACGGGTAAAAGGGGTTTTGTGGTTGATGTGAACTTAAGCCTAAGGCACTGTGAATGAGGGTTTTTTGCACCGCGGCACGGCTTGCCACGTTATTGACTAACCGTTCTGCTCACGCTGGACCCCAGCCGCTAGCAGGTCGGGGTCTCCCAGGCTGATGTCATTGAGTCTGGCTCCTAAGCACTCAACACACAGCACCTTGCACCACTCCTCTGCCTCCAGCTCTGGGTACATACACATACGTATACATAAACAAGGAGGTTGCCCACATACACTTTTCTCTTTGCTATTCATTTTCTTCAACGCAGTGGCTGAGCAGAGGCGCAATGGGCCAAAGCATCAAACGGCCGACATTAAGAGCACGAACAAAGCTGTAATAGATTATTAGAGCTACCACATTTATTGAATTCGGCAAGGTTAGGGGCCATCCATTGAGTGCGTACGCAAAAATCTGTCAAAACTTCTCCCCCCCACCCGAATCCTATAGAACGGCGGATATTTCATCCACGCAGAAACGATCAAGGATTAATAATATTAACGTGTTTAAGCAAACAGATAGTCCACCGCCGGACTATCTAACTCATTTGAAGGCTAATGTAGACAAATTGTTATCGAGGCTTCACCACCCCCCCACGTTTCCTATGCGTATGCACATTGTCAGTAGACCCCCCATACGCAAGCGTACGCGTTTGGGTTAACCCCCCCCCTCCCCCCTCCATGCGTACGCACTAAAAGGATGGCCCCTTATTAAAGAGGTTGAGAAAGAGATGTTACGGAATTCCCAAAGGTCGAGCATTGCGATTGAAGGGGCAGACTGAGAATTGTACGGTGCTAAACGGAGGACCCAAAATGGATGTAGGAATCGATGAGTGACGTTTGCAGAAACAGTCACCATGGTTATTTGTGGTTGGGAATTGAACTTGGATTACCGTTTGCGGTACACTGCGCTATCCGCTGTATGAACACTCTCCACATGGATCGCATAGATGCGTCACCTCGCCTTATAGAATATTGCGTCTGCTTAACTACGTAATGGCTCAATTTTTTGCCTTGTGCTTCAGACTGTTGGTTGGCTTGAAGGCCGGCAGTAGACCATCCAATTAGTGTCGCTGGCTCCTCGCAATTCAGGCTGGTGCTCATTGGTGATCGTTGGACAAGAAGATCCCAGGACATTAATTCACACGAAAAAAAACACAATTTATAAGAATATACTATTCTGTGCCAATATCATACATCAAATCTGAAAGTTGCCAAAAGTTTTTAATAATAATTAAAAAAACCACGATATCGACCAGGTTTTGCTTGAAAAAATTACTGAGAGAGCAAGTGTGTTTTTTGTAAAACCGGCATCAATTAAAGTAATGACATTCTACTGACCTTAACCAAATGGGGGATCACATTTCATCCGGCAAAGTCTGCACAGAACAGTTGTAGGACACCAGTGTGGCTGCACACGTTTAAAGGACCTGAAGCTCACCGGAGTCGCAGGAAAATATTCGTGACATCTCGTCGTGGAATATAATGGCCACCGCATGCTTCTTGGTGTCACGGGGCAATCGGGTTATACTCCTCACATTGCTCAGTTCCGTTATCTGGAAGCGCGCACACACGCGGGGAGCGCACAGCTCCCAAATATGCAAATGCACTTACGTCGTAATGTCTGGGCAAGGGGTCAGGATCGTGTGAGTTTGTAATAAATAATGGGTGCACTTGAGCACAGGCTTTTCTAAACAAATCAAATGCGCAAAGCACGTGATGATGACTGGTATAGTGGTGTTCTATAATTTAAGCACGTGCGGTTGTTTAATTTAATGATGTGAATTTAGTTAAATTAGCAGATGGCTTTGCAATAGATTTGTCAACAACAACAAAAATATTTTAAAGTGATTTTGTCAAGATGACCCATTCACAAAACGCCGTTTGTAACTACGATGTGAAAATAGGTGCATTTTTATACATGCAAGAATGGGGTCAAATAATAAAGATTAACTTGCTTTCACAAATGTGGAAATTAAATGCCATGAGTCGTAGTCTAACAATGGCTATAATGGTAAGATTGCGTATTGTCTCTTGTTAAAAATACGTCTCGTTGTTTAACTGTGCTGTCGCATTACCAGTAACATCTAAATGTGGTTTAATAATAGCATATTAAATAATGAATAGAGCCGTAAAAGAGTATTCAATTGCTGGCTTCTTTGGCACTAAAATAAAGTGGCTTTAATTAAGAGTCTGTCCTCCAGGCACACATTTTTTTTTTAAAAGCTCAAGGCATACGCACATTTTTTTTTGGCGTTAAGAAGATGCGCATATTGGTGAAGCGGGCAGAAAACGGCGCCCATGTAAAACACGGAACGGATTAAATTTTTATTTAAAGCTTTCGTGACTGCAGGGATTCATCTTCTTGGTTCTTTCGGTAAAGTCACGTAGAAGGGAAGTAATAAAATTATAAAAATAAAACATAATTAAATAATAATACAATATTTTATTGGTTCTTTCGGTAAAGTCACGTAGAAGGTAAGTAATAAAATAATAAAAGTAAAACATAATAAAATATTGTATTATTATAAAAATAAAACATAATAAAATATTGTATTATTATTTTATTACGTTTTATTTTTATTCTTTTATTACTTCCCTTCTACGTGATTTTACCGAAAGAACCAAGAAGACGGAACGGATTTTCTCACAGAACACGCGAAGCTGTTGTCTGTGTGTGTGTGTGGTGGTGGTGGGGGTGTGGGGGGGGTCACCTTGTGGTAATTGCTGAAGTACGCCGACCGTTCGTCGCAGAACTTCTCGATGCGGCGAGGGCCCTTGCTCGATGCTTTCCTGAAGACCATCCAGCAGCGCCTGTAGATCTGCGTCGTCAGGGGGTCACGGCGAGACGCGGCGTGAGCGCGAGACGGCAGAGACCGACGGAGCTGCACAAGGGAGGAACCCCTGTCCGTCCCACCACCCGGCGTTGGTGTACGCTGTTTTTTCTGCAATATTTTACTGTCTTTTCTTGGATTTTCTGTTTGCACTTAGTCACATATTCACTTTAAGATGTTTTTTGTTCGCGTTTTTGTTTTTTTGTTTGTTGCGGTTGCACCCGATTCAAGAGCCGAATGGCTCACAGGGGTATACCTAATAAATGAACTTGAACTTGAACCTAGAGGTCGCAATCGGGTACCCGATACCCGTACCCTACCCGATACCCGGCTACCCGTACCCGGCCGGGTACGGGTACCCGTTTACGAGCCTGGTGCGGCCGGGTACGGGTACGGGTAGGCCGTGAGTCACTGGTGAGTCACCGTTTGTCACTCATTTCCCAACGTCTTGTCTCTTCTCACAATTCAAGTTCCTAGAATCAACCCACCCGCGCCTGCAACATGGCTTCATCCCAGAGGTCGCAATCAGGTACCCGATACCCGTACCCGGCTGGGTAGGGTACGGGTACGGCCGGGTATGGGTACCCATTTGCGACCCTGGTGCGGCCAGGTACGGGTAAGGAATCAAAACCCGTTTGCGACCTCTGCCACCACCCTGCCGAGCGATGTTTTTTTCGGTGGGGGGGATTTTGTTGACGAATAAGAAGCGGCAGCAGCAGCAGCAGCTTGTGTTGTATTCAAGAGGATGGAGTGTGTCCGTATGAAACAAGACGTGCACGCCTGTCACACCTCCAGATCTAGCACGGTTGGCTACATGCGGTGCGAAAGAAGTTCGATACATATGCATACATACGCAATCGTGCCCGAATGAAAGCAAAAGAAAAGTGTTAACACGCCTGCGTGTGAAATGTAAATTTGTCCATAAAAAAGATACATAAAAGCTTGGTATTTATTTTAAATTGTATATAACACAGAGGGACCGGGTTTTTGTATACCCACTATCCTAAGATAGAGTAATATCCAGTATATACACACACACACTGTACATGATACATACGGGATGTCCCAGTAGTCCTTGTGTGTGCGTGTGAAATGAAATTGCTCGATGTAATTTCCATCGCACGGAGACATCACCGTTTTTGTGAACAGCAGGGGGGCATTTCAGAAATGTTTATTGTGCAAATTGCCAACTGCCCTGCTCCTGTACACGCTGCACCCATGCATGAAATCACAAACTACCTCATTCCCCTCACTAGCCCCAGTAATGCACGGTAACTGTGCTTACTAAATGGCACGTCCAAACAAACAACAATAATAATAATAGACGCCACGTGGATGTTCCCGTACACATTTATTTCCCACAAAGTAAAAGGTGTCTCGGGGTGTGTGCACCAGTGGCGACCCGTGGCTTGCGGCTTGTGCTATGGATCTGGTGATCCGAGGCAAATTCCCATCCCGTGGCGAACGATTTGGTGAGGTATGGCCAAGCAGCCCTCCGTGGCCAAAAGGTGCGGGGAGGCTTTCATCCAGCAGCAGATTGACAAAGTAAATAATACTGGTAGGAACCTCCTGGTTACACCAGCCCACAGAGGATTATTGTGTCCGTCTGTCGTGCAGGGAGGGGCTGGGTGGGGAGGGAGGGGCTGGATGGGGAGAGGAGGGTGGGGAGGGGCTGGGTGGGGAGGGTGGGCTGGGTGGGAGGGGTGGGGCTGGGTGGGGAGGGGCTGGTCACCCCGTGGTGCCCTTATTAAACTCAACGTTTAACCTACTCACGCCGGCTTGTGCCCGCCCTCACAGTCGGGCATATTTGCGGAATACACCACGTCGCCGTTGACCCTGGCCATTGACCGAGCAACCCAACGTTCCTACCAGCTCCCTCCGCAGGAATGTGTTTATTATGATTTACCTTGTGTAAGAGAAATGCCATAGTGCTAACTTTGAAGTGGTCTTGCTCCATCAGTAGGAAAACACGTGACACATGGATGGTGATGAAGCGAACCATGCATGTTGTACTCATTATACAGGGTGACCCTCCACGAAGACGATAACGTAAACATATGAAATAAAAATCTTGATTTGAAGCTTTCGTGACTGCAGGCAGCAAGGTCACCTTTTAAAACAGTCTGCCTCAGCAGCAGACCATGCTTTCCCACCTGATGACGGACGCTTGTGTTGCGCCCGAAACGTCGTGATTTATTTTATTTTATACCTACGTGACTTTACCGAAAGAACCAAAGAGTATATTAAATAAACACATTTTTTAAAATAAATAAAAAATCCTCCACATGCGTTTCTTCAGTCTGAATACACTTCTGAAATATATTAACGCTCTCCCGTTACACTTTAGTCCAAATATAATCGTCGGTCTGGTTTTCTTACAAGAACACGGGTATTGCATGTGGATAGGATATCAGTAAATAGATCACCTACCGTTGCGTGCAACCTCCAAATGAGAAGTATTTCTAGCGGCACGTTCAGCCGTGTATGCATTTGTCTGCTTGTCGCAAATGATGGACGAGGAATGACTTGCAATCCCCACTCTCTTCCTTCACCTTTATGCAAACTGTTGGAAACTTGTGTTATTGCTTTGTGACTTGCATTTGACAGTGAGATAGGCGGTGGTCAAGCCGTATTTTTTTTGTGTATAACTGGTCAATACACTGGCTGTTCCTGGTTCTTTCGGTAAAGTCACGTAGAAGGGAAATAATAAAATAATGAAAATATAAAAATTAAAAATTATCACGACGTTTCGACTGCAACACAGGCAATCATCATCAGGTGTGAAATCCACAGTAATAATTTTGTTTTATTTTTTTAAATATTATTTTATTATTTCCCTTCTACATGACTTTACCGAAAGAACCAAGAATATGAATCCCTGCAGTCACGAAAGCTTTTGGTTATTGTCATAAGTGGAGTGATGGACAAATACAATTATAAAAAATTAGAATGGCAACAATGATACATTTTAAGTTAAGTTTCTTCTATTTCAAACTTGCTCTATCCACTCAGGTCGAATGGTCCATCGCTTCTTGTAATGTAGGATACAGGGTATCTCACCTCTATAAACCCATCTCACCTTCCATAATGTCACTTATATGGGTTCAAGGATTATATGGGTTCAAGGATTATATGGGTTCAAGGATTATATGGGTTCAGAGAGTAAGCCTTATTCTTTAGTGGTGGGTCCGTTAAAGTGCAGCGATGCATTTAACCTTCCATGTATTTTTTAGCAACTGCATACTCTCCTCCCCCCCCCCCCCCCCCATTGTTTCATGTTCCTAGGCTGGTGCAATACATATATTTATTAGATAAAAGCAAAGCACCGTTCATTCTCCGTATGAATAAAAGTTGTATTTACGTGTGGAAATGAAATCGAGTTCTACCTGTATTATTTGAGTCATAATGGTCCACAGATACACGTGATGAGTTTTTTTTTTAAATACTGTTTTAATTGATTTACCATTGCACTTAAGTAGTGCGTTGACACGCGGTCCTCTGGTACAGACGTCCCCGCTCAATCTTGCACTTAAACCCCTTCAAAAACACAACGGCTGTGTGATCTGGGCTGAATAAACACAACCAAATTTCGATTTAAAGCTTTCGTGACTGCAGGGATTCATCTTCTTGGTTCTTTCGCTAAAGTCACGTAGAAGGGAAGTAATAAAATAATAAAAATAAAACATAATAAAATAATTCTCACGACGTTTCGGCTACAACGCAAGCAGCCGTTTTGTTAAGGCGCTCTTCTTCCACCTCCAACTCAATTTATATATAAGCTCCTAGCTTGGCAGTGTCTCATTCTTCACCTGAAGACGGCTGCTTGCGTTGTAGCCGAAACGTCGTGAGAATTATTTTATTATGTTTTATTTTTATTATTTTATTACTTCCCTTCTACGTGACTTTACCGAAAGAACCAAGAAGCTGAAACACAACCAAGGTATATTATCGGTTCCCGATGTGGAAGAATCGCAGTCTTCTACCGAATACGTGTCCACTCACCATTACTGGAATTGTACTGCTAATCACTGAGCATTGGGACTGCACTTGGACATTTACCAACAGGCTGATGTAACTCGTGTCAACATTTTAATGTCCCGTTAGTGCCAGCCGTCCACACATCTCTTGTCACCAAGATCTGTGTTGCCCATGCTCATGAATAATGGGACGGCTCACCGTTTTGGCTCCCACAGTTTTTGTATGAAAAAGTCGAAAAGCGCCGAGCTTGGTGTTAGCTCTGCATGTTGCCTGGCACCGTTTGATGGATTATAATGCAACGCTTGCTATTATAGATACTTCCAGCTGTGCGCAAACTAATGACACTATTATGGTCATTTTTTATCTTTCATTCTCTGTTTAACTCTTCAAAGGAAACGTTTTGTTCTCTCTCACATCGCCACATTTTTCAAAAAAAATCTCTCTCTGCTGTACAATATAGAATCACTTCCCCCCCCACCCACCCACCCTGTGGTGATAAGCTAATTAAGTCCACGTGTGCACGAGTGTGGTACAGAAAGTTCCGAGCTTAATATAGAAGAAAATGCCAGAGACCGTTGATGTTTTGTATGCTCAAAACAGCAAGGTACCATATTCTAGATTTCCTTATTCCTTATTTACGATTCATCTATGGCAGCTCGGCTGCGATGGATAATGAAAAATTGGAATGTCAAAACCTTGTGCTGCTGTAGAAATTTTCGACACCGAGAGAAAACCGAATCGCCGGAAATGGACGTCTACAAATTGAATGCGTGTGGGAACGATGCACCCACGATATTCAACAGTCAAAAGGGCGACTGCAAGACTCTCTTTGTGGCAGGACGACTCTTGAAGATGACCCCAGGTCACGGTGGCGTGCAGATTTGGCGAAATATGGGGAAACAAACGTCAAGGCTGCGTGAGAGACGCGGATTCGGAAGACCGCTCTGTTACCCTTGCACAGTTGTCCGACATCTTTGGGCATCGGCGTGGGATCAGTGGAGACAATTCTT